ATCGATGCCTATACCATGTGACATAAGAATGGCTATCCCCGCATGGTTTTCTTTACCACTCACTTGGTATATCTTTTTGCTTCCTTTCTCTTTTAGTTTCCTCTGATCTTTGCACTGTTGTGACAACATGGGAAAAATCAATTGGGGGGGGGGGTTGAAACTGTGGGGAGGGGAATCCTAGACTATGCAGAATTGTATGATAAACTCAAAAATTAAAATTAAAATTAAAAAATTCAAATCTCCCTAATTAGTTGCTTTAGGCTGAATTTTCTGTCAAGCTGTTCGTGTGTATTGTTTGAAAAATAGTTGAAATCTATTTTGTTATTTTGTAATTCCATCATTTCATTTTTTAAGTGGACATTTTAAATTTTTGTTGTTTTATGACACAGTTTGATAGGCACTGGGGTGTCGCTTCCCCTTTCCTAAATTCCCTCAGCTCTCCATTATTCTCCCCTCCAGTCATTTTTAAAAAATTTTTACTTATTATTATTTTCATTTTATGATACAGTTCCATAGGCTCCTGTTATTTCCCTTATCCCTTCCCCAAACCTCTACCTCTATATCATTACTAAAGTATAGTTCTTCACACACAATTGTATGTTCATCATGGCGGGCATGGACAATGGCAGAGAGTCCAGCATCCTATTGTCAAGATATAGTAAACAGTTTCATTGGAAGTCCATCGTTAGTCTGGAAGTAGACATGCATACTGCATTGTATTCTTGATCTGGATATGATAGTCTCCATTACATAGTTATTATACATCCCCTTAAAGAAGCCACAAAATAAAATTGCCAACAGGGGGAAAAAAAAGAAATGAACAACTCCATAAAGTTAAATAACATGCTTCTGAATGACTAATGTGTCACTGAAGAAATGTGAAAAAAAAATCAAAAGCCTTCTTGAAGAAAATGTTGCTACTGTATGCTCTATGAGTCATTAAAGAATTTAATGAGAAGCAAATGTTTTGAAGAGATGAAACTAACAAAAAAAATCAAAATCCATGAAATATAGTTTCCACCAATCTTTGTTGGTGAGATATGTCTGCTTTAGGCAACAGATAAATGGTTTTTTTAAAATCCAGTCTATTGATCTATGATGCTTGATTTATGAGTTTAAGCTGTTTACATTCAGGGTTAATACAAATAGGTGGTAATTTGGTTCTGTCATTTTAGCAATGGGTTGTTAATTGATTTAGTCTTCTGTTGTTATTTTACCGCATTTCCCCTTGGTTTTGGTGGGTGCTATTCTTCTTGGTCTAGAAAACATCTTGAAGTATCCTTTGTAGGACTAATTTGGAAGAGGCATATTCTTTTAACTTTTCTTTACTGTGGAAGAATTTTGTTTTATTTTATTTTTTCATTTTTTAAATTATATTTTTGACAATCTTTACATAGTTAATTAGGATCAAAAGGTTCAAGGGCTATAGGAAAGTGGGTAAGATTATTATTTCCATATTGTTTCCTTCATGTATCTGAGGTGAAGGGGGATATTGAGGGAGAAGCCCCATCCAGTTTCCCACCCACCCCAGGTCCCAGATGTGGGGCATGCACCGAGATTCTCACTCTAGTGGTTTTGATAGTTCACCAGTTATGAATTGCTGCCAGTCTCGCCACTCCAAGCATGATGAGGTTGTCAAAGAATCCACTGACTGACATAGTCCATCATAGAGTCTCCTTTTGCCCAGTATTTTGCTGCCAACATATAGCTGAGGTGGTTGATTGATTTGTTCTGTCTTCTGTCTTTTCTTGGTTAGGGTTCTGAGTCTCGCATTTCAACTGGGGAGATCCCCAAAGAAACTTTGTCTGAGGTGTTCCCAGACCAGATTCTTGTATGTACTAACGAGTACAGGGCCCGGCACAGTCCATGGCCCCGATCAGCGGGTGGTTGCAATTGCTGGGTTGGTTCTGTTTTCAGCCCCAACTTCCACGGGAACCAATGGGTGTTGCAGTCCACCCTGGTTCTGTCCAGCACATACTCGGCCCTCACATAAACTAGTAGGAGCTGCAGCCTAGTCAGAGCAACCCACGATAACCCCCACCAGGACCACCCCCTACCCTGGTTTGCCAGTTGTGTAGCAGACTAGTCCAGTCTGTCCCACATTCCATTTGGCTCTCGTAGATGTCGATGGGTATTGAAGCTTAGTTCCATCTAACCAGTTCAACTATTCAGCTTTTCCCTGATCTAGTCCACATGAGGCACACAGGTGTTGTAGAGGTGTTGTAGCCCTGCTTAGTCTGGTCTGCCCTCATCCCAGCTCACGCTTTCCAGTGGGAGTAGCTGCCCAGCAAGGGAACTTCCCCCCCAATATTCCCCCTGATGGCTCTGCCCCCTCCCTTTCTGGTTCTCATGCGTGCTGGTTGGGCGCTGTGGTCACATCTGGTACAGGCAACCTCACCTTGGCATTCCGTATTGTGCACTGGTTTTTATTGCGACCGGACTGGCTCGACCCACACTGTTCTGGTGCTCAGATTTGCCAGTGGATGATGTGGACAGATTCAGCCTGGTCTGCCCCCAACCCCTGCCAATTGTATGCCAGTGAGTAAATTTCCATGGCCTCTTCTGGGCTGTTTCCTATCATGTTTCTTGTGCTTACCTGCAGGGTCTGTGTCCTGCCAGAGGAGTTGCCCAGGCTCCTCCATCAGAACCTCTCCCAATGCCAGATTTTGCACATACCAGGGGGTCCATGAGCCAGCCCTACTCAGTTCACCTCCTGTCCTATCAGGATCAGTGGCTTTTCCTGACTGGGCTTCAACCCAAACTGGTTCTTGCTGTTGGATGTTTCAGCCCAGCCATGGCTCATCCATACCCACATACGGCTCACACATGGCTCAGCAGGGGTTGAGACCTAGCCTAGTCCATCCCACATCTATCCCAGTCCTCCAGGACACCAGAAAGTGTTGGAGTCTGGCCCGACTTGGTGTGTCCAGTCCCAGTCCACACTTGTGCCAGGAGAGACTATAACCGTTTCCTGATCAGAACGCAGCAACCATTCCAGCCCATGCGCCCCTTGGTGAGAACCTCAACCCAGTTAGGGTGTGCCCTTACCTCCCAACCTGGCCTGTTCCCAGCCATAGTTCACTCACATGCCAGTGGTTGCTCTGACTCAGCTTGGCTTAGCCCCTCACCTGTCCCGACCTCAAGGCAGCACATTTGGACCTGTAGCAGAACAGAACTAACTGGACAACAACCACAAACAAACGATGATAGCAAATCATTGTGGTGAATGGAGCCAGTGGACATTGGGAGGGTGATGTCATCCTTGGATCGATGAAATCAGCAGCATTCCAGAACTATCCAAACCACCTAGACAGAACTCTCGGAATATGTACACATGGAGACTCTGGTTGATATGAGGTGACGGTTCCTCATCCCTGGGTACTGGGATGTGTGGAAAGTCATGAGTGGTATTCCCCTTTGTTTTTCCCCTTATCCAAGGAACAACAAGAAGAAATAGCAAATTTGGAAGCAAAGAATTCACTCCAATTTCCCCTAAACCTTGACCTTTCCCACCTGATCAACTATGTAATCATTATTTTAAAAAATAATAAATTAAAAAAATTTTTTTAATCCATTTTTTTTTTTACTTGAAAGGTAGATTTACAGAGAGAAATATCTTCCATCTGCTGATTTAGTCACCAAATGGCTACATGACCACGATGGCTTCAGGTGAGCCAATTGGAAGTCAGGAACTTCTTTCAACTCTCCCAGGTGTGGGTGCAAAGGCTCATGGTCTTGGATGACACTCCACTGTTTTCGAGGGTCACAGCAGGGAGCTGGGAGAGAAATGGAGCAGAGGGGATACAAACCAGTGTCCACCTGGGCAGCCAGCGCTTGCAAGAGGAGGGAGCAGTCTGTTTACCTCTGTAGGTACATACACACACACACACTCACTCACACACACTCACATGATATCTTCAGAATGTTAATGGAAAAGAAAAAGCTATGTATTGATTTCAAAAATTGTCTTTGCACCAAAATCAACTTATCTTGGGATTCCATTTTCCATAGACTCCTTGAAGTACCCTTGCAGGCCTCGCCATGAGGGAAGCCAATGGGCCAAGCCCTAGTCTTTGCAGTGGCTGGAATGGGTACTAGGGTCCAAAGGCTGGAGCACCTGCCATTTGGCTGTTCCAGGGCAGAAGGAGAGGGAGTCCCAAGTTTAGGAGGAGCGTGGCTTCGCTGCTCAGCTGGCCCTTGACTGACTGGTGATGTCCACCCACGCTGAGGGGGGACCTGCTGCAGCACGTGGACTCCAATGCCATGGTCTTCCACACAGACTCATACTCCCACCGATGAACCCTCAGCAAGGCCCGACCCGCTGGCGAGTAAGTTCACACTGTGAAATGAACCTTCCCAGGGATGCCAATTATGTATAGGGGAGCAATGATAGCCTGCACCCATGCCATGGAGAGCAGGTGTGTTGGATCCACACTGACCTGGCTCTGGAAAAGGGGACACATTTGCCATCTTACCAGTGCAGGATGCCAGGCGACAACTGCTGAGATGAAAAAGGATGGGGGCTGGCTGGTGCTGTGGCTCAACAGGCGAATCCTCTACCCTCCAGAGGAACACACTAGCATCCCATATAGATGACAGCTTGTGTCTTGGCTGCTCCACTCCCCATCCAGTTCCTTTCTTATGACCCGGGAAAGTAGTAGAGGATGGCCTAAAGCCTTGGTCCCCTACACACATGGGGGGAGACCTAGAAGAGGCTCCTGGCTCCTAGCTTCGGATTAACTCAGCTCTCTCTGGAATCTCACACCAACACCCCCGCCCCCACCCAAGGCACCCTCATATGTGTGGACCACACAGCACAGAGCTGGGAAAAAGAAACCGGACATCAGCCTATGGTCGAATTTATATGAGACACAAAGAAATATAATGAATCCATGCTGTGATTACCCTTGGTGGGTCAGATTTGCAAAGGTGCTGGGGAGGGGGTTCAATTTATGAACGTTAGCCTGGATATTCACAAAACTACACACATTTTCCACAAACCTTTCTTTCAAAGATTTATTTTTAAATAAATTGCCACTGAGAAGGGTCTTTTCTCCCCAAGAAAAGGTGTCATTCCTGTGGAGAGACGATCATCTGTTTGTTGGCCATAGTGGTCAGCACTGGGCAGGCAGGAAGCACAGGGTGCTGTTTTGACAGGTGACTGATGGGTCGCTGACTTCTGTATATTCAACTCCACCAAGGCTCATCTAAATACTGACGAGATGGGAGAGGTTAGAATCCATATCTTAACCCATCACCCTCCCTAGCCATCTTCCTGTTTCCCCTTTGGGAGAGCTGGTCTACCTCCATGAACTGACAGCAGGTGTGGCCAAGTGGGACAGGAGAAGGACAGGTGAGCCCAGGACACCAGTGGTCTTAGAAAAGTGTTAACATATTGGTTACTCAGTGGCGCCTTTTTTCATGGTGCTGTAATTCGTTGCTGTGGTTGAGGCTGTTGTTCTAACTCATACCAGCTGTTGACCTCGTTTCACGGCTTCTCAGTTATGGACTCGTACAGCGATGGAGTCCTGGGGTCTACCGTATCCAGATGTGGGGGTTTAATGCAACATGCATCTCTGCTTCCAGACAAAAGATGGACTCCCGATGAAACTGTTGGACATGTGAAGACAATGGGATGCTGGACTGTCTGACGTTGTCTGTACCCGCAATATCAGGGCACACTTAAATAACAGACTGATGGAATTTTGACTCCTTATGAAGGACTATGCTATTGTAGCAACAAGGGGGAAATCTGTCGGGGGGTCAGAGTTTGAGGGGAGGAATCCCAGTTTATATGAAATTATACCACAAAATTCAAAAATCCAAACTAAAAATAAAACAACAACAAGAGAGAGAGAGAGAGAGAAAGGAATAACATCCCTCTCTCACTCACAGGTCAACGTGACCTGTGACCACGTGAATCATTCAGTGCGGTGGGTGACATTTGTTGCATTGACCATTTTCCATGTGGAGGACCTGTCGAGTGCTTTGTAATATTGAAGAGAAAGGGAAGAGGGGAAGGGGGGAAGAGGGGAGGTGAGTGGAAGGTTAACGTGTGGGTGGCCATGGTTACGCAACCCTTGGATGTCTAAATGAATGTTTTCTCATGTATGAAGGGTATAAGCATCAAACTAAACTTGAAAATTAAAAAAAGCAAAATGCGATTACAAATATTAGATGATATGGAACGATACACTAAGAATGTAAAACTTGTTCACAGACTGCAAATGTGGCCATGAGCCACTTTTTCTCTGGGCCCGAAGCTCTAAGTTTTCCTACAATTGATGCGATGTGAGGATACCTCAAAAAGCCCCTGGAATGAAAAGACGGGTTTGCTTTGGTGGAAACATCTGGAAATCACGCACTGTGTTTGCATCACAAGTGATTCTAAGAAGTCTTTGGTTTTTGAAATGTTTGTGTTTCTTGAAGTTGCCTGCCTTTTCACAGCATGTCCTCTCTGAACCCTTTTCATAAGCCACTGTAAATCTTTAAACCTGATTTTTGTGCTCTTGTTTCACAGTTCCTAACCACATTGGATGGAGGGCTATTTCACAGACAGGAAAGCACTTGGTCAGTGGGCAGAGTGGTTGGTGCCCATGGAGGGCTCAGGGGATTATCTGGTCGCCTTAGCAGGTGTAAAACAAATGTTTGTCTACCTGTTGGTCTTGGGGCAGGCTCTTTTCTATAACCCATTCATCCTGTGTTATTTTTCACCTACTCCTAATCAATCTAATGTTTATTTTACACAAATATGTGCTCTACTCTTGAAACCATTTTTATGAAAAAAAAAAAAGGAAAAATTAAGACAGAGAGGGGGAAAAGAGAGGAAAGAAGCATGTAAGAGGCGTGCCTATGTGCAGCCTCGTGGGCACCCTGCCTCGGTACAGCTCAGAGTGCATTGCAGAATCAGATCCATCTGATGGTCACCAGAGCCACCCCTGGGGATGGGGAAGCCAGTGAGTCATGCCCAGCTCTATGGCCACTGCACGTGGTTATGAAGTGCTGGTGCATGGTTGATTGCCAAAGGCCCGTTACATAAACGCAGGCTCAGGGAGGTGGCAGTGTCGGGGAGTTACACAAGCACTTACTTGGAGGGTTTCTTTTTGAGTCACTGCTCAAATGAACTCCCAGAGAGGAAAATCCCCTGGGGAGGAAGGAAGAAACGTTTTCACAGGGGACCTTGAACATGCCCTTTCAGGTGTTCGACATGATGGACAATGTGATGTTTGGAGCTGCACTTGGTTGCCAAGAAGTTCATTCTTACCAATCTAATTTGGGATCATTTCCCAAATGCCCCCATCGGCTGGGAATGGGCTGGTGTTCAAGTTGAGAGCTACAAACTCAACCCAGACCTCCCACAAGGGAGACAGGGCCCTGGTACCCATGCGGGAGACCTGGAAGGAGTTCTGGGGTCCCGACCTTGGCCTGGCTCAGCCCTGGTCATCGTGACATTCTGGAGAGTGAACTAACAGATGGGAGATTTCTCTCACTTTCAAAGTAAAAGAAGAGAACAAACAAACAAAAATCAATCTGTTGGCCTAACAGTCCGTGACACCCGAAAGTTGTATGATTCCAATTGCAGGGCCTACAAAAGAGGTTGTATTGGAACACAGTCCCATGGATTGAGTTTTACATTTCCCAAGACTGCTAGGGGCAGTAATAGCAGACGAGGGCATGTGACCACGGGTTGGCTAAGCCTGAAATATTTACTAGCACGTCCTTGGTGGGAGTTGCGTGACCCTCGACCCACGCCTTACACCAGCTGCTCCCTCCCCCTCCGTCTTACTTGTAAGGGGAACACTGCTTCCATTTTTTGTCTTTGTTGTAGTTTTTGGTCAATGAGCACCAGCTCCGATCCAAAACGTAGTCCTCTTTGGTGCACATGTGGAAGACCTTACTTTTGAAGAGGAAGGGAAAACTACACTGTGGAGGATCTGCAGAGAAAGCAGAGGGCAGGAGGGGAGCGTGAGCGCGGGAGCAGGACGGCTCACAGCAGGCGATAAGAGACAGAGACAAAGATCTTCCATTTGCTGGTTCACTCCTCAAGTGGCTGCAACAGCCGGAGAGGAGCTGATCCGAAGCCAGGAACCTGGAGCTTCTTCTGGGTCTCCCACGCAAGTGCAGGGTCTCAAGACTTTGGGCCGTCCTTGACTGCTTTCCCAGGCTACCATCAGGGAGCTGGATGGGAAGTGGAGCAGCCGGGATTAGAACCGGTGTCCCAGTGCATGTAAGGTGAGGACTCCAGCCATTAGGCTACAGTGCTGGGCCCTGCCTTTCAGGGTCTGTGTGGACAAGAAACTGAACTAAGACACGGAGCTGAAAATCCAACCCAAGTACACTGCGAGGGGTCAGGGACATACAACTAGGCTAAAGACCCACTCCAAGCCACATTTTTTTTTTTTTTTGGCCATGGAATTTGGTTTTCCCAAGTGGTTAGGAATAAGTGGAGGCGTCAGGAGGTGAACTCAGTGCTGTCTGATGGGAAACCAGCACACACACAGCCGCTTCTTGGGTCCCAGGAGGGTCGGATGCTCACCGCTGGATGTGCAGTAGCGCCACCTGCCCTGGAACTGACTGTCGAGGGAACACCAGCTGAAGTCGCTGTGGATGGAGATGCAGCTGTAATGTGTCGTGTCGCCATAGGTGAACGGAAAGACGCAGGGGTGGGAGGAGAGCTCTGGAAAACAGGGCAGGCACGGATGGAGAGCCATCTCATTTTCCTGGGCCATGGACCCTGCGCCCTCCACATTCCCACACCACACACTAGCTGTCTCTCCCTAGCCGTGTTGACACAAACCATCTTAGAGCCTGCAGCCTGGTGCAGGCTGCACCTGCTTTCCTAAACCCAGACTCTGGAGTCCTTCTGATCACAGCCTCGCTCCGTCAGGAAAAGGAACTCCTGAGCCTTCCCGAGTTATCTGCTGGACTTCCTGCCAAGCTGCCCACTTCCCTCTCTCTGGGGCCCCTGCCCTTTGCCCCATGGCAGCAGAAATTTATTTCCCAGTGTTCCTCATGTATGCCACTGTCACCAGCCCGCCAGAGCCTGCTCACACTGTCACCAGCCCGCCAGAGCCCGCTGCTGTGTAGCAGCTGATGTCACCCCCTCCCCAGGACCCTCTGCCTCAACGACTTTCCTCTCAGGTTCAGCTCAGGGTGAGTCTCCATGGAATTTCTCAAACAGCCAGGTCAACTTGGTACACTCAGTTTTCTTTTAAGTTCCTTTTACTTGTCTTCATAAAACTTTATTTTTAAAAAGATTTATTTATTTTTGAGAATTAACATTCCATTGGGAGAATCAAGATGGCAGAATAAGGTAAGGACACATTTAAACGGACGAAGAAACATTTAATCAGGATGAAGCAGAGAGGACACATTCCAGGAAATAGCAGAGGACAGAACAACAGACTGACAAACACAGGAAAGCAGCGGACGCAATGGTGTGGTGTTGCAGCGACTGATACTCCAGCGGCATTCAGCTAACGGCGATCTAAACTCCACCAGCAACCAGGTGGGAAGGGACTTTCACTGGGAGCTTGGGAGGTGAACCCATACAAAGAACTGTCCATCCTGCTGGTCCGTTTGATTTGACCAGGAGCAGAGACGGAGCAGCAGATCCCAGATAGGCAGTGCGGGAACAGGGAGGATTTCATAGCCCAGTCAGCCCCCTAGAGCCAAAATGGGCGCCATTTTGCGTAAGGAGGCAAGGGAAAGGACTGAGCATACGCTGAGCTGGGAGTGAACTCATTTCTGACTCAGTGAACTGCATAAACGTGGCATTCTACAGGTTCTATGCAAGACAGGTCTGGGTAGCCCTCAAATCTGATGGCCAGCAGATCAAGAACTCTAGTAGCGGTATGTCAGGCACCATTTTGTACACTGTGGCAAAAGTTTTAGGACTGCAGGGGACAACAGTGAACTGCACCTGTGCTGAGCTCACGAGAACTCACTGAGTTCCGCAGATTGTACTGGTCCCTCAGGTAAATAATACCAACTGTGGCTTTGTACGGGTCAAAGTAGGTCGTGTCGCACCCAAACCTAACAGCCAATAGGTTCCAGTAAGATCAGCGACACCAACAACCTAGCCATATAGGACACCAGGTGTCTCCCTAATCCTGGGACCTGCTCCAACCGGAAGGGGGAGAAAAGTTGTACAGACAAAGGTGCAGCCTCAGCACGGCACCACAGGAGGTGGAGATTGGTGAGCCGGGAGTTGGGACTACGGAGTTCTTTATGGAAATCTAAGAACCCAGACCTGGAAGGAGTCCAGTTGCTGGAGGGAGCGGCACAGTTGGCTTCAAGCAAAGAGTTGTGTACCAACTGCAATAAGTGGGTGGCAAAGCTTAGACACCTGCCCCAAGGAGAAGACTGCCAACCAGAAGTCCAATGACCAAGAGCAAAAGAAGAGACAAAGGCACGATGAATATTACTGAAAACTCCCCTGCAAAGGAGCAAAACCCTATGCCAACCTCAGAGTTAACTGAGGAAGACATCGAGAAAATGGGGAACACAGGATTCAGAAAACTCATTTTAAAGATTCTGAGAAAAAATGAGAAGCACATATAAGAGTTTGAAGAATTTAAGGAATATTTTACACTAAGCAATAGCAGCAATAAGACAAATGAAGGCTGATATATCAGAAATTAAGAACACAGTAGAGCAAATTAAAAGTACAGTGCAGAATCTCTAAAATAGAATTAAGCAAACAAGCGGAAGAAAGAATCTCAGAATTGGAAGGCATTTTCTGTCATCAGGGAAATAAACAAAAAGCTGGAAGCAGAGTTGGATCAGGCCAAAAAAGTATTCAAGAATTGAAAGACACTATCAAGAGGCCAAATATAAGAGTTATGGGAGTCCCAAAAGGTGCAGAAACAGAAACTGATTTTACAAATATATTTAGTGAAATAGTAAGAGAAAATTTCCCTAATTTAGAGAAAGAATTGGGAAACAACATCCAGGAGGGGCACAGAACTCCCAACAGGCCTGCTCAAAAACGATCTTTACCAAGACACATGATCATCAACCTCTTTTCAATTGAACATAAGGAAAAGATACTTAAATGTGCATGTCAAAAAAAAATCAATTGACATATAAAGGAATGCCAATTAAACTCACAGGAGATCTCTGACAGGAAACTCTACAGGCCAGAAGAGAATGGAGTGACATATTCCAGATCCTAAAAGATAAAAATTGTCGGCCTAGGATAACATACCCCGCAAAGCTTTCTTTTGTCTGAAAATGGGATAAAATTCTTCCACAGCAAAGAAAAGTTAAAAGAATTTGCCTCTTTCAAACCTGCCCTACAAAAGATACTTCAAGATGTTCTCTTGACAGAGAAGAGGAATAGCACCTACCAAAACCAAAGGCAAATGTGAAGAACATCCCAGTAAAAGGACAACAGAAGACTAAACCAATGAACAACCCATTTCTAAAATGACAGGGCCAAAGTACCACCCATACATATTAACCCTGAATGCAAATGGCTTAAGCTCAATCAAATGTCATAGATTAGTACACTGGATTAAAGAACAAATCCCATCTTTTTGTTGTCTAGAAGAGACAGATTTCACCAACAAAGACCAGCGGAAACTGTATCTCATGGGTTTTGTTCTTTCTGTTAGTTTCATCTCTTCAAAACACTTTCTTCTCATTAACTTCTTCAGTGACTCATAGGCCCAACAGTTGCAACATTTTCTTCAAGAAGATTCTTGATTTTCTTTTTCATTTCTTCAGCCACACATTAGTCATTCAGAAGCATGTTATTTAACTTCATGGTGTTGTTAATTTCTTTTTTCTTCCTGATGTTGATTTTGTGCTATGGCTTTTCATTTAAGGGAATGTATAGTAGCTGTGTAATGGAGACTGTCATATCTAGTAATGTGTTATTTAACTTCATGGCATTGTAAATTTGTTTTTTTTTCTTCCTTGTTGTTGATTTTGTATCATGACTTTTCATTTGAGGGGATGTGCAGTAGCTGTGAAATGGAGACTAACATCCAGATGTGAGGATACAATGCAGTATGCATTTCTACTTCCAGACCAGAGATGGAGTCCCAATGAAGCTGTTTACTGTATCTTGACAATAGGATGCTGGACTCTCTGCCATTGTCCATGCCCGCAATGATGGACATATGACTGTGTATGAAGAACTATATTTTAGTAATGATATAGAGGAACTATGTGGGGGTGGGGAGGAAATTGGGGCCGGGATAAGGGAAATAACAGGAGCCTATGGAACTGTTATCATGAAAGGATAATAATAATAATAATGTTTAAAAAACGTAAAAAAGATTTATTTATTTTCATTAGAAATTCAGATTTCCAAAGAGAAGGAGAGGCAGAGAGGAAGATCTTCCATCTGCTGGCTCACTCCCCAAGTGGTCATAAACGGCAGGAGCTGAGCCAATCCGAAGCTTCTTCCGGGTATCGCATGTGGGTGCAGGGTCCCAAGGCTTTGGGCCATTCTCGACTGCTTTCCCAGACCATAAGCAGGGAGCTGGATGGGAAGTGGGGCCGCCGGGACACAAACCGGTGCCCATATGGGATCCCGGTGTATGCCAGGCAAGGACATTAGCCACTAGGCTACTGTGCCAGGCCCTTATGAAACTTTTGTATCAAATATCACATCCAGTCTATCCACAGCTAGATGCATAGGATCAGTTGTTAGAGACGGAAACTTAATAACTCATGGGCTCTCAGATCCTGAAACAATGTTGGTGCAAATCCGTTTGTATTATTAAAAAGATATTAGTTACAATCCTTTTTGAGCAATATATAATATTCCTATTTATTTTTTAACCACATTATGCATTGACAATGTCTTCCATCCTTTTATCCTTTAACCACATTGTTTATTATGATGATGGTAGTTATTAAGTTTAAAAGTAAGACTGGGCGGTTTTTATCATTTAACACTATTATTCGTCAGTTGTGATTTATATAAAGGCACTTGAAAAAGCTCAGAGAATGCAATTGGAAGGGAAGTTTAGGACAATCCAAAACTTTCTGAGACCCCTGCCTAAGTTTTTCACTATGTACATTCTCCAGGAACTTTGTGAAGATCCGTTATTTGTGTGGACCCAAGGAAGCTTTAGATCCTGTTTCTGTGAGCTCCGGACGGAATGTCCGTCCAGAAGCACGCTGTTGTGCAGCTGGCCATGTGCTGGCCGCTCCCTGCCCTGTCGCAGGCCCTCACGTTGGCCTCCAGAGAGGCCCTCACGCCCGTCCTCACACACCTGTCCTCAACCGGCACTTGTTACTTAGCTGTTCCATGGATTTGGAGCCATTCTCCTTCGGGTAAATGGCATGTTTTCCAGTTTATAACTGAGCATATTTAAATGTTACTTTCTGGAAAGTTTGAATCATACACGTTTAGTCATATAAGCTGAAACTGCACACTCAAATCAGGCTAGGAAGTAACGAAAAGCAAAATCTATACAAGATTAAAAATGGGAAAAGTAATAACAGCATTTATTTCAAGACCATTATAATGTTGAAGTATCATTTCAATGAGCCAGGAAAATGCAACAGACTATAGATCAAGGTGCGAGCTCACTTCTGGGAAGCTTCCTAACAAAGGATAACGCTGGGATCTCGAGCCGGGCAGTTAGGATTCGGAGCTGGGCTCCTCCAGGGAATGGGCCTGGTAGGGGAACGCTGGGGACTGCCCTGCTGGGCTTCAGCTCCCACTGGGGAGTGTGAGACTCTTGGAAAGGTCTTCTCAACCCTGGAGCAATGAAACCAACCACTTCTCAGAACTGTCTACATCACTCAAGTAGCACCTGCAGGACACTGCTCCCCACATCGAGGGCTCTGGGGCGTCATCAGATGACCGACCCTCACCCCCAGCTGGCGATGCTGGCAGACGACAGGGAGAAGTCCTCTCCCACCTCCCTTTTGGACACGGGAGAGAAAAGCAAGCCTGTCCCTCCCATCTTCCTCCCATGGGTGTGCGTCCCTCTCAACTACGTAAGCAATATCAAAAATAACATTATATATATATATATATTACTCAAAATAGACAGATATTACAGCAGAGAGATTATGTCCCAAATCAGCTGTGAAAATGAACGGACAAGAAACCGAACAGCTACCTAAGCAAGCGTCTTTTTCGGAACGTTGAGCTCAGAGAAGCAGAGGGTGGCAAGGGTTTAGCGCAGGCCAGGCCGAGGGCCCACGCTGCCGATGGAGTAAGACTTCACGAGGGAGGTGCGTGTTGCGCTGTGACATCAGCTCATGACAACAGAGCATTCAGAACTGCTCAGGGCTCGGGTGTTACATAGTCTCACTACGAACATAGGGTGACGTATGTGGGTGATGCATCTGTGAATTAGCTTGAAAAGGTAGAATCAGACCACTGAATACACATGCACACTTGAAGAAGCAGCTTTACGCCAAACATATTCTACTCCCTGCATATATGTGTTGAGAAGTTCATAGACGGATGAAGTTATGACACTAAGTTTATTTTGGATCCCCCCCTCCCCGCCAAAATTTTTGAGGAGAATCTTCCAAAAAGGTTATAGAAAATGCATATTATTTTTTTTTAAAAAAAAAAACAAGCATAGATTTCAAGGTGGGGTTTTTGTGTGTGTGTGTGCTAAGATAAGCTTATTTCCCCCCTCCTCCAAGATTTATTTATTTTTATTGGTAAGGTAGATTTACGGGAGAAAGATCTGTCTGCTAGTTCACTCCCCAAGTAGCCACAATGACCAGAGCTGAGCCAGTCTGAAGCCAGGAGAGAGGAGCTTCTTCTGGGTCTCCCACATGCATGCAAGGCCCCCAAACTTTGAGCCATCATCAACTGCATTCCCAGGCCAGAAGCAGGAAGCTGGATGGAAACTGGGGCAGCTGGGACACATACCAACAGCCATATGGATTTAGCCACTGAGCCAGCACACCAGGTCCGTCTACTGCTTCAGCCCCTCACTACAGCTGGGGTGTGGCCAGGGTGAAGCTGGGAGCTGCTGGGGCATGGCCAGGGTGAAGCTGGGAGCTGCTGGGGCATGGCCAGGGTGAAGCTGGGAGCTGCTGGGGCGTGGCCAGGGTGAAGCTGGGAGCTGCTGGGGCGTGGCCAGGGTGAAGCTGGGAGCTGGAAGCTTGATCTGGATCTTCCACAGGGTAGCAGGGACACAGTCTTGAGTCATGACTGCTGCCTGGCACGATAGCGCAAATGGCTAGTCCTCCCCCTTGCAATCACTGGGTTTCCATAAGGGTACCAGTTCGTGTCCTGGTTGCTCCACTTCCTATTCAGCTTCCTACTCGTGGCCTGGGAAATCAGGAGAGGACGGCCCAAAGCCTTGGGATCCTGCACCTGTGTGGGAGCCCTGGAAGAAGCTCCTGGCTTCAAACAGTCTCAGCTCTAGCCATTATGGCCATTTGGAGAGTGAGATCTTTCTTTCCAGCAGATCTTTCTTTCTGGCTCTCCTTCTCTCTCTTTAACAAAACCTGCCTTTCAAATAAAAAATATTTATTTATTTTTAAAGAAGCCGAGGAGCTGAAACCCAACCCCAGTACTGTACTGTGTGTGGGAGGCAGTCGCCCCAGGCTGCTGTTTACCTACTCTGCTGAACACATGCCCTGGAAGCTTGTCTTTTCATTGAATATCCCACCAACTTTTTTTTGGATCCCCTTGTATAATTTACTACGTTGCAATTGGCTGTTGATGTCTGGGTGAGTCTGTCATGCCGGAAGACGAGCCAAGGAAAGGGTCAAAGGGCAGAGAAAGACAGGAACATTCCAGAAGGCACTATTGTTGAAGGGGTGTAGGCTGACATCAGAGACTCCGACAAAACAAAGAGATGATCTCCTTACCTGGTTTCGGAGGATTTAAATGAGTAATCAATTCTGAAAGAGAAAGATAAAATGGGTGAAATGTAGGTTTTCTGCTACAAAATACCTTGAAGTTCATCCTGCTAACGGTTGGCTCTCTTGTTGCTGATAGAAAGAAGGCAGCCCCACATCGGGATGGCAGAGAAACATTCCCAGTCAGGGCTGGCGGGAGTCTTCTTGCAGGCCCAGGATCGGATGAGAGTCCAGCTCTTGTTTTTCTCTTTCCTCGTCCCCAGCCCATGGCATTCACCGTCCACCCATCTGTTGAGCCCCACTGTCTAAATCACACCTGAAGAGACATCCTAGAGAGGATACTGACATTTGCTTGGGAACCAAGAGCACGGCCGTGGGTACCTGCGGCCCTTGGCACGCGGGCCGGGAATCCAAGGGGGCAGAGGCGAGGGGTGATTTTAAAAGGCCGACATGACGAAGCGTACAGAAAAGATTTTGAAAGTCGCCATCTTTGGCCACACGGATGCACCACTGGGGTGGGTACCTGTGTGCGGCGTGGCACCTGGTAAGTCAGCAGGCATCTTTGCAGAAGTTCTGAGGATAGTTGTGGCTGTGGCCAGCTCAGGGTGATGGCTGCTGTACCCAGTCAATCATGGGGAGGCCCTTCATAAGCTCCCTTGGTTCTAAAAAAGATTTGTTTATTGGTATTGGAAAGGTAGATCTACAGAGACGAGAGACAGAGAGAAGGATCTGCTGTCTGCTGGTTCATTCCCCAAGTGGCCGCAATGACCAGAGCTGAGCTGATCTGAAGCTTGGAGCCTGGAGCCTCTTCCGGGTCTCCCATGTGTGTGCAGGATCCCAAGGCTTTGGGCCATCCTTGACTGTTTTCCCAGGCCACAAGCAGGGAGCTGGATGGGAAGTGGAGCAGCCAGGACACAAACTGGTGTCCGTATGGAATCCTGGTTCATGCCAGGTAAGGACTTTAACCAGTAGTGTACTGTCCCCCTGGACTTTCATCCTCTTTCTGGTTAGGGTGGACACTGGACTGCATTTTGATTCTGGTGGCTTTCACAGGGCTGGAGATCAGAGAACACCTATTGGCTTTGACTGCGAGCCAGCCTTGTGGCAGGAGAACCTGTTTGCTCACTGCCAGAAGCTGGCATGTTTTAAGGGTTTTTCATTTTCTCTCAGCTGCTGCCAGGCCCACTGTACAGAGCCGCTGTGTTGCACCATTAACATGGCACTACCTCCCTCTGATCTCCACAGCGTCCTTCTCTCTGTAAACACCCACACCGCTGTGTTTTACAGACACAATCCTGCTGCCCTAAAGAACTGAACTGGCCCCCAAGGCTGTGATGGGTGAAAGCCAGGCTGAGCTGAGCCCTCGGGCTCTGTGCTTCTCCGTGGGCAGCCAGATCTCAGGGGCACGCTGTCTCCATGGCTGCTAGCCACGACTGGGTAAATGCCATCACTCTGTAAACTTTAGTCAAAAGGACTTTATTTGGCTCATAGTTCTGGAGGTTCAAGGTGGAGTGACCACAACCGTGGGCATCCTTGTTGCTGACTAAGTCCTGAGCAGGTGTGTGTGTGTGTGTGTGTGTGTGTGTGTGTGTGTGTGTGTGTGTGGTGTCCTGGTTGTCCTCTTCTCACACTCGCCAGGATTCAACCACAGGGGCTCCGCTCTGACAATCGTACTGAATCACTTCTCACAATCTAAACTTCACAGGAAGTTTCCAGCCTCTTGATCCCTCGCATGTGCCGCAAAGGTCAACCAGGAGCCCAGCTGCAGCCAAACCATGGCGCCTTAGCATTGCCACTGACGTGTGCCAGGAACTCGGCCCCTCTGCATTTGACTTTCTTTGCTTTGACATAAAGAAGCTAATTCTTGGGTTTATGGCATCATCACAGATCATATTTGTGTATTACAATTCTATTTCGTAATTATTTGAGAAGCAGAGCAAAGGAGGAAGAACAAAGCGGGAGAACAAACACACACCCCCAGCTTCTGGTTCACCCCAAATGGCTGCGATGACCAGGCGTAGGTTCTGCCAAAGCCAGGAGCTGCTAACTCAGTCCAGGTCTCCCATGTAGGTGGCAGGAGCCCAGTTCCTTCAGCCAGCACCAGGGCCTTCCAGAATATTGTTTAAGCAGGAAGCTGGAGCTGGGACTGCAATCTGGGCGCTCCGATGCAGGACAAGGCTATCTCACACTTCAGGTTGAACGCCGGCCCCTGTTACTAGTGGACACATTCTCTTGACCATCATTGTGCGGGCATTTGGTGCAGCGGTCAGCCTGCTGCTCACGTCAGCCTGAGTGCCTGGATTCAAGTCCTGCCTGTGCTTCTCATTCCTTTTTTTCCTGCTAATACACTCTGGAGGGCAGCAAGTCATGGGTCAAGTCCTTGGGTCCCGGACGGCCACGTGGGAGAGCCAGATGGGGCTCCCGGCTCTGGCTTGGCCCAGCTCTGGCTCTTGTGGATATTTGGGGAGTGAATCCCTGAATGGAAGCTCTCTGTCTCTTCTGCTTTTGAAATATATATATATTTATATATATATATTTATATTTATATATATATATATTTTTTTTTTTTCCCCAAAAAGGACAAGTAGAAGCTTGGGAGAAACTGCACGCTTAGAACCACAAAACTCGTAGTGGGTTCTAGAGACCGTGCCGCTGCCCAGCCGATCCCACGTGCATGGCAGCCACTGCTGACCACAGGACCCAGGGCATTCCGTCATGGCCAACACCAGGACAAGTGTGTCCACTGAGGATTTTCTCTTTACCCAATGGTAGGCATCTCTTGGGCTCTGCCAATAGGATAGCAGGTCTTGGCCGTCTTTTTATCCTCATTGTCTTGAGCTTCTGTGGTCTTCTCTAGTCCTTTCATGTGTGTTTGGCCCACACACCCATGGACGCAGCTCCTTGGTCCAAGGCCAGGGTCAGTCCACGCTGACCTTCAATTTCCCATCGGCTAGTATTGCCAAACACGGCCACATCACCACTGGCTTTGTCTCTCTCTTTTTTTTAACAAAGGAGAGTGGCGTCTGCTTACTGCTTCTCTTGCTTTCTTAATACTCAATCTTGGAAAACTTTGCAAAATTTTATATGCCAGGGAGTTTTCAAAAAGCTCTTTGAGGGGGTGTTGGTGCAATTGTTCAATAGGCTAATTCTCACCTTGCCAGGATCCCCAGTCCTGTCCTGGCTGCTCCAATTCCAGTCCAGCTCCCTGCTGATGAACTGGAAAAGCAGCAGAGGACAATCCAAAGTCTTGGGACCCTGCACCCACGCGGGAGACCCAGAAGAAGCTCCTGGCTCCTGGTTTTAGATCTGCTCAGCTCTGGTTGTTGCAGCCACTTGGGGAGTGAACCAGTGGATGGAAAATCTTTCTGTCTCTCCTCCCTGTAAATCTCCCTCCCATGTAAAACTAAATAAACCTTTTTTAAAAGAAAAAAAAAAACTTCTTAGAAAATTACATTATAAGGGGGAAAAAAATCTATTGCAGATTTCAAATTTCTTTTGCACCCAAAGAAACAAATTTGTACATTTCATCTAGGTGTCCGTCTCTTCCCCCTGCTTAAAGATTTGAATTCCTATTACATGACTGAGAAGCGTTTAAAGGCTGCAAGTCTGGCCAAGTCTCTTGCACATGGTCCCTTGCTCCAACCCCCCAGCGGGAGGCCACAGGCGTGCAATCCCGGGGCGCTGCAAATCCTCAGCTGCCCGCCAACCCCCAGGACCATGGGGATGTGTGTGTGGGTGTGTGGTGGCACAGCGCGCCCCTCTGTCCGCTGGACAAGTCCGCCTCACCTGCCTTCAGCCGGAGCATACAGAGCGCCAGCCCCAGCCAGCCCAGCCAGCGGCCCAGGCTGCGCATCCCCTCGGTCTGCCTGCAGCCTGCACGCTGTGCGGCTGCCTGAGGCCTCCCATTTTATAGCCTCGCTCCCCTGCCTCTCCTCCTCCCCTCGAAGCACTTTCTTCTCCTGCCCCAAACCTCGGGGGCATTTGGGGGGGGGGGCGGGGTGTGCCTGGGCTTGCATCGCCACCCTAACCTGGGCACCTGGGTGAGATTTGGAAAACCAGAGGGTGGGGGGGAGAAGAGGAGTCAGGTGATGAACAGGTGGTCTTGAAGGCCGCAGCCGCGCTTAGCTTCTGTCTGGGTCACTTACAGTCATGCGCACCAGCGAAGCGCGCACTGGTCGAGGCCTTGGTGGAGCTCGGAGGAAGCCCTCACTCAGGTGATAGGATGCCCGCCTGCCTTGGCACGAGTGAGCTGCACATGCAGGTGTCAGAGCTTCCCCCCCGCCCCCCAGCCCCAAGTCCCATGCAGGAAGTCGCCGAGTCGCTTGGGGTTGTCCAGCTCGCTGCCTCTGAGCGAACTGAGGCCAGGTAGGGCTGGGAGCGGGTGGAAAAGGCAGTGTTGCCAGGGAGAGCCGACCCCGCGCGTCTGACGCACATTGTTGGGGCGGCAGAACTTCCTTTGTTCTTTGAGCCGGAAACATGGTGGTTTGCGGACCCCTGTGGGTGCATAACACCCCCTCCTTGAGGGCTGGCTGGACGTGAAGAAGGCCCGGGTGCAGGTGAGGAAGGCTGACCCCGGTGGCACCCCCAACTCGCACTGATGTGTGTCCAAGCAGCACACTGTACCCGCTGGGAGCCCTGGAACAAACATCAGAGAGGCCAGTTGTCCTTGATGTCCACTGGCCCCAGGCAACTGTAGCTAAATAGTTACTTTGAGAGCTTGCGCTGGTCTCTAGCCAACAGTGCCTGGGGCTTAAGTGAAAGAAACAGGCTTATCTTGAGATCCTACAGCTTTTAGGGGGTCACCACAGGGGGCCGCTGTCTCCAGTCCAGGGGGACTGGTTTTCCTAAGGTATGTATATGCTAGTTTTAACCACTATTGGGTACTTGCATACACTTATGGGGACAGTGTAATGCTTGTTTGTTTGTATTCAATTAAAAATATACATATTTTTTGAGAGGCAGAAAGATACACAGAGAAAGAATGAACAAACTTCCACCCCCTGGCTTACTCTCCAGGCACCTGTAAGCGCTGGGGAGGGAGCCAGTTCCCCCGTGCCAGGGCAAGAACCCAGCTATTCCAGCTGCTGCCCTCATGCCCTGCCAGGAGTGGGGCTGGCAGTGAAAGCCAGGTGCTGTGAGGTGGGCCATGGCGTCTTAGCTGCTGGGCCACGTGCCTGCTCCCAAGCTTAGGAAAGTGGCAGGTGTGGCCATTTTCTCCCTGCTTGGCGCATCCCCTGGACACTGTGCCTGACCCCAAGGACAAACCCCTCCTCCCCTGGACACTGGCTGACTCCAAGGACCATCCCCTGGCTTTGCCCCTTGCTGCTCTAACACAGTTCAGCACAGGACATTTTTGGGGGGAGGGGGATGCCAGGGGAGGTGGATTCTGATGTTTGTCACATCCTTGGAGCCAGCGTGAGGAATGAAGTGTGTAGCTGCTGAGGCTCTGGGCGTCAGCTCAAGCTCTTGGGGGGGTGGGGGTGGGGGACAACACAGGAACCATGTGTGCGGAATGGCCGCCCAGTGTACTGGGCTTCTACACATCTTAGGTGTGGGGATGGGGGAGGTGGCGCCCCTCGGTTTGCACATCAGACCCTGACCTGTCATCATGGCAGGTGTGGATCTTCTGGATGGGAGCGTCTACTCCCTCAGCTAAGACTCAGCTAAGATAGCATCGAGGCTAGGGAAGATTCATTCTGTTGTTTGTGGTCAGAGGGGGTTCAGGAAGGACAGAGGGCTCCAGGATTCGGGGTGCTGCTTGCTGCTGTTCCAAGGTGACCAGGTGTTCCTGGCTTCTGATAAGCTTCCTTGTCTTCAGACAGACTCTGTTTGGAGAGAGAGAGACAGAGAGAGAGAGAGAGAGAGAGACAGAGACAGAGACAGAGACAGAGACAGAGACAGGAGAGAGAGAGAGAGCGCTCTATCTTTACTCCCCAAATGGCAGGAACAGCCAGATCTGGGCCAGATCGAAGTCGGCTCCATTCAGGGCTCCCACACTGGTGGCAGGCACCCAAGACTTGGGCCAACCTCTGCTGCTTTCCCAGGTGCCTGAGCTGGGAGTTGGATAGGCAGGGAAGCAGCTGGATCCTGAACCAGGGCTCTCATGCGCTGCCAGTGTCACTGGCAGAGGCTTAATCCACTGAGCCGCACAGCGCCCTCCCCCATACTATGCAACAAGTTTTCTGTCACTTCGTTTAGTGCTGACACCACGGGAGCCGCCAGGAGAACATTACCGTGAAACCAAGCCCCCCAAGCTTTCCCTGCTCAGGACTGGGGTCTTGGCAGTGGGAAATTCCATCGCAGACAACAGATGGCGCCCTTGAGCTAAAGCGGAGACACTGCAAACAGATGGTGTCATTTCAGGATGGCCGTCCTGCACTGCAGGATGGCCATTGGCCACAGGTTGCAGCCTCACCAGGAGGGCTGCCTTCTGGCCTTCAGCAGTGGATCTGTCCATGGGTGAAAGTCTTGAGTGAGCCTTCTGTTGTGTTTGCTTGGCAGGAAGCTGTGGTTATCCCATCAACAGCAGCTAAGCCACCGGCAGCATGGCTGTCTCTGTGGAGTTAGGCGTCATGACCAGGGTCAGTCAGAAAGCAGGGGAGGCGTGTTGGGCAACGTCAAGCTTCCTGCTGGGAGAAGTTCACGTTAGAGGCTGGGTTTCTCCGACTTGCCCCGGCCATCCCACAGGTCTTACTGGGTCTTGTGACACACCTTGAGGGGTGACTCACCCCACTACCCCATCTTCCTTCCAACCCCACTTTGAGTTTCGTCTCTAGCACCTGACGGCTCAACGGGGGGCTAGCTCCCGTCCTCCGGTAGAATCTGTAGCCCCAAGCTCTACCTCTGTCCCTTGATGTTGAATCAAAAGCCTGCAGAGATGGGAGGGTAAAGAGAGTTTAATCTTGCAGACAGTGGAGGGGCCACTCAGGAGCCCTGAGTGATGGCACAGTTGGTTATTCCTTCCACTTCAAGTCCCAGCATCCCATATGGGCACTGGTTCTTATCTCAGTTGCTCCACTTCCCATCCAGCTTCCTGCTTGTGGCCTGAAAAAAAGCAGTCGAGACATGCCCACAGCCTTGGAGCCTGCATCCATGTGGGAGACCTGGAAGAAGCTCCTGGTGCCTGGTGTCGGATCACCAGAGCTCCGGCCATTGCGGTCACTTGGGGAGTGAATTAGTGGATGGAAATTCTTTCTCTCTGTCTCTCCTCCTCTCTGTAAATCAGCCTTTCCAATAAAAAAAATCTTTAAAAAATATATATTTATACATATATATGTATATAGCTGCTGTTTAGATGAGGCGCCGGCATCACTGGTGGAAGATAACCCAGCCCGAACTCCTTTTCATTTACATTTTGTTTTTTCTTCTCCTTCTTAATTGCAAAAATTAACAAAGAGACCAAGAGTATGGTTCTGCATTTGGTTGGCTGGTTTTGCAATGGTATAGTATCCTAACCCAGACAAGTCCTGTTCGTGGCACCATCAGCAGTGGGAGGCAGCACCCGGTACTGGCTGCGCAGCCCACATCCAAAACTCCAAACTCCGGAATTCTCCGAGATCCAGAAATTCTGAGCATCTACATGCTGATGCCACACACGGAAAGTCCTCTTGAGATGGAAGGTACACGGGCACACACTTCCCTAAGTCACACTCAGCCCTTGGGGATGGGTTGGGTGTGAAATCTACATGAACCTAAGACGGCTCATCGTGGGGCTGCAGATATTCCAGAACCCAGACATTGAAACATGCCTGATTTCTGTACCCCCAGCTCAATTCATGACCGCTAAAACACCCAGGCCGCCCAGATGTCCATCAGCTGACCCCAAAGGGAATGTGGAACGTAGACACTACAGAACACAACTCTGCTATCTAGAAGACCCCATCTTCCACAGAAGAAATGATGCAATCGGAGACCCTCGTGCTTTGTGAAATCAGCAAGTCCCAATAAGACAAATATCACATGTTTTTCTCTGATATGAGGTAATAAGCCAAACACAAAAAGTCTGTGTGTGTGTGTGTGTGTGTGTGTGTGTGAAGCCCATGTCTCAAGCTTTGATTACAGGCCGTGGCCCCCGTCTGTCCTCCCGAGGAACACCGGCCTTCCGCCACTTGTGCCACTTGTTGCATTCTTAGGACAGGAGCAAGCTTGTGAACTGAAAGGGCGTTGCTGCAAACACTGAAAGAAACATAAGAAAAGGAGGAGAGAGGCAGGAAGCAGCATTCGGTTCCTAAAACTATGTATGAACTATATGAAATTGATTTCCTTTGTACAAATAGTTAACAAAAATAAACACGTGTTTGGTGCCATGCATTTAGGATCAGAAAAACTGCTGTGTTTGCATCCGGTCTTGGGGCTCCCGGAGGGTTCCTGTCCACAGGCAGCCACGCCGTCATGCCACGCACCCTCACCCCTGGAACCCCCATGAGGCAGGAACCTGTAACTGCCAGAGGCCAAGTCTCTAAACCCGCCTGTGGTTCCCACCACGCACCCTCTGTCCACCTGTAGTGCTTGCTCTGCCACCGTCAGCAGCACGGTAGCAATGCCCAGGCGAGCGGCCGATGGTCTGCACGCAAGAGACGTAAAGAGACCGTAGTTTTCTCCTGCAGGACAGAGGGGCCACGCGGGAGGGGGACCGCACGGAACGGTGCGAGGGGGAGGCTCGGTTTGGCTCTGGTTTCGATTCAAACACCGTGTTCCTTACCCCCATCCGGTGTTGAAATCCTAACCCCAAGGCAATGCTGTGAGAAGGGGGTCATGTCGGGAGGCCAGAAGCCTGGTTGGGATCAGGGTCTGATCTGAGGTACCTCCGGGAGCCAGCGACCCCCTTCCCCATGCAGGTTCCATCTTTGAACCTGGAAGGGAGCCCTGGTCATGCCAGCTGCCCCCGTCCCTCCCCCTGCAGGCCTCATCTTTGAACCTGGCCAAAGACTGACTCTGCAGGGGGTCCTTACCTTGAACCCCAGAACTGGAAGCAGCCAGTGTCAGCTGCTTCTACGTCCCCCCAGGTCTGTGGTGTTCAGCTGGGGTTCAGGCTGGCCTGAAGGCTGCACACCGGCCCCCCAGATGCTGTGTGCTTGAGTGGAGAGTCACACGGCCACTGGTGCTGCAGCAGCCCACGGGCATGAGGGCACCCCTCAGCATTACACAAGGGACGGCTGTTCCAGCTCCCTGCAGATCCAGGCCCTGGGAGACAGCAGGTGGATGGCTCATGTGCCCTGGGCGGCTACACCTGTGTTGGGGACCTGGACCAAGTTCGCAGGTCGGGACTCTGTCCCAGCTCTCACAGGCTGTAGGGCAGGCAAATGTCCCCGTATACAGACCAAGGTTATGCGTGGGGGCTGCGGGTAAGGACCCACACGTAATGAATGCTATTAGCCGGCTGCAGAGTCACCCAGCAGATGGTCGGATCTTCTTAGCTGGGTCTCAAATCCTCCGTAATCCAGACCTTGCTGACCTGTCCTTCTCGCCGTCCCCCCTCACTCCTGCCCCCTTGTGGCTGCTTTGATCTTGCCCCACGCTCTCGGAGGCTTGGGCTCCAGCTCCTCCACTCCCTCTGGTGTTCTCCCTGGGACTCAGCACAGTCCCTGCCGATGCGCTCTCCCACTCACACGCCCAGCGTCCTGCCGTGAGCTGAGCGCTCAGCACACTGAAGGTCATTGTTCGGGGCACCTGTGACCCCCGCTCCCCAGGGGCTCGCTGAGCAGAGGGAGCCTGCGGCTTATTCATGGCCATGTTCCTGGTCCACTTCTGGATGTCCTGCCTACAGCTCAGACATCACTTACTTGTCCGTCAGGATGTGCAGAAGGAGGATCTGGGGTTTGAGTTACAGCACAGCCCTGCGGGGAGGGGAGATCACGGAGGCTGAAGTGAGAGCCGAACTGGAAACGCCGGCCCCATCCCCGCGGCTGCCTGTCCCCTGCGCAGACGACCCAAGCTCTCAGGGACTGGTCAGTTCTTTTTTTCCCTCTGGGTGTCAACCTGGGTGCCTTATGATGGAGACAGCTGGGGCTCCCCAAATTGGAATCGCAAGGAGGTGATCTCATAAGCCAAGCTCACAGCCTCCCTGAGTGGCCTTCACGTCCTGGCCGGATCTTTCATTCTCATCTTCCTGTAGACTTACAAGCCCTGGTCTCCTCCCACGGGTGGGGGTACCCGGCCAGTGGCTTGTCTGGGCCACTGCCTCTGGATGGAAGAATGACAAAGACCCTGAGGTTTGCAAGGTGAAGGGACCCAGGGAACACGATGGGAGTGACAGAGCTTGGGGGCCAACGCAGATCTGTTCTCTCTGGGGTTCCCACTGTGGGGGCTGCTTCTCCTTTCACACCTCAGCAGACAGGGCCCGGCTGCTGGGCTGGAGCGATCCATCCTGGGGAACATGACATCTGCAGAAGACTCTCAGGGGACCCCTTCCCTCAAGAGGGGCTGAGCGGGTAAGGCAGCCACCATCCTACCTTGCACATGGCTGCACTGTCAGGGCCCCTACTTGCCCTGGGATTACTCCTGGATAAGAGGGGCTCACTCCCAGCCCCACCTGCACCTGCCCCTCCCTCTAATAGCCATTGCAACAGGCTTGCTGGGGAAAAGTGAGCTTGGAGGCTCCCCGAGGCTGCTGGCTGCGGACTTGGAGCCTCTCCCAGGCCCAGCCCTCAGCTCTACTGAGCTGGCGGCCCCAGTGTGTCCCAGGGGCCTGGCTAGTGTACCCAGCGACCGTGTCTGGCCCTTGGTCTCTGACAGCAGGCTGGAAGCCCAGCTTCAGGTCCTGGCTCCGGCACTTGGGGAAGTTGCTGTGCTGCCCAAGGGTTAGTGTCATCGTTTGTGAACGTGGGGGTGCAGATCTGCCCTGCCAGGCGTCTATGTCACAGTCTCTCTGCCTTGGAGCGCATGGCAGGTAAAGCTCTCTTTGGAGTACTTTTTGTCTACACAAGAATTTGTACGTTGGAAGCTTGGTCCCGGTGTGGAGGTGGGAGGGTGGGGGCTCATTAAGTGGTACAATCCCAGCATTCTACAGTGTCATTGGTTCGAGTCCCAGATGCTCTACTTCCCACCCAGCTCCCTGCTAATGCTCCTGGGAAAGCGGTGGAAGATGACCTAAGTGCTTGGGCCCCTGCACCCACAAGGGAGACCTGAACGGAGCCCCTGGCCCGTCCTGGCTGCTGCGGCCGTCTGAGGAGTGGACCACTGGCTTTCTTTCTGTCCTCCCCCCTTTCTGTCACTGTGATTCTTAAATAAAAACAAGGCAAAACAAACCAAAAAAAGCAACAGCAGGTGGGGCCTGGTAGCAGGTAACTAGGTCGTGGGGTCTTCCACTCATGCGTGGATGAAGGTGGGGCGTGAACAGGGGGAGATGTGCTGGCAAGGGGTGGCGCTCACTTTCCAAATCCCTGGTCCAGGGCGATTCAGGGCCCCACGCCCTACCCGAGCCCTGATCCTCCCCTCCCTGGATCCTCCCAGCGGCAGCTCCTTGCACCTCGGGCTTTGGAAAGAAGCTGCCCCACCCACCCCACCCGCACCCCACCCACCTCACCCGCACCCCCACCCCGGGCAATTTGCCAGGCCTGAATCTTTGCACTGATCTTGGGCAGGTGGCATGGAGGGTGGACATGTCTCCTGAGGAGTGGGTGAGGCTGTGAGGAGAGGTTGGGGGTGGTTTTGGGTGATTGCTCTGTTACCAAGCTGGCCACCCACGTTGGGGACATGCAGGTGAGGCCCGAGCTACTTCCTGGAAGGACCTTCTGTCCCTAGGCGGGAGGTGCCCAGCACTGCCCGCGGGGCTGGGAACAAGGGGAGAGCCTGCAGGCAGACTCGGGTACAGTGTCGCCAAACATCCTGCGAGGGAGGGGAAGCCCAACTTGAGATTGTCCCGTGTGCTTGCCTGGCGTGGGGGCACAGGGGGAGGTAGAGGCAGGGCGGGGGCAGCTTCTCGACTGTACAGCCCAGCAGGGGATCTGTGGCTGGTGAACTGGCTGGTTCGCTGCATCTAGGGCAGAGCAGGGCGCCCACACGGAGGTTCGCCGCCTCTGAGGTGAGGGATGACGTTGGCTGCCTGGAGCAGGACACTCCGTGCTCCTTGGAGATGTGGGTGTTTAAAACACGAGACTTTGGAAGATCTTGAGGTCTATAGGAAGCCTTTGTCAGGGGCAGCTGCGCACGTGGAGCACACGGCCACAAGTCCTCTGACAAGGCCAGCATTGCAGTGCACTGGGATGGGCAATGCCGGCATCCTATGGGCCGCAGGTTCAAGTCCCAGCTGCTCCAGTTCCGATCCAGCTCCCTGGTAATGCACCTGGGGGGAGGGAGGAAGCAGGCTGCACTGTTTAACCCCAGAATGTCAAGGCCACCTGCAGCCCACCAGGTAAGTCCCTGAGGGCCAGCTGGCACAGAGGTGCCCGCTAGTGGTTTGTGGGGTGCAGACAAAACTTACTGGCGGCGAGGAAGCCACCTTCTTCCAGGAATCCACCCCAGCCCTTCAGCAATGATTCACCAAGAAATTCAAGCCAAGATTGGACGAGTCCATGAAAGGCCTGCCAGAGGCTCGTGAACACGCATGCGTGCTGAGAGACCGCGTCCAGTTTGTGGAAAAGGCAGCCAGACTCTGGTGTCCTTCTGACACCCACCTGCGCGGGCAGCCCCTTCCACGGCCGTTCGTGCGCTCCCAGACTCCCAGACAGGTTTCTCTCTGCTTGCTGCTTCCTCAGCGAGGCAGACGGCTTGGCTCCTGAGAGGAGCGGAAGGAAGGCGAGGAAGGGGAGGGGAGAGGAGCCTGTCTCTGCGCCTGCGGGGGTGGGGGAGAAGGCAGGGCAGGTGGAGGAGGCGGGACCTTGGCTGCTGGGTCCCAGGCTGTGCCACTGGGTCCTGGGCAGTCCTGGGCGCCAGCAGCATGGCCTTGCCCGTGGGGATCCTTCTGGCGTGTTGCCTCCTGCTCCATGAGGCGGGGTTTGCTTCCTCTATAGGTGAGGAGTGGGGGACAGGGGATGGGGGCTGGAGGCTGAGAAGCGAGCACCCCCTGGGCCCCAGGCCAGGCAGGCGTGGAGAGTCACCCTTACCCACCATGCCCTGCGGGAGAAGAGGCTGTTGGGTAGAATGTAAGACACACACACACACACACACACACGCGCGCGCGCGCGCGCGCGCGCACGCGCCTAAGCAACACAGGACTAGATGGTCAGCATGAAGGTATGAAGTTTTCACGGCAGAAGCAGTGAGTTCGGGTCAGCACACGCCTCCCTTCTCTGAGATAACTGAACGGCTGGAGGGGCGGACGACGGACTGTGCACGTTGGCGGCTGATGGATAGAGGATTGAAGAACGAGTCACAGATGGATGACAGGCGGGTCGGTGGATGGGTGAGCGAGAGGCGGCTGACGAGAGATGACGGCTAAATGGGTAGATGGATCGATGACACGGAGAGGTGGGAACATGACACAGACGCAGGTGACAGACACCGACAGGTGTGAACAAAGCTGGTGAGCGTGGCCCCAAGAGCTCCCTGCGTCTGGGCCTGGCCTGATCGGCACCTGCAAGCCCCTGGCTCTCCTACAGAATTTCGCTCCAGCGATGGATCGTTTCCTCAAAGGAACGCAGGGAAGGAGGCCGCCCGTGGGCGCTGGGCCGAACGCTGATGCAGGCCTTCCTTCCCTGTACCTGTCCCGGATCAGCCGCTGCCTGGAGTCGGGACCCTCGTGGCCCCCCACGGTCTTCACAGGGATCTCAGGGGCCAGGGCCAACTTCAGGCCGCTGGGGAGGGCCGGGACATCAGCGCAGTCAGGCGTCCACTGTCACCAGGGGTCGCACTGGTCTCCTCCTCCTTCCTACCCTCCTAGGTGAGCTCAGGTGGCCAGCGGCCCCTTCAGCTGCCCCCCGACACCCCTGAGCTCCGACTGTGGCTTCTGGCAAGGCCTTTGCAGCTCCCGGGGTGCATTGGGACAGCAGTGATGGCTCCCACTGCTGTCGGAGTCTGCAGGCGTGCTGGTGTCACGGTCGTTGTTCCTGGAGCTGCTGACAGTAATTAGAGAGGCAGGGTCCAGGGGAGGACTCAGCGCGGGGGGAGTACCCCTTACTCAGACGCTTGGGTCTGGAAACATTTCAGGTTCTCGATTCTGGTCCCTTTGGACCACCCCTGTTGGTGCGTAGTGAGACATTTTGGGGCCAGGACGCAGGTCTGACCAGGAAAAGCACGCATGTTCTACTCGCACCTTACTGGGGCAGCAATCGGGCACGGCACGCATGAGTGTCTGCCGCTCGGACACGAGGTGTTCTCCGATGGGGCTTCCCACCTCGGGGTCGCCTCGACCCTCACAGCGTCAGGGTCTGGAGCGCTTTGGGTCCCAGTGACTCCAACTCAAGAGTTTGGGATCCTGTCGCTCGCCTGGGAGACCCAGATGGAGTGCCTGGCTCCTCCTGCCTTTGGTTCAGTTCAGCCCCGGCTGCTATGGCCATCTGGGGAGTAGAGACGGAAGATGTGTGTGTGTGTGTGTGTCTGTTTCTCTCCCTCTACCTTGAAATACACACATAGATCATTTGTAAAGAGTTGCTTATTTTTAATAGAAAGATGAATTTAGAGAGAAAGAGTAATTGCTTTCTGCAAATATTACTGAGGGTAATGAGACCAAGTGCTTTTGCCACCTAAAGGCGGCCCACACATTCCCCAGCTGAGACACTACACAGTTTATTTTACTCTAAACTGCCTTAGTAATGATGTTTTTGGGTCTCTGTATGTGGGACTCGTTTGAAGCATGTCTGAATGAATTCTTTATCAGGAAGTCGTCCTGGCTAAAGCCAGGACTGCGTGAGACCATCCAAGGTTGCCCACACCAGGTAACACTGTCCTGGAGCCTCCGACATGATTATTAGAATGTGAAAGAAATAATATATAAACTGCATACGGTGGGATACAAAATCAGTGTGTCATTTTATATTTTAAACTCTTTGGAATACAAGTTAAAAAATTTTGTTTTGGGGCCTTTGTAATAAGTTCATCCTCTCTCTGTGGCGCCAGCATCCCAGGTGGGCACCAGTTCAAGGCACCTGGCTGCCTCACTTCCCATCCAGCTCCCTGGTTATGGCCTGGGAAGACAGCCTTGGGACCCTGCCCTCATGTGGCAGGAACTCCTGGGCTCCTGGCTTCGGGTTGGCACAATCGTGGTCCTTGAGGCCACTTAGGGAGTGAACCAGTAGATGGAAGCTAGCTCTCTCTCTCTCTCTCTCTCTCTCTCTCTCTCTCTCTCTTTCTCCTTCTCTCTTCTTTGCGTTTCCCCCTTTCCCCACCTTCCTCTGACTTTCAAGTAAAATCAACAAATCTTTGTAAAAAATATTTCTGATGAGACCGTCTGGCTGGGTGGCTGGATACACAGCGGGCAGTAGTTTGGGTGCTAACACGAGTCAAATGGCACATGGGAGCATTCAACGCAGAGCTTTTCAAAACTTTGGAATGAGATCGTCAAGCACTGTGTTGGATTTGTTTGGCATAAATTATTTAGCGTAAATTGTGTTGAACAATTTAGAACAAGTTCTGAAAGCCGGAAGGCTGTGCTGTGTCCCTGGATGGGAGAGGTGTTACAAGAACGACGCCAGTTTTCCTGAAACCAACAGGGTAGTTTCGGGCCGTTTATCTCATCATCCTTGGCAGATTTGAAGCATCATGGACTAAATCGGCCCCAAATGTTGTTTTTCAGATTCCAACATTCATTATCCAGAGATGGTAGGTAAGTTGATCAAAGCCATCTTCTGTTACAGATGTATTTTTTTTTCCCCTTTATCCTTGTCAAATGAGTGATTTCGTTATTTTTCTGGTTAAAATTTTTGCTGCCTGTGTCATATGATGTGACACTAACAGCTGGCAACAGATACTTCTAATCTTTAATTTTACCGCTTGAGCAAAGAATACCAGTTTCAAAATGTGTATAGAAAAGCACCAAAAAGGGGAGTATTGTGAGCAAAACGAGTGCGTGGGTGGTTAAAAACACGTGCTCCACGCATTGGCATAAACTCACGCGTGGGCAGTAAGGATGCCAGGCCCCACACTGGAGAGCCTAGCTTTCTATTAGCGGCTAACAATAGCACCCTGGGATGCACCTTGCAGCGATGGTCCAAGGTCCAGGGTCCCTGCTTTGGCCTGGCCAGCCTTAGTCGGGAATGAGCGTGGAATGGGAAATGTGCTCTGTCTTGTTTGCTTCTTAAATGAAGAAAAATTTTAAAAAGGTTTAAATTAGACATGGTAAACACCGTGCCTGGGAAAAGTGCAGTAAGTCGCAGCCCTGCCCGCTGCTGTCTGGCTGTCTGTCCATGTGCCCGCTGACCGGGTCATCTTCACTTCTGCCGATTCCCTGAGACCTCAAGGAACAGCTTGTTAGGTTCCAGGGACACAGCAGAGCTCCAGGTCTGTGTGGTGTTCCCGTGCAGGGGGGCTGCGCCCCACTCTCCCCTGTCTGCCCTTCCCGAGTCCCCTCTGGCATCGCAAGCTCATCTGCATTCCCAGCCATCAACTTCTCAAAAGAAACAGAAGCATCTCGGGAGGAAATACAGAGCGCGGGCAGTCAGCCATCCCTGTCCCATGTCACAGGGCCAGGCTGATGCCCACCTCTAGCTCCTGGTGCCGGTTCAGCCAGCCCTGGTACATGCGCAGATACCCAGCTCTAGCTCCCAATGCCAGCTCCTGCCCAGCCAGCCCCTGGCAGGTGCACACACAGACGCCCAGCTCTAGCTCCTGGTACTGGTTCAGCTAGCCTTTGGCAGGCATACAGACGCCCAGCTCTAGCCCCCGATGCCAGCTCCTGCCCAGCCAGCCCCTGGCAGGTGCACAGTGAGGACTCACCAAGTGCTCCCTGTAGGTATGTGTGCAAGGAAACTTCAGAAAGTTCATGTGGAAACAGCTTAAAAGATAAGTTTATTTTCTTGCCAAAAAAAGTTTTTTATTTAGGGGACTGGTATTGTGGCTCAGCAAATTAAGCTGCTGCCTGCAATGTTAGCATCTCACAGGGGCCCCTGTTTGTGTCTAGCTGCCCTGCTTCCCATCCAGCTCCCTGCTTGTGGCCTGGGAAAGCAGTAGAGGATGCCCTAAGCTTTGGGTCCCTGCACCCGCGTGGGAGACCCAGAAGAAGCTCCTGGTTTCTGGCTTCAGATCGGCTCAGCTCTGGCCGTTGTGGCCACACGGGGAGTGAAGCAGTGGACAGAAGATCTTTCTCTCTGTTTTTCCTTCTCTGTGTAAGCATGCCTTTTCGATAATGATTATAATAATCACAATGAAAGTAGAGTTACAAAGAGAGAGGGAAGGACTGAGGTCTCCAGGCGCTGGTTCACTCCCCTAAGAGTCAGGGCCTGGCCAAGCTGCACAGAGGAGGCTGGAGCCTCATCCAGGAGCAGCCACCGCCTTCCCAGGTGTGTCAGCAGGGAACTGGGTTGTAAGTGACAGCTGACTTGACCCTGGACTCACGTGGGATGCTGGCTTCTCAGGCAGGCATCAGCTGGTCCGGAGGGCATCTTGGAAAACAGGAGTCCTCCCTTGCATGGCAAACCTTGCACAGCATGCAAGACCTCCCTGCTGGCGAAGGCTGAAGAGCTTGCGGAGAGGGAGGACGAGCCAGTGCGGGCTCTTTGAGAGTGTGGTCAGGCTTCCAGCCTACACTGTCCCCGTGACACACATGAGGATCGCCATGCACTAGGGACCCACTGACAGAGAGACCGGGGGTGGGGGGAGGCCAGGCGGGGCAGGGGCAGCACCGAGTGGCCAGCAGTGATGTCCTAGAGATGCAACAGGTTTGCTGCCCCCCACCCCCCCCCAGGCGGCCGCTGCGTCTTCCCGTTCCGGTACCAGGGGCAGGTATTCCATGATTGCACTCAGCTCAACGCCCGGCACAAGTGGTGCTCCCTGAACCAGAGCTACGCTGGCTACTGGAAGTACTGCACGGCAGCCGGTGAGGGCCGGTGGGCAGCGAGGGCAGGTGGGCCGGGAGGGGAGCGGAGGGATGCAAGGTCCTCCCTCTCCCTTCTCTCTCCCTTTCTCTTCCCCTCTCTCTCTCTTCCTCCCACTTCGCCCCTTTCCCACGCCCTGTCCCTCCCCTTGTCATGGCTTTCTCCTGCAGACTTCGCCAAGTGCGTGTTCCCCTTCTGGTTCCGGCGCATGATCTACTGGGAGTGTACAGATGACGGTAATGACTTTGGGAAGAAGTGGTGTTCGCTGACCCAGGACTTCAACCGGGATCAGATCTGGAAATTCTGCTGAGCAAACAAGTGTGACCCGTCGTCCCGGCTGGGCAGGGCCATCCGCTGTGGCTCAGAGGGCCTTTCCTGGCGTGCGACTGGCACACCTGGAGCCGGCAGGTGCACGCAGCCGGGCGGCTGTTGCTAATCCTGTAGGGACATGACGGTGGGCTGATGTGTGTGTGGGCAGGTGGGGTCTGTGCGGAATCAACTCAGTCACCACTCGGTCTTTCTGTGAACTTGAATCTGTTCTAAAAAATAATAAAAATCTGTTGTAAATGTGTGGTTTTGATAAAGAGCAGGGGACAGGAGCTGGGGGAAAGATAATCAGGGAAGCGGATACGAGTGAGCGGGCTGGCTCTCGTTCCAAAGGGAAGCCGTGTGCAGGGCCGGAGCCCAGAAGTTCAGATTTCCTTGCTCAGCATTTGTCAGCTTCCTTGGTTTCCTTGCAGTGGGAAAGCTCCTGGCTTTGCCTGGCTCAGCTCTGAAAGGAAACCTTTTATTAAAAAAGCGAACGGGCTCGTGAGTACCGCAAAGCCACCAGGAAGTAGCGAGAGGCCGGTGCCTCCAGGCTGGCTCTCTGATCACAGGACAGAATGTGACCACAGAGCTGTGCCCTGCCCTGAGCGTGGGTGCGGTGATGCGGCTGGGGCTAAGTGACCCTGCTGGTCTCAAGGAGGAAGCCAGGACCACCGGCTGGAAACTGAGTTAGGAACAGAAAATTTGTTGCATTTAAAAAAAAAAAAATTCTGGAAGTCACAAAGCCTGCTGAAGTCTCCAGGGAGAGGCAGAGCGCACCGGCAGAGTGATGTGGTTGTGTCAGGCCCTGGCGAGCTCCCTGTGCAGCAAAACATTGTGGTGGGCAAAGCAAGCGATGTAACAACCAGCTTTTAAATATTTTATGGAAAGTCAGATCTGCAGAGAGAAGGAGAGACAGAAAGAAACATCTTTCTTCTGCTGGTTCATTCCCCCCAAGTGGCTGCCATGGCTGGCTGGGGCTGAGCTGATCTGAAGCCAGGAGCCTGGAGCTTCTTCCAGGTCTCCCACGGGGGTGCAGGGTCTCAAGGCTTTGGGCTGTCCTCGACTGCTTTCCCAGGCCACAAGCAGGGAGCTGGATGGGAAGTGGAGCTGCCAGGATTGGAACCAACGCCCATATGGGATCCCGGCACGTTCAAGGCGAGGACTTTAGCCACTAGGCCACTGCACTGGGCCCTTGATATTTGTTTTTAATTTTCGGTTGCTCGAGAGGCAGAAAGCAGAGAGTGGAGAGAGAATTCTGTCCATTGATTCACTTCTCAAATCAGCTGGTGGCTTCCAGCTGTGGCTGCAGCCAGGCACCCGGCAGGGGAAGATAGGGACTCGGCTACCAGTCACCTGCTGCCTCCCGGAGGGGCTGGGGCGGGAGAGCGTTGATTTCTATAGTTAGGGGGTCTGCACCACTGTCTCAAGTTCCAGGCTAGGCACCTTGCAGCTTTAGTTGACATATAGCGACTGGGCGTGTTGACAGGGTCTCGTGTGATGCTGTGCCCACGTCCACGCCAAATTCAGGAAACACCCGCTAAGTTCTCACGACCTACAGACACCCTGCCGGGTGACAGACCCCAAAGCACTGCTGTTGGGCTGCGGCCCAGCACCAGATTGCGGCTCAGCACCCGTGTGGCCCTGCCCGGCCATCCCCACTCCCCACTCTCTCATCACTGTCCCACCCTCAGCTCCCGTGAGCGCCACCATCACGCTTGATTTGACCAAACGAAGCCAAGGGAACCTGCCCTGTGCTCCAGGCTGATCCTGGAGTCCCTGCTCGTGACCGCCAGGGAAGGGTCATGGACTCTCAAAGCAAAAGGGCCCTGGGAGAGTGATGGGGAGTGACAGGCAGTGACAGGGTAAAGGAGGGTGGCAGGGAGTGAGGGAGGGTGATGGGAAGTGACAGGGAGTGAGGGAGGGTGACGAGGAGTGATGGGGAGTGACGGGGAGTGAGGGAGGGTGATGGGGAGTGACAGGGAGTGAGGGAGGGTGGCAGGGAGTGAGGGAGGGTAGCAGGGAGTAATGGGGCATGAAGGAGGGTGACTGAGGGAGCAGTCCAGGAAGGGGGGAGGGACAGCTCGGCGTGGGACTCCCGCACGACCCTCAGCTCTGACAGTGTCTCTCCCGGCACCTTACACGGCTACTTGACAGACTTCAAGATGACAAACCCTGGCAGGAAGGCGTGAGAGGCGAAGTCTTTATTCTGAGGACTCGCAGGTGGAGGTGAGGGGGCGGGGCACACCTGCCCAGGTTCATTGCGCTGACGCATCTCGGGATGCAAACCAGGGACCCTCTCTGAGCTGCAGTGGGGTGGCAGATGTGAAACAAGGCGGTGGGGGGGTGGTGTCTTTCAGGGGTGGCTTTGCTGTCACCTGTCAGAGGCGGAAACTCGGGGCACTCTGGCTGTGCGCTCTCTGCATCATGGTATTTTGAGGGGATTAATTCGCCAGGGATCAGCTTGCCCTAAACCTTGAAAATCCGGATTTATGATTGGATTCAGCCCCCCAAGGGTCTTAGATGGGAGAGGGACATGTGGAGGTCAGATGGGAAAGAAAAACAAAACACCAAAAACCCAGCTGGGAGCCGGAGGGAGTCGCGAAGACAGGAAGCACAGAATGCAATGTGTGGCATAGCGGACCAATCCTCCACCTTGTAATGCCAGCACCCCATTCCTGTCCCGGCAGCTCCACTTCCCATCCAGCTCCCTGCTTGTGGCCTGGGCAAGCAGTGGAGGACGGCCCAAAGCCTTGGGACCGTGCACGCCCATGTGAGATACCCGAAAGAAGCTCCTGGCACCTGGCTTCGGATCTGCTCGGTTCTGGCCATTTTCCACAAATACCATGTTGCACCCCAGAAACATGGGATTTAATGAGGCAAAAAAAAGTCGAAATGTGTGCATTTCCCCATAATACGCATTTTAGAAACTCATCGGAGACCTTCCTGCGCATGACGGATTTTGTTGTTTGCAAGGCTGGGGAACAGACGCACAGGTCTTCCGCCCGCTGGTTCAAAGCCTGCAACAGCCAGGGCAGGGCCAGGCTGAGGTGAGGGGTGAGGGATTCAGGGACCAAGGTAACCAAGTGACCCGCTGCTGTGCGATCTGAGTCAGGATGGGAGCCCAGGCACTTGGCGGGGACCACCAGCACACCAAGCAGCGTGGCTTCCAGAACTTTATTTATATATATATTTTTTTGCATCAAAAAGCAAGTTCTCTCTCACTTCCATTTTCCACGAGGGGTTTTGAGGTGTCTTCAGAGGCTCTTCCTTCTGATTCTACAGCTGCACCCCGCTAAGCTTAGATCGCACCCCAACTTGCAGCCCACCATCACACGGCCAGTCCCCACTCCCTCCACCTTCCCACCCCGGCTCCCTCAAGGGGCTGTTGGAGTTGGGCTTCCACCTGGGCTTCCATCCTATTGAACAGCTACTTCTGGGGCTTCCAGAAGCTTCTCAACGAGACATCATCTTCACAAACTCTGTAAAGAGAAGTCCTGGGTGAGTTGCCTTTCGGTGTCCTGTGGGGCTCACAGTGGCGTGAGACGCGTCCTAAAGCTGCCGCCTCTCCTGGCTCACCTCCAGCTTGGAACACCCTATGGGGACTGGCATGGGAGCGGGCATGTGGGGAAGCGTCCTCCTGCCCCCCCCACCCGAGGTCACCTTCGAAGTCCACGGTGCCGTCTCCGTTGATGTCAGCTTCCTGGACGACCTCGGCGATCTCATGGGGCGTGAGCTTCTCGCCTAGCAGCCGTTGCATGGCCTGCTGCAGCTCTCCCAGCGTGATCTCCCCGTCGCCGTTGGCATCAAACTGCATGGAGACAGAAGCGGTCCCCGTCAGCAGGGCCACTGTCCCCACCGACGTCACCCGCCTGCACGTGGGCTCTGCAAAGAAGGGTTTTTTTTTTTAAATGACTTTCACCTCTGCATTATTTTTAAAAGACGTATTTATTTTGTTTTTATTGAAAAGGCAGATTTTACAGAGAGATGGAAAGACAGAAAAATCTTCCATCTACTGGTTCACTCCCCAAGTGGTTGCAATGCCAACAGCTGAGCTGATCTGAAGCCAGGAGCCAGGAGTCTCCTCCAGGTCTCCCACACAGGTGCAGAGCCCCAAGGCTTTGGGCCGTCCTTGACTGCTTTCCCAGGCCACAAGCAGGGAGCTGGATGGAAATGGAGCAGCTGGGATACAAACATATGGGATCCAAGCGTGTGCAAGTTGAGGACTTTAGCTGCTAGGCTACCACGCTGGACCCAGCATCAGCTCCGTTTAAACAAGAATTTAAGCGTCCAGTTCTGTGCTGTGGCTCTCTGCAGTTGAGACATTTTTCATAATAAAAAACTTTATTCCCTTTGGACAATAACTGCCTTCTCACTCCTCTCGTTTTACTTTCAAATCTGCCAAGACTCTCCTATCCTGCCTCACCCCAGCTCGTTCCCCAAACGGGCTCCCACAGGTGGGGCCCCTGCGACCTGCCCTGTCCCCTCTGCAGCTGCTCCCATCACCCTGGGCAGTTTGCTCCTCCACGAACACGCTGACCCGCCAGACAGTGATTGTTCTAGAAGCTTGGTCACCCAGGACGTGCTTTCCCCAGAGCAGCCATGCCCGACATGGCCATGATCCCAGTCTTAGTGGGGATTTTAGATTTTCTGAATGTCACATGAAAAAAAAAAAGTTAAAGGGAACAAATGCAATTACTGTGTCGTATGTGAGATCTATGGAAGGATGGGGAGGGAGAGGGCGGGCCGGCCTGAGCCCTCGCGTGCGCTGGGCCACTCCCTGTGTGCCCACCACACTCAGGGCTGGGCCGGGCCGAGCCGGGAGCTGGGAACTCTGAGTCTCCCGAGGGCGTGCCAGGGCCCGCATGAACAGGAGCAGAGCTGGGACTCGGACTGGGGCACTCATACGAGGTGCCAGCGACCCAGCTTGGTGTCTTAGGCCGTGTGTCGACTCCCACATGAACTTGGGAAGACCCCCACATGAACGCTGGTTTGCGGACTGGATTTCACAGCCCTGGACACACCGAGCACTCGCCTCGCACGTGCTTAGCACACAAGCTCAAGTTCACACAGTCGCTGGCGGGGTCTGGAGCCAGTGAGTTGGCCACACTCACCGCACATGTCAGTGTTGAGCTCGTATGGGGAAGGCTTGATGTGGGAGGCTAGCATTGCGGTGCTCTGGATTAAAGGCCTGCCTGAGACACCAGCATCCCATATGAGCATCGGTTCGAGTCCCGCCTGCTCCACTTCCAAGCCAGCTTCCTGCCTATGACCTGGGAAAGCAGTAGGGGAGGCCCAAGTGCTTGGGCCTGTGCCATTCCAGGGAAGACCCGGATGGAGTTCCAGCCTCCCAGCCTGGCACAGCCCTGGCTGGGCTAGCCACGTGGGGAGTGAACCAGTGGATGGAAGGTCTCTCCCCTACCCCTTCTTTCCCTGTAACTGTGCCCTTCACACAAACAAAATGAAAGAGAATGCTTGATCTGACTTTAGGCCTTATCGCAAAATCCCAAGTTGAAAAGGTAGATTCTATCACCCAGATTGTTTCAAGAAAAGTTTTCCACAAACTGAATCAAACTTTCATTCCTAAATGTGAGTCAGTTGTACTGGAACACTTGGACAGAGGAGTATATTCAATGCTATCGTCATGAAAGTTAAACAGGAAACTGAGGGCCCCATGCGGTAGCCTAGTGGTCAAAATCCTTGCCTTGCATGTGCCAGGGTCCCACATGGGCACTGGTCCATGTTCCGGCAGCCCGGCTTCCCATCTAGCTCCCTACCTGTGGCCTGGAAAAGCAGTCGAGGACGGCTCAAAGCCTTGGGACCCTGCACGCACATGGAAGACCTGGAAGAAGCTCTTGGCTCCTGGCTTCGAATCGGCTCAGCTCCGGCTGTTGCAGCCACTTGGGGAAGTGAACCAGTGGACGGAAGATCTTCCTCTCTGTCTCTCCTTTTCTCTGTATATCTGACTTTCCAATAAAAATAAATAAATCTTAAAAAAAAACAAAAACCTCAGGCAATTGAAACCCATTGAAATATATATAATGACAAAGCTGGCGTCTCAGTCACTCCAGCTGCGTTTCTGGGGCTCAGCCTGTGGCTGCTGTTCCGGACGGGGCATGGTGGGCGGGGGCACGGTGGGCGGGGCACGGTGGGCGGGGCACGGTGGGCGGGGCATGGTGGGCGGGGCACAGTGGGTGTCACAGAACGGGCTAGTGGCTTATATGAGGACCCCTGCTGGGGGGCATCTCTGCGGGTCTCAGCCTACACATGCCTGCTTCAACGACTTGGCTTCCAAGTCCTAGCCTAGTTTTTGGCTGTTTTTGACTTGTGTGGTTGAAAGCTCTCTATCCCAAGTGGTTTTAAACCAGGTGGTCCGTGTGCTTTCCCTTCTGGGACCCTCCAGTCTCTCGACTCCTTCTTCCCAGTCGAGGCTTTTACATCTGACTCCCTACCACCTACTTCGGAGACCGCCCGGGCTTGGCTAAGGCTCATCAACTCAGACCCCCGACCCGCTGAGCCCTGGTGTTACTGGTCGGATCCCTCGCAAGGGCCTCGGAAAGGAAATGGGTTGGCGTGAGCTCCGTCCATGTTGTGACAAGCAGCGAGATCTAAGCCCCCAGCCCCTACCCGGCAGGCCTCCCCCTCCCACCCACCTCCTTGAAGGCGTCTCGCAATTCCTGGACGCCGATCATCCCGGCAGTCTCCGCAAGCAACTTGGGGGTCATCAGCTCCACGAAGTCGTCGAAGTCCACCCGACCGCCCACTGGGGACAGAGGAGGCGGAGTGAGCAACGCTCCTCGAGCCCCACTCCCCCCCGCCTCTCTGAACTGCAGCTCCATTTCAGAGATGCACAGGCTTCCCACACCCTGCCTTGACCTTGCCCTTCGCCTCAGAGACCCAACTCCAGCCCTCATGCATCCTTAATCTGGGCAGAGACAGGGTGTAGAGGCAGCAGCCAACTCCTGTGTGAGCGTCAGCAAACCTCTCCCTTTAAACAGTGTCTGCGTTGGGCCTCAAGCAGTGGCTCAGTGGCTAACTCTTTGCCTTACAAGTACTGGTGTCATACAGGCGCTGCTGCGTCATGTCCTGGCCGCTGCACTTCCCATCCAGCTCCCTGCTTGAGGCCCAAAGCCTTGGGACCCTGCACCCATGTGGGAGACCCGGAAGAATCTCCTGGCTCCTGGCTTTGGATCAGCTCAGCTCCGATCTGTTGCAGTCACTTGGGGAGTGAACCAGCAAAATTGGAGCTGGGCACAAACCAGGTGTCCTACATGGGACCAAGGCAGCCCTTGCCCCTCACTTTTCGGGCTGCCACCTGCTGCCTCCTGGGGGCACTAACTGGAAGCTGCACTCATGGGCAGAGCCAGGGCTCGAATCCAGGTGTGTCAGGATGGGCTGCGGACACCGCCCCGCCCCGTTGTGTCAGATTCCTGGTCTCCCATCTGCAGATGGGCAGCCTGGGGAACTCAACGGGAACTGAAGCCTCTTCCGGACATAAACAGCTGCCTTCCCTGCAGAGAGCCAAGCCCACAGATGAGGAAGTCCTGGCATACGTGGGGCAGTGCTTGTGTGGAACCCGTGCGTGCCCTCCCACACACTTCATGTCCCCTCTGCATTAGCTAGGATGCGCAGTGCAGCGCGAGGCTTCTGTGAACAGCAGATTCTTCCAGAATCACACTTGTTACCAGTGCTAGCCCCCAAGTGTGGCGTCACCTTCCAGACTTCACATCTTTCTCACCCTCCTCTCCACGCCTAACCCTTCTGTCCGCTTCCAGATCCTTCTATAGCTAGCCCTAGTCCCTCTCTCCCGGCGCCATTCTTCCCCAGTCCTGAGCCTCACAGTTCATGCGGATTTGCTGGCCCAGCTCCGTCAACTCCATCTCTGTGGGCATATAACCCATTGTCCTCATGAGATTGCCCAGGTCCTTGTAACAGATGAACCCATCTCGGTCCTTGTCAAACTCAAGAAATGCTTCTCGGAGCTCTGGAAGTCAAGAGAAAGAAGAGAGGGAGAGGGAGGGAGAGGGAGAGAGAGAGAGAGCAAGCGCGTTTTTGGGAAGACTTGAAAAGCCCACGAGGATGAGCGGCATCCCTGTTGAAGCAAACTGCAGTTTACAAAGCTAACTATGCCCAGCAGCAGTGACGCGTGTTAGCCAGGGTGACAATCCCCAAAATGCTAATGGAAGCCTCCATGCCTTTCAGGTCCTTGCAAGAGGCTACGGGGAACCTCGAAACTGGAAAAGAAAACTCCATTTTCAGTTCATTCTAAAACTCTGGAGTCCCCCAAGACTCTTATGGATGGACTTGTTTTCCCTTTACGTTAGGAGAGAAAGAGTTCCACGCAATTCGAGTGGCATGGAATGGGTCAGAAAGTTTCCCGTGGAGGGCCTGGGAGCAGAGGCGCTGGGGCGAGAGGTGGAGAATTACCTTCGATCTCATCCTGTCCCAGCGGTCGCTCCTGGAGAGCAAGGTAGGGTGGAGGAAATTGGGCGAGAGTCAAGAATGCAACATCCACTTCTGTGTCCCCTAAGCCCCGCCTGGTCCCGCTGCTCCGGCTCCTGCTTGCCCTCCTCTCCAGCCCTTGTCTGGCTTCTCCACCTCCCGGTCCACGTCTCCTTGCTGTCTGCCCTTCCCCCAATCTCCCATCCTTGATTTCGGCTCTCCCACCCAGAGCCTGGCCCAGATACCTCATCATTCGATTTACTTATCCCCGACTCTGTGCCCTGCTGCTTCCACAGCCACGTCTTCACATCTAACGCCGTCCCCAGCTCACCCGTGAAGTGGCCCAAGACCAGAGTGGCCAAATTCACAGAGTTCGCAAGTGGTGGGTCCCCTCTCCAGGGAGGGAGAAAGAAACTGATTTCCTGAAGTTAGACAGTGAGTTGCAACCCTGGGGACTTGAGTTCAGAGCTCTGGCCTTGGAACCCAAGAGTTCTTATGATATCCCACGCGCTCTTCCCGCTCGCTCCCATCCTTCCTTGCACGGGTGAGACTCCGTCTGTGTGGGAGGCCAGCATGCCCTGCCATGCAGGCAGGGTCATCAATGCCAGCACCAGCACCGAGGAAGTTCTCCCTAACCTTTGAGAATCTCCCATCGTTGCTGTCTGCCTCACTCCTGAACACGTCTGAAGGCTTGAGCCACGGCTGTCAGCTGGAAACTACAGCAGTGGTTGGCCTGTCCAATCTGTCGCTCCCTGGATCCCTGGGACTCTGTTTCTCTGGCTTCTCTTTCTCGTCCCTGCAAATCCCCTTTCACTCCATTGCTCCTTCCTGCCCGCCTTCTTTCCTCTTCCCAATCCCTTGGGTGATTTCGAAGTCTGACATTAGCATCAGGTCCACAGGAGTCAAGCACTTGACCTGGCCAGTTTCTGTGTCTGCCTCGGGCCTAGGACTTCAGGACACAGAGCTTCGTTTCCTTCCTTGTAAAATGGGAATGAAGGAATCACTGAACCCGTGAGTTCTGAGGAGTAAGAGACATCGAGGGTAGGGTTGGGCACACAGCGGCACCATAGCAAGTGGAGGTATGTCATCATTGCCATAGTGTTAGCATCAGCGCCAACACCATCACCACCATCATCACCATCACCACTACCACCATTACCACTACCACCATCATCACCACCATCATCACCATCACCATCATCACCACCATCATCACCATCACCATCATCACCACCATCATCACCATCACCACTACCACCATTACCACTACCACCATCATCACCACCATCATCACCATCACCACTACCACCATTACCACTACCACCACTATCATCACCACCATATCACCACCATCACCACCACCACTGCGAGTGACCTTGAGAATGCTGATGATCTCGACCGTGTCTGCATCCCACTCCCCGTTGGATTTCTGGTCTCCCCTTCCGCCTGATCTCCCTGGGCTCTGACTTTGGAATTTGCCTTCACGCCTTTAACCTCATCAGTCCTTGAGTTTGCCCATCTTGAATTTTCTCCTGCACCTCCTCAGCCCAACCATCTCCATCCCCGCCCTTTGCTCCACTGTGTCTCCTTTCTGCCACGTCCCAGCTCCCTTGGCCCGCCTGCCCACCCTTCCCCGTGGTGCCCGCCACTGGTCTCACCCGCTGTTTCTCAGCAATGCCCTTCCTCAAGAAGATGCAGGCGGGACCCATGGGGAACTGCATGGAGGGGGCAGGACACAGCTCACCCAGCACCGATCTCAAGCCGGACCCCCTCCTTCCCGTTCCCCCTCGGTGGATCAGCCTCCTTAACTTCTCAATCACTGCTCTGCCAGTGGTTCTGGCCTCTCTTGGTTTCCACCTCTGTCCCGTGTCTCTAAGCTGTGACAGCTGGAGCAGAGAGCTCTGCCTGGACTGGGGAGGGATCAGCACTTCCCTGCCTCCCATCTGGCTGCAGAGAGGTGGGGGGGGGAGGGGAGGAAGCCCATCTCAGGCTCTGTGACTCTTTTATCCTCAGAATGGAATTGGGAAGTGTGATTTGTAAATGGGGATTAGAGCGGAGGGCAGTAGGCATTTCCGGCACTTGCTGAAAGCCTGGCTGTGGAGCAGTGGAAGAGGGCAAGGACAAAGCCTCTGGCCTCAAGGTGCCAGAGTAAGCCAGCCATGTGTGCAAAGCAGCATCATGCTAGAGATGACAGCAGGGCTGCTGGAGCAGGCGGTGCGCATGGTGAATAACAGCATAGTCACCTCTTGGAGCTGCTGGTGGGAACATGAGAAGTGGCAGTCGCAGCAGAGCTCAAAGGGGCGTTGAGGGTGTTCCTAAGGGGAAGGGCTTTGGAGCCCTCTGGTGTGGGGGACAAGAGAGTGGGGTCCTGGGGAGTCCTCCCTGAAACAAGAGCTGCCCAGAGTGCTGGAGCTCAGCAGTGGAGGTGCAGCCATGGAGCAGCAGCAGTGGGCTGTGGAGTGAAGGGGCCTGGGCTGAGCAGGCAGGGCATCGCCCAGAGCGAGGCTGTCCCCACGTGGGTTAAGAAGGAGCTGATGTGTGGGGGATCCGCTGTAGGATGGCACAGCCTGTGCCTAGTGAGGAGGGCATCCACCTACAGGGGCTGCACAGCGTCGGGTGTGAACGCCGGGTCAGAGTGGCAGGGCCATGCTAGGGGCACGAGGTGACCTTAGGGAAGGGAGACTGGTTGCACACAGAGGACTTGTCTTTGGGTAAGGGTGAGGTGGGTCTCTCAGCACAGGAAGGGAAGTGAGCAGAACGCTAGAGTGTTGGGTTGGAATTGGAGGTACTTGTATTTCTAATGAACACAGAGGGGGCTGGCGTGGTGGTCCAACAGCTGAATCCTCTACGTATAAACATTCCCTATGGGATTACAACCTGGATGCTCCACTTCCCTTCCAGCTCCCTGCCTGTGGCCTGGGAAAGCAGTTGAGGACGGCCCAAAGCCTTGGGACCCTGCACCCGTGTGGGAGACCCTGAAGAAGCCCCTGGCTCCTGGCTTCGGATCAGCTCAGCTCCAGCCATTATATCTATCCATTTTTGGAGTAAACCAGCAGATGGAAGATCTTTCTCCTTGTCTCTTTCCTCTCTTTGTAAATCTGCCTTTTCAATAAAATAATCTTTTTGTTTTTTTTTTTTAAGAAATAAACAGAGTCTCAGAGCGATTGGAAACATGTGTTTATGTATTTTCTAGCTTTGTCAACAAGCAGACATTAAGCAACCTTAACAAGCCCTGCTGTCCAGATTTCGACCTGTAAAACCCCCAGTGAAACAAGCCAGGGTTCCACCGAGACTGGCTGATGCCCCGTCCAGACCAGGAAAGCAGATGGGCAGAGCGGGCAGCAAGCGTTTGATCAGAGAGTTACGGAGAAGCCAGAGGCAGCTCAAGAGGTGCCGCTGGCCGCAGCAGGAACTGTGAGTCCAGCAAACGCTAATCATAAATGCTATGGGACAGCACGGCCAATAAGGAGTCTGAAGATAGACTAGAAAGTTGCATCCTGCGTGCTTGGCGCCATTCGTCGCTTCCTGCAGATGCGTCGTCGGCTCCACTGCCTGGGAGAGTGCAGACCGCATGAGGACAGGGACTTGTCACAGCAGGTGCTAAGGGCGGAGTGGGCACCCTGGGCAGCAGTGGGGCGTGGCCCTCCGTCCCTCGCCACGAGGACAGAGTGGACAGCTCAGTGCCAGTTAGTGGGGAGGGATCACACAGGTCCACGGGTGGGGTGGGGACCTCTGACGCAGGAAGGGGAGCGGGGTGGGAGGGCCGGGTCGGGGAGCTGTCTCCCTAACCGATGTGCAGGTTGGCAGGTGTCACCTGGGATCAAGCTTTGGGGGACTGCATCCTGCCACATGCTACGCTGCCACCATTGCGAGCCTGTGACCGAGAGGACTCGACACATAAGGGCCCAAGAGTCCCGTGGGGCTGTGCCTTTCCCTTTACTTCCTGTGTGTAAGTTCGAATGCCCGGCGTCTTGCATGGAGCATGAGCTTTAAAAGGGTTGGGGAGAGCCTAAGCCAGCGACCCTGTGGCCTTGGCTTGTCCGGGCATGGAGGTGTCAGGGTGCCCCAGGGTCAGACATAGGGAGATGGGGGTGTGGATGGTGCTTACATGGGAGCCGTGACCATCCCACCTGTGTTGATCGCTAGATGTGCATGGCCTGGCAGCCTCTGCCGTGCTCCGCGTGGGACGCCTTGCAGCTCACAGCACTGCGGGGTGGAGGAGAGGACACTTCGAGCTTCCTCCAAAAGCTGCCGCCGCGGCAGCAAGGGGACTCGGGTCAGCCGGCAGGGACGTCTGCTCGTCTGGCCCGATGCCCTTGAGGTCTAGGCGCCTCCTCAACAATTTCCATCCTTGCTCCGCTCGCCTGCAGCCAGCAGTGGACACTCGCCGCCACAGGGCCAAGTAAAGGCTCCTGGACACTTGGCAAAAGACCTCATCGCAGCTGCTCATGGCCTTGAAAACGCGACCGCTGACCAAGTGTGTTTGTACCTGCCAGGAATCCACTCCCAGCCGCAGGAAGAGGTCAGGCGCCTGTCCACACCTGCTCTACTTACAGAGGGTAAAACTGAGGTCTGTCTGGAGCCCCGCCCCCTCTGGAGCCCCGCCCTGCCTGCTGCCTGAGTGATGTCACGGCTGCACAGCTCGGTCTGCCACGAAGCAACAGGGGTCTGGCGATGGGTCAGGGGCCCCAGGGGAAGACAAGGTCCGGGTGGAAGGAAGGGTGTAGGAGAGGCCCCAGGGGCCCAGAGGCTGGGGAGGAGCAGTGAGCCCAGGTCGCAGGTGACCCTGCGGGCTGATAGGGGCGTGGAGTGGCTTCCCTTGTCGGTGCAGCCCTTCCGATGCTGTGGCTGGAGCCCGGGGAGGGTCAGTTCTGTTTTAAGCTGCGAGGTCGGTTCCTGATGGCCACTTCTGGGTCTGGCCTGCCTGCCTGTGCCTTCCTCACTCATGCCCACTGTGCACCTGCCCTGGGCTGCTCCCCCACCTCCCGGGGAAGCTGTCTTGGTCACTCCTTTCTTTGTCCCGTCAGAGTCTGGATTCTGCATCTGGACTGGATGGTGTCACCCAGGGGAGCTGGGCTGCACCCAGAGGGCATGCTATCAGGATGAGGTCCCTGGAGGAGAGCAAGTTGGCCCAGGGACCGTAGGCAGGGAGGCGCTGTAGGCGCTGTGGACTAAGCCACCACCTGAGAGGCCGGCATCCCACGTGAGTGCCAGTTCAAGTCACTTCCAATGCATCTCCTGAGGCGCCTGGGAAAGCAGCAGGTGATGGGGTGAGGGGGGCCTGCCCCCCATGCAGGAGACCTGGACAGAGCTCCAAGCTCCAGGCTCCAGGCTCCAGGTGCAGCCCGGCTGCTGCAGGCACTTGCGGAAGTGAACCAGTGGATGGAAGCTCTCCCTCTCGGTGTTGCTCCCTCTGCCTGTTATTTATTTGTTAAAGATGTATTGATTTTTATTGGAAAAGCAGATATATAGAGGAGGAGAGACAGAGAGGAAGATCCTCCATCTGATGGTTCACTCTCCGAGCAGCCACAATGGCTGGAGCTGGAGCCCGGAGCCTCTTCCAGGTCTCCCACACGGGTGTAGGGTCCCAAGGCTTTGGGCCGTCCTCAACTGCTTTCCCAGACCACAGGCAGGAAGCTGGATGGGAAGCGGGGTTACAACTGATGCCCATCTGGGATCCCAGTGTGTGCAAGGTGAGGACTTTAGCCGCTAGGCTATCACGCCTTGCGCTCTGCCCTTCAAATAAATAAGAGCTCACCCTCTAGGCTCTCCAGCTGCACGGTGCACGCTGGAACACGCACAGCTCCCGCATGGCTCCTCCCACCTCAGTCTTCCTCAGAAAACCATTCAACTGCCTCCTCCGCCACCATCGCTGCCCGTGCCTCCCTCCCAGCTCGCGAGGGAGAGCCCGCCTGCCACAGCCCTCGCCCTGCTGCGTGCTCCTTGGGGCAGAGGCCAGGCGGCGGGCGCGCCTTACCTGGCCGCCTTTCGCATCTCCTTGAGGATGTTGTCTTTGTTTAACCTGACGTTCTGCTTGGACAGCTCCAGGAGTTTTGTAATCAGCTCCAGGGAGTAGGTATCGGACAGCTTGATGGTGCCATAGGTGTTGATACAGTCCTGCATCTCAGCTGTGACGCCATCAAACCAAGAAAGGAAGGTTAGTGTGGGCTTGGATTGTGGATTCTACCGATCCCAGTAATGGGCGCTGGGAGCTGGCAAGTGACAGCTGACGACCAAGTCCATAGGGGCTATCACTCAGCTTTGACAAACTTTGTGGCCGACACAGTGGTGTGTCAGGCTAATTCTCCACCTGCCAGTGCCAGAATCCCACATGGATGTTGGTTCTAGTCCTGGCTGGTTCATTTTCAGTTTCTGCTTTCTACTTATGACCTGGGAAGGCAGCGGAGGATGGTCCAAAGCCTTGGGACCCTGAATCCATGCAGGAGACATAGAAGAAGCTCCTGCCTTCAGACCTGCCTAGCTCTGGTCATCGCAGCCATCTGGGGAGTAAACCAGTAGTTGGAAAGCTATCTTTCCTTTCATCTATATAACTCTAGAATTTCCACAATGGTTCACTTTCCAAATGGCTGTGAGGGCTGGAGCTGGGATGGTTCGAGTTCACTAGCTTTTCCTGGGTCTTCCACATGGGTGCAAGAAGGGCCAAAGCACCTGAACCATCCTCTGCTACCTTTCCAGGCTCAGGATCAGAAGTGAAGCCTCCAGGACTTAGGGTGGCACCTCTACAGGATACAGGAATTGCAGGTGGGCAGCCCCTGTCCACCAAGTTTCATCGGCACCCTGGCTATTGGGTTTATCTGTGTTTCTCTTACCCATCCCCGCTTGCCTGACCAAAGGCCCAGTGGAGGAGAGAATTTTCTTCTTTTGTGAATGTTAACCTCATCTCCTGGGCAAGAGCCAAGGTGGCCGGTGTCCTGTTTGTTACGTGAAGGGAGAAGGTACATGGGCTTTGGCCTCCACGAGACTTCACACCAGGAGCCAAGGCCCCTGGCAGGCCCTCAGAGCCTGGTACGGGAGGCGGCATGACCTGGCCTCTGTGGTCTCCCCAACCCCTCGCCCCATGGCTGCTGGGTCTTCCACGCCACTGTCCCCTGCACCTGAGTGTGACTGTGGGACACCCTGCGTGGAAAGGGAGGGAGATTCAGGTTGGACAAAAACGTCCCAGAGGGCGGAGGCCACACGCACAGACTGCTTCCTGCCCACGCACAGCGAGGCGGACAGCGTGCCCTCAGCCAGCTCCCCGCCCCCGCCACACACTCACTTCCACAGTTGTCCAGGTTGAATAGCGGAATGTGCATCACGACGGGCCCCTTGTCCCCTTGCAGGATGTAGCAGCTGTGGGGGTCTTGAGCCCACTCCTGCAGCTTGGCCTCGTCCACCGGGGGGAAGTGGATACTGTTGTGCTGGCAGTACGCAGCTGTGGCTCGGAGGGTCTGCGAGGGAGGCCGCATGCACGTGTCTTAGGACCGGCCAGGAGACACCCAGGGGCCTCCGTGAGGACACTGGGGTCTTCTGAATGGAGGAGGGTGCCCCCTCCCTTCCCCACACACATGCACAGGCTGGGGGCTCCGAGCAGCAGGAGCAGGTGCCCAGGTGAGGGCTTGTGTCCCAGCTCTGCTGCCATCAGCTGTACACCCCCTGCCCTCGATGCCCCTCCCCTGTGATGGGCTCCCCAGTGCCCACTGCACTGCATGGGGCTGCTGGGAGGCCCACTGGACACTGCAGGCGCACCTCGCAGAACACCAGCTGTGCGGGTGCTTGTCCATGATCTGGCTGCTGTGTTTGCAGCAAATCAAAAAGAACACAGAGAAAGCTGACTTCCAAAATCAATCAAAGGGGCCGACACGGTGGCGTAGTGGGTAACGCCAATGGCCAATGTCTGTGATGCCAGTATCACATGTGGGTGCCAGTTCATGTCCTAGCTGTTCCATTTCCCATCCAGCCCCCTGCTAATGTGCCTGGAAAGGCAGTGGAGGACGGCCCAAGCGCTTGGACCCCTGCCACCACATGGGAGATGCGGCTGAAGCTTTGACCTGGCCCAGCTCCAGCAGTTGTGGTCACGTGGGGAGTGAGCCAGTGGGGCAGGAATTCTCTCTCTTTCAAATAAATATATATATATATATATATAAACAGTATAAACACAGCCTTTATAATCTGGGGTGGGCATCGCTTCTCCGCCTTTTGGCTAAGATCAAGTGTAGTATCGGTTCCTATCAGTTTAATAATCTGGGGTGGGGGGGGGCACATACAGCATTCCGGTGTCCCAGGGCCCGATGGCCGCCGTGCCCACTGAGTCTCCCCGATGGGCCCTTTTCTATCAGCACCCTGTTGATTGCACCATCTCCCTGCCAGGCGTCTTTGTGAGCACCTGGCAGCAGCAGAGAGCTGGGCATGGCACACAGCATCCTAAGGCTCCCAGAGCCCGAAGGTGTGGTCCCCGGTACGAGGCTGAGGAATCTGCGGCCACAGCAAAGTCCCTCGCTCAGGGCCACACGACGGAGACAGGCGACAAGGGGACCCCGAGGCCCTGGTCTCTGCCTTGGTCACATCATCCTGGGGCCTTCCTTTTTCAGCAGAATTCTAGAACCAGAGGACTAGGGGGCTCTGACCCGTGGCGGTGAAAGCAGGGGTGGATGTCCCTTCCATGTTACATGTTTATATCTGCATGTCCAGGGACATGTGTGTGTGTGTGTGCATGTAAAAATACCTTGCACGTAGTGCAGTAGAGGCTCTCGTGTTACTGTGGTCATCGTGCGGATACACGCTCAGTTTCACACACTGATAAGTAACAGATCCACAGTTGGGTGTCACGTGACCACAACCCCCTCGCATCTCGGGCTTCCCAGGGATTTGGAAAGCCCCGTAAGCTAGGGAAGTCTTTACTCCCCGCTCTCTTGGGGTCTGTGGTGAAGCCAGCCATGGGGGAACACAGCACAGCCCCGCTACTTCGTAATGACAATGACGAAGTACACGGCCTACGCACTTCCTGCGGGAAGCCATCATTGCTGTTGGAATGTTCAGAGAGAGAGAGCTGACTCTTGGTTCACGCTCCACATGTCCTCAAGAGGCAGAGGCCAAAGCCGGAGGCAGGAATGCAGTCCAGCTGGGTCATGTGAGCAACGTGCACCTAAGTGCCGCTGCCTCCCGGCACCTTGCCTGGGCAGGGAGGCAGGACCGAACCCCGACGCCTCCACACGGGACACAGGCTGGCATGCCTGAGAGTGTGGCCTCCTAGGCTCCAGGCCAGCGCCCCCTCGGTTACCTCAAACGGGTCTCCGGAGCTGAAGTCGAAGGAGATGATGAGGTCAGCGTCCCGGGCGGGGGGCAGCACGAGCGGGTAGGGGCTGTTGATGGCAAAGCCCGCGTCCACCAGGTGCAGGAACTGCCGGTCGCATAGGGTCTTGTAGGGTATCGTATCTGCCGTGGCTAGGGAGAAAGCGGGTCAGCCAGACCTGGGCAGGTGGCAGAATTGGAAAAATGGGCGTGGCCAGGTGGCGGGGGAGCCCGCTGTGCGGGGAGCAGGTGCTCAGAAAGCATCCTTGCCACAGCAGGAGAGAAGGTAGCTGGATGTCCGTCCCTGCTCACCGGCTCCTTGTGCGGGGCGCTGGGGCTGCAGCTGTGCGTGCACCAAGCTGGCCTTAGAAGAGACTGGCCGCTGGGCACTGACCAAGCTATGGGATGGGTGTTTTGGCATCAAAACTTGTTGGAGAGTATTCTCCTGTGGCAACAACCGCCACTGGCAAAGACAGTGGAGTGGTGGTCTGACCACCAAACCTCCCGCAGCAGCTCCAAGCACATTTTTTTTTTAAAAGACTTGTTTCAGAGGCTGAGTCACAACAGTGGATGGGGGGTTCAGAGAGACCGTCCAACTACTGGTTCGCTTCCCAGATACCCACAAGGCTTGGGGCTGGGCCAGGCAGAAGCCAGACACCAGGAGTTCCATCTGGTCTCCTACACGAGTGCAGGGGCCCCAAGCACTTGTACCATCCTCTGCTGCCTTCCCAGGTCACAAGCAGGGAGCTGGATCAGAAGTGGAGCAGCTGGGACTCGAACCGGCACCCGTACAGGATGTGGTGTTGCAAGCAATGGCTTTACCCGTTGCGCCTGCAACACTGACCTCAACCAGATTCACTCTCGATGTTCCGGGTGCCAGAGGCCAGTGAGGGTTCAGCAGGAGCGGCTGCCTGCCGCCTCCCTGGCTGGCAGCTGGCCATGCTCTCGGCCCTCAGCCGGTCTCCCCAGAGTGTGCCCTGGAAAATGACCCACTGCCCTTTAAGATTCCATCACCAAGTACAGCCATACTAGGGAACTAGGGGTACCTCGTTAACATGGGGAGGGGCTGCTGGGGCTGTCCAATCCAGCATTACAGCACCCGCTCCACTCCGACCCCCACGCCCTGCCATGTGTACCCTGGGAGGCAGCAGGGGCCCACGGCTCATGGACCATCGGGGTGGCGGTCCCGGCTCCCAGCTCCAGCCTTTGGGGAGTGAACCAGTGGATGGAGGCTGTCCTGTGTGTCTCTCAAATGCATAAATACCTGAATGTTTGAAATGTCCACACACACGGCGGTCTGGAAGCTTGGTTCTCGGTGTGGCGGAGTTGGGGTCATGGGAGCTTGGGGGTGTGGAGGCAGTAACTGGGTCCCCCCACCAACCCTCCTTGGCATTCTCCCACAGCCACGGGAGTGAGCCCTGAGTGTGACAGAAGGAGCTGCCCCATCTCGGTCTCAGACTGAAGCCGACCAACTTTTCTCTCTGTGTCCTTGGTCGCTGGCAGCCTGGGAACGCCAGCGAAGACTGGGCTCACCTGCCTGGCGTATGCATAGGCTGTGATCTGCACAGAGCAGCACCGCTCCCTCCAATACAAAAGATGTTCTGGGGGTCCAGCATGGCAGCCTAGTGGCTACAGTCCTGGCCTTGCATGTGCCAGGATACCGTGATGCCATATGGGCACCAGTTCTAATCCCAGCAGCCCCGTTTTCCCATCCAGCTCCCTGTTTGTGGCCTGGGAAAGCAGTGGAGGACGGCCCAAAGCCTTGGGACCCTGCACCCGCATTGGAGACCTGGAGGAGGCTCCTGGCTTCGAATTGGCTCAGCTCTGGCCATTGCAGCCACTTGGAGAGTAAATCAACAGATGGAAGATCTTCCTCTCTGTCTCTCCTCCTCTCTGTATATCTGCCTTTCCAATAAAAACAAATAAATCTTTAAAAAGATGCTCATGGTAGTCTCCCTGACAAAAACGCGGGCACGCGGCCATGGGAGAGGATACGCCCAGTCGGCTGCCGTCAGCTCCATGGCACCAACGCAGTCGGCCCACGGCAGGCGCGGTGCTCACCACATCCTGCGACTGGCCCAGAAAGAGCTTGGGAAAGACAAACCATCGACGTTCCAGGGACCTGGCTCTTCGCAGGGCCTTGAGCACAAGCCAGCGAGACCTCACCCCTTTCTCAGTGAGCCAGCACCCCTAGCTCGGCTCCTTCTCCTGCCACTTCCCCCACCATCCCAACCCCCGCAGCTCTGGGCCAGGGCTCACAATGTTTCTGGTCCTTTCCCTGCCCTTGGGGGGACCGTCAGGGCTTCTCACCGTATCTGTACAGGAAGTTATGGATGGTTCCCCATTCCCACTTGAAAAGGCACAATCCAGTTTTATACACGAAATTGATCAGGCAGTTGAACGGATCTGGAGGGAGACATGGAGACGGCTTGGGTGGGTGGGCTGGGCTGAGGCCCACATACCTGCCCGGGCTCCTGTGAGACGCACGCACCTGCCTACACTCCGTGGGCCCCTGGACACCCTCTGCCCACCCCGGAAACGCAGCTACAGCGGACGGAGTCTGAAAGGAGGGGGTGTCAAGGCTGAACGGGGCCATGCAGCCAGCAGAGCTTGTGTCCCCACGGATGAGAAAGCGAGCCAGGGCTGGGTGTGCATGGAGGGAGACAGTTGCCAGTTAGGGGCTGATGGGTTCGGCCCAGCTGAAGCAGGCTGTGCTTGGGTGGGAATGCCACATCATTTTGCTATGTCATGTGGTAATGTAAGGACAGAAGACAATGCCCCCGACGTCGGAAGAGCCCTGTGGGCGTGGGACACGCTACGTGCGTCTTTCCACCTCGTTTTACATCAGCCACCTTGGACCTCTGACCCCCTGCAGGCTCTCACTGGGGTCCGAGCCAGGTCTGAGCAGACTGGAGACCTCTAAGATGTATCTAAAGGAGACTCTGGAGCAGAGTTTATCCAAAAGCGATGAAAACCAAGAACGTAGGGTCCTATCTCCCTTCCCACGGTCCCCCTGGGCGGTCACGCTCTAGGGTGGGAGCCTGGTCTGTCCCCTCTGGCCTGTGTTCGTTACCTCAGGACGCCCCGGTGGGGAGTGTGGGACGGCTGGCCGCTCCCTGCAGCGCCCCCTGCAGGACAGGCCCGAGGGGGCTGATGGAGTCACTCACCTCTGATGGACAGCTGCCTGCATATCGACAGCTCCTCCTGCCACGTGGTGGAGCCCTCCTCAATGTGCATGGACATCTCCTGCCACACCACGGTGTTCACCTCACTGTAGGCAGACAGCTCCTCCTGCCACTGGGTGGCGCCCTCCTCACTGTAGGCAGACAGCTCCTCCTGCCACTGGACGGCGCTCTCCTCGGTGCACGTCTCCAGCCCCTCTTGCATCATCCTGGCCACACCGATGTATTTGGCTCTTTCACCTATCCCAAGAGGCCCAGTCAGTCATCCCCTCAGACCATCGGTGTCCTCCATTCCATCTCATTTCCCAGCATACCCAGTTGGCACCTGGGAAGTAGCTGGCAGTGCCGAAGATGGGGATGACTACTCACTTTTTTTTGGTGGTCACAGGAGCGTCATCCCACACACTAGGACACCAGAGAAAGTGGATCGGAACCCCACATGTCAAGGAACTGTGTCCTTGGGAGCTATGGCTGCAAGGGGTCAGCTTTGGAACCCAATTCCACCCCCTCCCGGTTAGGTAACTCTGAGCCCATCCACGTAGGCCACACGAGATCTGTCTTGGCTCTGTTTTGTGTGGCTGAAGTAAATGTCAAAGACCAGATCATTGGTACAGGAAAGAAACCTGTGTAGACTAGGGAGCCCAAGGTCAAGGTGGTAGCATCTCACGAGGGCCTTGTGGTGTGCCCGCCTCCCCGGCAGGAAGAGTGGATGAGAGAGCGCCCACTTCCACGATGACGCCCCCATGTGGTTATCAACCCCCTCCTGTGATGACACTGACCCCTCACAAAGGAGCTCTCCTGAGCCAGTCCCACCCCACCCCCACTTCACGAGGGTCGTCACGCTGAGCTCTGGGGGGCACACTTCACCAGGCAGGCCATCATCACCCCGTGGGCGGCTCCGGGGACACGGCTGGCTTTCAGCCAGGGCCCAACCGGGTTCCCATTGGCTGCTTACCTTCTCTGAGGCGAGGCTTCTCTCCCAGCTGTGTCTTCAGATTACATAAGTATCCTGCAAGAGAGTGGGAGAGCGAGATCTTTGACCCAGGCACCAAAGCCATCGGTGGATGGTGTCCACTTCCCAAAGCCAATATCAACTGTCTGGGTGGGCGAGTCACCCTCCTGTGAACTGGTCCCTTGCTCCTGCCTTCCACCTGTGTATTCCGTACACTTGGACATAGGCATCACGGAAAATGGCAAACAAGCCAGGACCCCACCTCCCTCCCTCCCCAACTCCATCCCCAGGAGCCAGCGTGGCCCCACCTTGAGCAGGGCAGTGAGGTTCATGTCAGTACCATGAGTTCAGCCACCTGGCACTAGGACTGGCACATGCTGAACAGCACCATCTAGGCATGACAGGCAAGCACCTGAAGATGCCCAGTGTCCGGTGCCCGGGACAGGGTGTAGCAAGCACTGCAGATGTGCCAGGGCGGAAAGGAGTCATTATAGCTGCCAAGTGTCCCTAGCGCGTGAGACAGGGGACTCCTGTGGTCTCTGTTTCTAGGAAGGAGGAATTGGGCCACAGAGTGTGTAAGCCATGTGCCGGGGCCACTGCTGTGTCGGAGGCAGAAGTGGGACATGGGGTCCCCATGCTTCTCCATTAAGGATCGCCATGTCCTCACTCGCTGGGCAGCGACGGAGGGCAAGTGGCTCGGCCCTCCTGGCTCAGGGGACCCAGTGGACTGGACTTTCACTTGTTAGGGTTACTGTAGCGGTTAAGTGACAGGGCAGGCGCACACATGACCCTGCGTCCTCACTCATTGGCTGGTGACAGAGGGCTAGTCTGTTGGTCCTCCCGGCTTGGAAGACACGGTGGACTTGACCCCCCCTAGTTGGGGTTACTGCAGGGGTTAAATGACAGCTCGGGCACTGTGTACCCATTGTTTTCATCCCTCTGTGCTGATGCACCCCCTGAACCCATTAACGCCACCACCGGGGCACAGTGGTGACCATGGCACCAGGGGGCTGAGCGCCCTCCAGTGGTCACAGGGCAGCACGCCTGTACTCTCAGCCAGCTGTGGTCCTCCTGGGGCCACGGGGGCCACGGGGGCCACGGGGGCCACGCAGCGCGCCCAGCATGACCCCGAGCGGCTCTCTCTCCTGCTGTGGGGCAGGTGGGCAGCAGCTGTCCCCACTTATAGCACTCACCCCAGATGTAGCCTTTGATGAGCTCCAGGCTGGCTAGAGCGCTTCCCCATAGACCTGCGAGGAAACAGAACCACAACGAGAACGCCCTCCGAGCCCCTTGGCACGTGGCAGCGACAGCTCTGCCTCAGAGCATGGCTCCGACGGGTCCCCCCACGGAAGGAGGCGCAGCCCGTGTGCCAAGCCCTCCTCGGAAGGCAGCGGTAAGCATTCCGTGGGCAGAGCTGGCCTCTGTTGTCTCGAGCGGCCACCTCAGGTTCCACTTTCCTCCGTCATCAGTTCTTAGCCCAGAGGCAGTTGGCACAAAGTTTTCCCAACCCGCCTTGCAGCCAGGGGGAGGTTAAGCTGTGGCCTGTTGCAGATGGCTTGGGAAGCTTCTGGAAGCTTCTGCAAGGTGCTGCTGCGCAAGGCGCTGGCTGAGTGTTTGGTTTGTGCGATCTCGCGTGGCCGTCACACTCACTCTGAGAGGATGCCAACTACCCAGCAGGCTCAGCACGGCCCGTCTCCCCTGCCGCAGTGGACGGCGCCTTCCCAGGAGCCACAGTCCAGACCATCGCCCTGAGTTCTGATCCAAATGCTGCCTTTCCACTGTTGTTTTGTTTTGCTTTGTTTTTGTGAGGACCCTGGTTCTTGCTGTGTGGTTTTGAGAGGTGGACACACACACACACACACACACACACACACACACACACACCTCGACCTGTTGGCTCCCTCCCCCAAAACCTGCAGTGGCTGGGCTCGAAGCCAGAGAGGTGGAACGCAGCCTGGGGCTCCCGTGTGGATAGGTAGCACCCAGCTTTCCTTGCCATCACTGCTGAACTGGTGGGAAGCCACAGTCAGGAGCTGGGGTTGGAACTCAAACTCAGACATGCCAATGTGGGCCGTGGCTGAGAGCAGTGGTGCCATGATTCACACCACACAGCGAGGGTCACCCAGGAGATTGACTGTCGGTGGTCGATGCCAACCCATGAGGCTGCCTCTCGGGACAGAAGAGCAGCCTTCCGGCTTGTGCGGGCGGACCCATAGTTGTGCTGCCCGGGCCACAGCAGGTGCACAGGGCTGAAGCGGATTGGTGGATTCCCAGGGTTAACCTTATAAGGTAACATAACTGATGCCTTATCGATGGGGCAGAGAAGGTTGGTGCGGGTTTATAGAGGAAGTGAAACCAAACACAGAACATTTGCAAAAGTGCAGTTGTGAAACCCAGCATGGCAAGGTTGCAAAATGCAGTAGCCCACACAAAATGGGTCTCCCTTACAAAACGAAGTTACCCATACAAAATGGAGTCCTATAGGTTGACTGGCTCCTACAGCAGATGCCTTAAGTGTGAACTTAAAAACGTGTTTGTGCCATTACCCCATTCTGCAAAAACAATTGCACACCCTTTGGCTGGTGCCCAGAACATATTCTGAATTTGTCTCATGGAGACTGGAGTCCTTTCCATCCCTTCGTCTCTCTGTGGTTGTTAGATTGCTGGGTGCGGGGAGCCGGCATCTGTTCCATCAAGGACCCCCCTCACTCAAAGTCACTGACACCTCAGAAAGAGGAGCACAGTCCTTCTTTGGGAAGCCTCCCCCAAAACCCTCCGCCAGGGGGCCTTACTTCCCATTGCACCTCCCCGCCCACCCCTGCTCCCCATCCCAGGGCACCAGGACCAACCTCCCCACCCCATCCCTGCTGCCCGTCCCAGGGGCACCAGGACCGACCTCCCCACCCCATCCCTGCTGCCCGTCCCAGGGGCACCAGGACCGACCTCCCCACCCCATCCCTGCTCCCCGTCCCAAGGCACCAGGACCGACCTCCCCACCCCATCCCTGCTCCCCGTCCCAGGGCACCAGGACCGACCTCCCCACCCCATCCCTGCTCCCCATCCCAGGGCACCAGGACCAACCTCCCCACCCCATCCCTGCTCCCCGTCCCAAGGCACCAGGACCGACCTCCCCACCCCATCCCTGCTCCCCGTCCCAGGGCACCAGGACCGACCTCCCCACCCCATCCCTGCTGCCCGTCCCAGGGCACCAGGACCAACCTTTCAGGAAGGCAAGATCTCGTTCAGGTTTCAGTTCCACCAGTTTCCCATTCTCAAATCTGCTCCCAAGGTGGGTGGCAGGGATGTAGGCCCCGAGGGCAGGGTAGCCAACGTGGTGGGGTGTGAACTCAAACCAGGTCTCTGAGTGGGAGAAGGCAAAATGAGTTTCTGGCCCAGAGCCTGAAACACAGCACGTGCTTGGAGAGAACAAATCTAGGATAACAGCTTGTGTGGTGTCAGACGCCATCTTGGGAGTGGCAACCACGGCGTTGGATATCACAGTCTGTGTAGTCTAGACACCATCTTGGGAGTGGCAGCCTTGCCACTGGGGTGCTGGGATATCAGCCTATGCCATTTAAGACAATACCACCTGGGGATCTCTGGATTCCTGAGAGCCAGGGCATCGAGCTGGTGGCAGCTCACGGTTTCCATGGCTTCCTCTTTCCGGAATTCTTCTGACTTTGAGCCTTAACTGCTCTCTTCCTCTCCCTTCATCCTACCTGCTGCCCCCCACACCTCGGGGGGTGCGAGGAAGCGGTCAGTCTTCACTGGTACGAGGACCCCTGGACGCCAGGGAGTCGTTACACTATTTCCAACAAGGACATCACAGATTCAGATTTTTCATTCTGGAACCTTCCATCAGACAGCCATGGAAGGAGGTGATTTCGTGGGACAGTCAGTGAGGAAGTCATACGAGTCTTCCAAAGACTGTGAGACGGTCCAGGTGGCTCAGATGTGTCAGAGAGAGGACAGAGGATTACACGTAGGGGAGGTGACCTGGAGGCTTTGGACGAGATTGGATTTGAGGTGTCTTGGAGGGAGGGAAGGAAAATAGCACAGGGGTTCGCCCTGGCACGTGAGGGGTGAAGCATCCACGCTGGGGACATGTGAGCCTGCAGAGGCCGAGGGAGGCCCGAGCACCGGGCGGACTCCTTGTCTAGAGGGTGGGGAGAAATCAGGCCGAGCGCCCGTGCTTTCCGCTCAGGGACCCGTGTCAGGAGGCCTGGGACGCGGGAGAGACACATGAGGAAGCCCAACGGGTCAAGAGTGGGTGGAGGCGAAACCATGGTGGGGAAGGAGACCCTGGACTGGCTCGCAGGGCTCCTGGTCACTCTCCTGATCCCTGTTAAAGCAAGTGTGTGCCCCGTCATGACGCTGGGCCTCCTGTGTCCCCACCGTGATGCTGGGCCTTCCCTCTGCACTCTGGTGAGTTGGTGAGATGAGTTTGCTGTCCTGGCCATCAGTTGTCTGCAACCCCAGCTACCCGCTGCACTCCCCAGGGCCAGTCAACGTCCTCAAGCCAAGGCCTTGTCCCTCCCCCACGCCCAACATTTTCTCACCCTGGGTTTTTTTTTCCTTCCAGGAGGCTTCAAGGTCACCATCAATGGCCGCAAATATTGGGTAGGGTAGTGCCCCTGTGTCCACGGGCTGCTTCATGCTGGACAGAGGAGATTCCTGCAGCTTTGGGGAGAATGCTGGATGAAGCGTGGGGTCTCCTGCTGGGATGGAAGGGCCTGCCTTCCTAGTCATCTTTTTAAATTTTACTTTTTGCTTGAAAGATTTACAATGAGGAGATAGAGAAATAGAGAGAAGGATGCCTCATCCATGCTTCACTCCCCAAATGGCCACAATGGCCAGAGCTGGGTCAGTCCAAAGCCAGGAGCCAGGAGCTCTCTCTGGGTCTCCCACATGGTGCAGGGCCTAAGCACTTAGGCCATCCTTTGCTGCCTTCCCAGGTGAACCAGCAAGAGGCTAGATTGGAAGTAGAGTAGCTGGGACTTGAACCAGTGTCCATATGGGTGGTGACTTTGCCAGCTGTATTACTACCCTGCACATCCTCTTCATCTTTAATTCAACACACAGCAGATGGACGGTGACTGGCTTTGCCATGCATGCTGTCTGCTCTGCGTGCCTCTCCTTGGTGCCCCCGGGAGGTGTCACCTCCAGTATTCAAGGCGCACTTGAAGGCTCTTCCCACACCTGCAGAGCTGACTTTGGGTTTGATTAAGAATCTAAGTTTTGGGCCCAGCATGGTGGCTTAGTGGCTAAAATCCTCATCTCACATGCATTGGGATCCCATTGGGTGCCAGTTCTAATCCTGGCAGCTCCACTTCCCATCCAGCTCCCTGCTTGTGGCCTGGGAAAGCAGTGGAGGACGACCCAAAGCCTTGGGACCCTGCACCCGTGTGGGAGACACGGAAGAAGCTCCTGGCACCTGGCTTCAGATTGGCTCAGCTCAGGGCATTGCAGCCACCTGGGGAGCGAATCATCGGGCCGAAGATCTTGCTCTCTCTCCTCCTCTCTATGTTTCCAATAAAAATAAAATAAAAACTTAAAAAAAAAAAAGAATCCAGGTTTCTTGGGGCCAGAGTTGTGGTGTAGCAAGCCACCTCCTGCGACTCTGGCATCTCCTGGAGTTTCAGTTCCAGCCGCTCTGTCCCAGCTCGCAGCTTCCGCACCTCAGAAGGGCAGTGCCAGGTGGTCCCTGCCCTCCTGCGGGAAACCAGCCAGCCCCATCCAGGCCACAGCTGTTGCAGCGAAACAAACAGAAGAGCCTGCCCGCCCCTGATCAGCTAGGCACTGGCGTCCTCTGAGAGCCACGCCCCATGCTGAGGTCACCGCCCGGGAGCCACGCCCACTGGGACCTCCCGGCCAAGCTGGGCCACCTGCAGTGTGGGGCCGATCACAGGCAGCGGGTGGGCGCACCGACTTACTTCTCGGGTCTGTCGGGCGACCACGATGTAGGCCCAGAAGTCGGTCAGGGAGTAACTCTCCCCTGTGGCTGCTTGGAAGACTTTCTCCAGGCTCTGGTCAATCATGTCCCAGCCATTCTGCTCAAATCGGCATTTCAGGTCGTCCTCGGCTTTCTTGGTGTCTCCTTCGCAATCATAGAAGGAAGCCATCGCCCTGGAGGACAGAGCAAGGAGGACGGGTGGGGCGCTGGGAGTGCAGGCTGGGGCAGCCGCCGAGGGGGTGGGCCAGGAGGCTGTCGACCCAGGATGCCTCCTGTGTGGAGGGGGCTGATTCCTACAAGGTAAAGAACAACTGGGCCCGGCGCGATAGCCTAGTGGCTAAATCCTTGCCTTGCAAGCACTTGGATCCCAAATGGGTGCCAGTTTGTATCCAGGCTGCTGCTCCACTTCCCATCCAGCTCCCTGCCTGTGGCCTGGGAAAGCAGTCAAGGACGGACCAAGGTCTTGGGACCCTGAACCTGCGTGGGAGACCAAGAAGAAGCTCCTGGCTTCGGATAGGCTCGGATCCGGCTGTTGCAGTCATTTGGGGAGTGAACCAGCAGATGGTCTTTTTCTGTCTCTCCTTCTCTCTATATATCTGCCTTTCCAATAAAAATATTCTTTTTTCTTTCCAATAAAAATAAATAAATCTTTTTTTAAAAAATAAGAAACAACTGTGCAATAACCTAGTTCCAAGGAAGACTCCCGAGAGTCTGAATTTGCAATTGAATTTCTTTTAAAGATTTATTTTTATTAATTTTTTATTGGAAAAGCGGATATACAGAGAGGAGAGACAGAGAGGAAGATCTTCCGTCCAATGATTCACTCCCCAAGTGAGCGCAACGGCCGATACTATGCCGATCCAAAGCCAGGAGCCTCTTCCGGGTCTCCCACGCGGGTGTAGGGTCCCAAGGCTTTGGGCCGTCCTCGACTGCTTTCCCAGGCCACAGGCAGGGAGCTGGAAGGGAAGCGGGGCTGCAGGGATAGAACCGGCGCCCATATGGAATCCCGGGCGTGCAAGACGAGGACCTTAACCACTTGCGCCACCGCACCGGGCCCTGCAATTGAATTTTAACGAACTTCAACGCTCAGGCCCCATTCAGTTATTGGCCAACTTTGCCATGCTCTGCACCTCCGATCTTTGCGCTGTTGCCTCCATTAACCACGCTGAGCTCAAACCCCAGCTCTGAGTCAAAGTTGAAGCCTAGCACAAAACGAAATCTATCCAGCCAGACCCAGCATCCTGCCTGTGCCTGCTCCCTGTGCCCTGCTTGGCATCTCCTGCCCTGAGAAGGTGCTAGGTGCTACCATGGATTAGTCACGTCTGCCTTGGGCCTGCAGCAGGGGCCCAGGCATGGATGGCTTGTAACGCAGCGCTCTCACACAGAGGTGACAAGCTACAGGAGAAGCGTTCCATGCAGCGCCAGCTCCAGGCTCTTGCCTTCTGCCAGGCCCAGCCCTGCCTCTCGTGGCCATATGCAGGCGTGAACCAGTGGAAGGAAGATGTTTCTATTTGTCTCTGTGTCTCTCTCTCACACACACTTTAAAAGTATATAAATAATAATGATTTTTTTATATTAAAAAACCTCCCTATCCCCTCTGTCCTCAGAGGCAGCACTTACCAGGTGGACCCTGAGACCCCTGCTAGGTACGTGACGGCGTCCAACAGGCCTTGTTCTTTCAGCTCACTTAGGACCCCCAGGCAGGCGATGTGGGCCCGTAGCCCCCCGCCGGAGCAGAGCACTGTCACCACCGGGGCCTAGACATCAGAGAGAGGAGGGATGAGGCATCTGGGTCCTCAGGAGGCGAGTCTGCTCAGCGTGACATCTTCTGGGGTCGGTTTATGTCCACTTACGCTGGCTGTGACAGGCCAGGGTCCCAGGCACTGGGGGGCTAAGAGCAGGTGGTGATTCCGGGACCCCCAGACCCTTCTTCCTCCCCCTCCTTACCTTATTGGCCTTGATATCCAGATTCTTCAGAGCCATCAGCACCTGCTGGCTGCGTTTCTCCACAGCCTCTTTCTCTTCTTTCTGGATCCCAGTAATTATAGACACATCAGAACTTCCCGGGGCAAAACAGACAAAAAAAAAAAAATACAAGTTCTAGAAAATTTGCAGCAGGATGGGAGGAACCGAGCACAGTTTGGCTGCCAGTCCACTGCTGTGCATATGGTCCAAGGATGTGATGCCAGCACATCGAAGACTGCCTGCATGGCCACATTTATCAGCCACTAGTCACCATGCCCAAAAGTGTGGAATCCACCCACGTGTCCGTCAGCAGGTGCACGGACAAAGGACACCGGCCTGGAAACTCAACAGAACGTTAGTCGATTGTGAAAATCCCAGCAGGCACAAGCAGAACCCGAGCTGGGCGGGGGGAGGGCTTGATGTGAAATAACCCACAGGCTGATGGAGTGGCAGGCAGAGTGGATGAAACACTGCGACGATGGTCACCCACCCAGGATACTGGATCCCCTGTGAGAACGCTGCTTAGGGTCCTGCGTGCTCTGCCACCGTCCCAGCTCCCTGCCAATGAACCTGAGAAGGCAGCAGAAGGCAGTCCCAGGGCCTGGACCCCTGCACCCAAGTAGGAGGCTTGGGTGGAGCTTCCAGCTCCTGGCTTGGGCAAGGTCCACTTGGGGAATGAACCAACGGCCGATACATCTCTGTCACTCTGCCTTTCAAATAAACAGATGAATCTTAGAAGAAGGAAGGAAGGAAGCAGGCACAGTAAAGCATACATTCTCACCCCTAGATGGAAGCTAAAAGGTTGACCGATAGGTGCAGAGTTCAACCTTGGTCATCGGGAGCTGGGAAGGAGAAGTCGGGCAGGGGATGGAGGAAGTTCAACAACAACGGACACCAGAAGAGTGAGAGAGGAAAGGCTGCTGAAGTCCTTGGGCACTCAGGGAGACTGACTTGTTACAAGTAAAGAGTTCGACAACTTACTACATAACAAACCAGAAGGCAGGAATTCCAGACTTCTTGGCACAAAGAAGTGATGTTTAAGGAGCTGGGAATGTGAGTGTCATGCTTTTAAATGATTTATTTATTTGAAATGCAGTTGTTTTTTTTAAAGAGCGAGAAAGAGAGCCAAAGATAAATCTTTCATGTGCTGGTTCACTCCCCAAATGGCTACAATGGCCAGAGCTGCGCTGATTCAAAGCCAGGAGCCAAGAGCCTCTTCTGGGTCCCCCGCGTGGGTGCAGGGTCCCAAGGCTTTGGGCTGTCCTTGACTGCTTTCCCAGGCCACAGGCAGGGAGCTGAAAGGGAAGTGGAGCAGCCGGGACAAGAACCTGCGCCCATAGGGGTTGTCACCACAGGGTAGAGCATCAGCTTGTTGAGCCATCGCACCAGCCTCGTCCTCATGGTTTCTAAACATGCATGAACTTACCACACTGCGCTCCATAAATATGTGTAATTACCAGGCATCAACTTACTTTATTTCTTAAAGGATTTATTTATGAACAATGACTCAATTGGCTAATCCTCTGCCTGCAAGCCTAGGCTGGCTCATCTCTAGTGCTGTGGTTGTTTTGGGAGTGAACTGACAGAAGGATGGTCTTACTCTTTGTCTTTCTTTCTGCAAATCTGCCTTTCCAGGTCCCGGCATGGTAGCCTAGTGGTTAAAATCCTCCTCTTGCTTGTGCCAGGATCCCATATAGATGCTGGTTTGGGTCCCTGCTGCTCCACTTCCCTTCCAGCTTCCTGCCTGTGGCCTGGGAAAGCAGTCAAGGACGGGCCAAAGCCTTGGGACCCTGCACCCGTGCGGGAGACCCAGAAGAGGCTCTTGGCTCCTGGCTTTAGATCAGCTCAGCTCTGGCCATTGTAGCCATTTGGGGAGTGAACCAGCAGACTGAAGATCTTTCTGTCTCCTTTTCTCTGTAAGTCTGACTTTCCAATAAATAAATAAATCTTTAAAAATCTGCCTTTTCAATAAAAATAAATCTTAAAAGTGATGTATTTATTTAAAAGGCAGAGTGACAGAGAGGGAGACGGAGAGATCTTCCACTCACTGACTCATTCGCCGAATGAGGGCCATGGCCAGGGCTGGGCCAGGCTGAAGTCTGCAGTCAGGGGCTTCTGCAGGGCCCAGCCCTCAGCCCCGCCTCCTCGGCCTTCCCATGCACCTGCAGAGTGGCTTGGCCACAAACCGGGGCCTCCTAGGGGAGGCTGACCTCACGGGCAGCAGCTTCACCATTCTGCCACAATGCCAACCCTGGGATAAATAAACCTAACGAATAAAGTGTACAGGGAGTGCTTACAGGTCTTGGCAGGCGCTGCAGTTTTACACAAAGGACTTACACACACAAGGATCTGGGTAGCTGCCAGGGGTCCTGGAAACCAGCCCCGTGTGGATGCCCAGGAGATGGTTCCATAGGCCATTAAATGAATGGCAGGGCACCGCCAGGGCGGGAAACAGCTTCCCACAGACAGAATTACTGCATGGCCCCGCAGATGCAGCCCCAGTGGCTGTGCAGAAGCATTGAACACACACAAACCAGCTGTTCACAGCAGCACTGTGCATCATAGCAGAAAGACTGGACCACGCTGAGTGTCACATCAGACACGCACATCCACATGATGGAACACCGGCCGGCCGCGGAGAGCTCGGGCATGGGACACCCCGCTGCATGGAGCCCCGGCGTCACTTGGTCATGGAGAGCCCCCACACTCTCACACGTGGGCCAGCGTGGAGGAGGGCCAGGGCCAGGCCCCGCAGGACACAAAGGCCAGCCACTCCGTGACCCCACTTACGTGGGATGTACATGGTGGGAAAACCCACAGAGCCAGCAAGCAGCTCCGTGGCGGTCAGGGCTGCGGAGGGTGAGGGTGACGCTTTGGGGGTGATGGAATGTTTCGTAAGCAGACAGAGCTGGTGCTCCTGTCACATGGAGAAGGAGTTAAATGTGACTGGGTCATTGCTACAAGCAGAACTTTCATGTTATTTTAGCATTTTATTCCAATTTTGAAAAATTAAGTCCATAACAATCCACAATACCTATGGCAGGGCCGAAGGCGGGTGTCTGGCTGGGGCACCTGCTCTTGTGTTGGAATGTTGGGGTTCATGTCTTGGCACTGTTCTGGAGTCCAGCTTCCTGCCACCGCACACCCTGGAGGCTGCAGGTGACCAGTTGCTGGGTCCCTGCTGCTCCCATGGCAGACCTGGCCTTGCCTTGGCCTGGTTGTTTTAGGTCTTCCATGGTGACAGGGAGTGTGGGCAGTGAACACACGGGTGGGAGCTCTGTCTCCTTCTGCCTTTTCAGTGAAAACTACCTAATAAAACCATGGCAGCTGCATCTGAAACCGTGCATGTCTTACCTGCCGTCATGGCAGCACGGGGGCACAGGGTCCATCTTGCCTGACCTCCTCAGCTGCGTGCAAGCTCCGGGGGCCTGTCCTCCTTCTGCAGCAGGTGCAGTGGGTCCTGGAGGCAGTGGGAGCTCCGGCACTGATGCCTGTCTGTGGGGATGGTCCTGAAAACAACAGAGTTCATTCACTCCTTCAGCCTGGGCAACTCACGGCCTTGTAAGCCCCAGGGAGCACCCAGGAAGCAGAGATCTGGCCAAATGCCCACAGCAGCCATCTGCCTGGCTGAATTTGGGCCCCTGGTGTCCCAGTGGATCAGTCATCTGCTTTGCAATCTGTGGGGCGGGGTTCCCTTACGTGGTGAAGTGGACGCTGTCAGGTGGACTGCACCCCGTTCTCGCAGCAGCCATCATCCACCTGGAGGGCCAGCTCCCCAACATGCACCCCATCTACCAGAGGCCCGGGAGACTGCGCTCCTCAGTGGGCACTAAGAAGCCAGCTTGGTGTGGCTCCTCACACCTGGTGGTCTCCAGGGCTAGTCCCTGCTCCAGGGCCATACTTGGATCCCTCTTTTTTTTTTTTTTAAGATTTATTTATTTTTATTGGAAAGGCAGATTTACAGAGAGAAGGAGAGACAGGGAGGAAGACCCTTCATCTATTAGTTCCCTCCTCAAATGGCTGCAATAGCCGGAGTTGGGTTGATTCAAAGCCTGGAGCCAGCAGCCTCTTCCAGGACTCTCATGTGGGTGCAGGGCCTCAAGGACCTGAGCCATCCTCCACTGCTTTCCCAGGCCAAAAGCAGGGAGCTGGATGGAAAGTGGAGCAGCTGGGACTTGAACCAGTGACTATATGGGATCCCGACACTAGCAGGTGGAGGATTAGTCTGTTCAGCCATGGTGCCGGTGCCAAATCCTTCCCTTCTAAAGGGAAGGAATCGGGCCTGGCTGACATCCCAAGATTGCTGTTTTTATTCATTCACCTGCTGATCTATTCCTGCCCTTGTGCCTGGCTATCAACTTTGCCGGTCACCGCTGCCCATCCGCCCTTGAGAAGCCACCAGAGGCTGCTGAGTCCTGCGGGGGACCCGCCTCCAGTGTCTGCCCGGGAAAGCCTCGCAGTCAGGAGTCCAACAGCAGGGGCTGCTGCTTCAAGAACACAGCCCCCAGATGAGAGTGTGGTAGGGTCTGCTACTTACAGGTCCCAGGAGTGCACAGCAGACGACGTGCCGGCCGGCAGGGCGCGGGGAGAGGGCAGCAGCTGGCAGTTTATATTGGCACAGGGTGTGGGTCCACTTGAGATAGCGAGGCCCCTGTGAAGCAAGAGGAAGGCAAGGGAGGCATCTCCAGGGGTCTTATCTGAGGCGTCCTGCTTGGGCAACGTGGGTGTGGTCTGCAGTCATGAATTACACCCAAGGCCACGAAGGGGGCCAGCTCTGCTTCTGGGATGAGACAGCCCAACTCCTCCCCTCCAAGCAGAAGCCGGGGTGGGCTGCCTGCAAGTTTTGACTTTAGTCTCCATAACTGTAGGAGGACAATTGGGAACGTCATGGGGGGTGAGACCGCAGTCAGCTGTCATCTTGTGAGAAAGTTCCGGAAACTCAGGACAAAGGTGCTGAAGCAGTTGGAACCGGAAAATATGGGCGCAGGAACTCCCTAATCCTAAAGGTTTGATAACAGATCAAAGAGGGTTTTTTTTTTTTTCCTGGTTTCTTTCATACATGCACTGTTTAATTATCAGTAGCCTGCTAGAACACGTTGCCCATTGATTGACCCTCCTTGCATTGTAAACACCTAAACCACATCCGGTTTCAGACCCTCCTTCCCTACGCCTATGTGACCCTGTCTTTGCTTTGTGTTCATAACCTCTGGCTGTTGACCATCAGTCAGTCGTCCGTCCGTGTGAGTGATTTTCAGCTCCGTGCATCCAGTCCGTCGCTGTAGGACAGTGACACATGTCAAAGAGGTGTCACCAACAAATAAAAAGCCCTGCATAGTGAAGGCGTTCAGGCCTGATGTTTCTATGGCGGCTGTGTACGGTGTAGCAGGGTCGATCCACCTTGGGTGAGGCCTCTGCCCTGCTTCTCCCTCCCCTCCCTCACGTCTCCTCTGAGCTTCTCCCCTTGATGGCTCCTCCCTCCGGCCAGCGTGACGAGGCTTGAGTGGAATCAGATGGAACTTTCCAGCGTGACCTAGAATAAAAACACCTTCTACAAACACCTGTGACTTCTGCCTTCAGCACATCTTGCTTTTTCTTTTTTTCAACCCCTCTGTCACCTGTCCTCCCTTTGTCCCGGCCAAGTGTCACCTATAAAGAGAGGGCTTGTCATGTTTTGTAACTACAGGAAAATGTTTCTTCTCAATTTTTTTTTTTCCAGAGCGCCTCTCCTTCTCGATGTCTTATTGTCCTCACTGTACAACAAGAAAAGCAACCATGCTCCCCCTGGTGAGAACTCTCCCTTTTTAATTCCTGACACTGCACACCTGCTGGTGTGCACCCCAAATGCCGGAGTGGCCCCTGGCTGGGGCAAAGCAGAGAACCTCAAGTTCCTCTCCTACTCCCCTGTGGGTGGCAGGGGTCCGACCACTTGAGCCGCTCTGCTGCCTCCCGCGTGCCTGCTGCTGGGATGCCGAGCCAGCAGAGCTGGCCGCCAGAGCCGTGGATCTTAACTGCTTGGCCTAATGATTGTCCTGGGGAGACATGGGAAGTGCTGGGATGTGCCTGGCACAGCCCAGGTACCAGTTGGGGGTTAATCAGTACCTGCCTTGCCAGGCACCCAGAATCACAGAGATCTAGGAACTGCCACGGCAGCTGGAGTTGAAAGCAAAGCGCAGTTAGCACGGCTCATTGTAACTGCCTTGTGTTTTTGTAATTTCTGCTTCCCCTGCTTGGCTATGAGACTATGTGAGCAGGCCGAGCTGTCTGCATGACCTCCGGCACGGGCAGCTCCCAGTTCCCAGGAATCAAGGCCCGAGTCTGGTTATCTTGACTGGGGGCCTGGAGAGGAGCCAGGCAGATTGTTCAGCCACAATAAGCTTTTGTAAACTGCCCCTATGAAAACCCTGTGAATGTGGTGTACGGGGCTGCACTCTGTTAAGGGTATTGGTCCTGGTCGCTCGGTCAGTTGCCTTGCCTCTTATTGTGATAAAATTTGTGGTTGAGTGTAACATTCTGCTTTTGTGGTTGAGTGGCAACAGAGCACAGTGTGTTAAGCTGCCATTTGTAGCACCAGCATCCCATACAGGAACTAGTTTTGAGTCCCAGCCATTTTACTTCTGACTCAGTTTCCTGATACTGTGCCTGGGAAAGCAGGGGATGGTCCATGTGCTCGGGCCCTTGCCACCCACGTTCAGGACCTGGATGGAGCCAGTGCATGGGCTCAACTGGCTAGTCCTCCATATCCAAGCACCAGAAACCTACCCATCCAGCTCCCTGCCTGTGGCCTGGGAAAGCAGTCAAGGACGGCCCAAAGCCTTGGGACCCTGCACCCACATGGGAGACCCAAAGGAAGCTCCTGGCTCCTAGCTTCAGATCTGCTCAGCCCGGGCCATTGCAGCCACTTGGGGAGTGAACAGCAGACAGAAGATGTTCGTCTCTCTGTAAGTGTGCCTGGTAAAAATTAATAAATCATCCTTTAAAATAAACGATAATAAAGGAGGTAGGGGAAGTAAAGCTGTGGCATCTTTGGGCGGAGGGGATAGTAGGCTCTTGGGGTCAGCCGAGACCAGGCACTGGGCCTCAGAAGTTGTCCCCGCATCTGACGAGGAAGTAAGCAGACTGGACAGGCCCTCGGCAGGTGGAGCAGGCCGAGGCAGTGGGTGTGAAGGAAAGGGGGCGAGTTGCCCACACAGCTCTCTGTCCACATCTCTTCCCAGCTCCGTTTGTGGACGTCATGCTAGTGGCTTTGAAGTCAGGGTGGGGACATGGGTGCCATGAGGGTGGCAGGAGTCACAAGTCACACACACACACACACACACACACACACACACAAACACACCTTTTTGGCTGCAAGCCTTAGCTGTGGAAGGACGATGGGCTGACAGAGGATGGGACGGAAGGAGGGGCGCCTCCCCACCATACACCCTGGGGCCTGTGGGGTTTTTAGGATTCAGTTTTGCAAAAGTATCACAGAGGAGAGAACTTCACCTGTTTGTACATTTGCCCAGCTGGTGACGCCGCCAAAGGCTGGGCCGGGCCACAGGCTGTTGTTGTTTTTAGTTTTTTTATTCATCCTTATTGGAAAGACAGGTTTACAGAGAGAAGGAACAGACTTTCCATGCACCGGCTCACTCCCCAGACAACACAGTGAGTGGAGCCCATCCAAAGCCAGGAGTCAGGAGCTTCATCTGCATCTCCCACGTGGGTCCCAAGGCCTTGGGCCGTCCTCCACTGCTTTCCCAGGCTGTAAGCAGGAAGCTAGATGGGAAGTGGAGCAGCCGGGACACAAACCGGTGCCCATATGGGATCCTGGCGATTATGAGGTGAGGGTTTAGCTGCTGAGCCATCACCCCAGGCCCCGTCTGAACTCTCACTAGGCGAAGACAAGAGTCTCCGATACAGTGACTCCCAGTGTGTGGCGCCCTCAACTCTGCCCTGCTCAAGGTCTCCCTCACTGAGGGAGACAGGTCACTGCTCTGCGGCTGTCAGGGCAGCATCCCGGCCAGAGAAACCCCTAACTGGACGTCCAGATGGAGCAGATGAGGGCCCAGCCTGGGGATCACTCACACACGAAGCTGAATCGGTCCGTCAGCGTCTCCCCAACAGGGACAGAAGGTGCTGGCCACGCGGGGTGGGAGGCTACCAGGTTGCAGAAGGGACCAGGAGTGGGAAACACTGTAGTTTCTAGCAACTGGAGGAGGCCAAGGAGCCAGCTCTTCTGGGGCGTCTGCAGGGCCGGCCAGCCCTGCTCCCTGCAGCCCTGACCTCCAGGGCCCTAGCACACGGTGCTGCTTTAGGACCCTACTGGGGATGTACCTGTCCCTGAGGGCAGAGGCGAGGCTGACCCCAGCCCTGGCCAACACCTGGCTGTCTCCATCAGCAGGGTCTCTATGGCAGGTACAGTTTCTAAAGACAAACGGCTTCTCTTCTTGGGTCCCGAGCTGATGGCCTCCAGCCCTCATCCCCCTTCTTGCCCTGTCCCCTCACCTCAGCACCAAACCCCTCTTGTGTTATGCGAGGTAGGCTGACCGGGACACACGGCTTTAATTCCAGGGTCAGCACGCTTGAGGCTTCTTTCTCATGGCAGTGAGGGCAGGTGCCCCAGGCAGGTGACAGCACACAGCAGGCTGGTATGCAGAGCCCTGGTTACTCGGGGCCTCTTGCACCAAACACCACATGACCATAGCAGGCGGCTGGGCATGTCACGAGTCCTGGCCCGGCTACTTGCTCTCCTTTGGGTCTCTCCCTACACTCCTAAGTGGCACATCTCCTGCCTACTTGCTTCTCTGTCCTAGAAACAGGCAAGGAGCCTGGCTCCAATTCCTGCTGGCACCTCCCAGTGTCCCAGGCCACTCCTCCCACAGGGGTCCCAGCAGACACAGGAAAGGTTCACTCAAGGGACCGTACCCGTCTGATTTAGCTCCCCACTTCAGAACCCCTCTGACTGCAGGGAGATGCATCCACCAAAGCCACTGGCTAGCAGTGGGGCCTTGCCAAGTCTTGTCTGGCAGTGGGCGGCAGCACCTGCAGGCCCTTCTGCTCTATCCTTCCAACTCCTGGCTCTTCAGTGGTGGCTGCAGTCTAGGGAGGCTGAGGGCCTCAGAGAAACGGGGACTTTTCCGGAAGTCTCTGCTGTCCCCTCCGGATGAGTCCCCATCACACCTGACCCGAGCTGGGACGAGTGCACGGGCGCCAGGGACCCACTGTGGACTGGGGTACCTTCCTCAGAATGCGTGATGGGGGTTTGGGACTGGGTCTTATTAGGGATGGGGCGATGATGACGACCTTCAGCCATAACTCACTGCACACTTACAACACGCCAGACGCCGGACCCGGGCCTGCCCTCCTGGGCTGATGCCCGAACACCGTGTCGAGGATGTTCCAGCTGATGGGTCAGTGCTGGGTGTCACATCCAAGTCCCTGCACTACCCCGGGCTGCAGTCTGGCTGCCCAGTCGGTACCTAGGTGTCAGCACTCCTGGCTCAGGTCCTGGGTGTGTCCCCCTTCATCTGCCACACACAGGCCCCCGACTGCCACTACCCAGTATAGCAGCTGCTGGCCACAGAAGCATCTAAACGCAAACAGGTGTGTCACTGTCGTCCCCAGTAGCACAGGGATCTGTGGCCTGGCGCTTGGAACACATGTTCTGTAGCTGCCCAGGGCCATGCCCCAAAGCCCAGCACAGCCCGGTCAGAGGGTGGGTGTCTGGTGATGGTTTATTGAGGGAAATCAGCACATGAGCCCTCGATACAAAACTCAAAATCACACAGACCGGGTCGTGGCCAGACAGCTCTGCACGAGGCGCGGCCCGGGGGCTCAGAAGAAATCGTCCATGTCGGAGGTTGAGTCCGAGTCCAGCTGGTTCTGGATCTGACTCTGCCTCTGGTACATCTCGGCCACCTGTGTGGGGAGGCAGTGGTGTGTTGGAGGCACGCTGGCTGCTGCCACGCCCGCCCCCACGCCCCAATCCCGAGAGCCTCACCTCGTCACTGGTGGTGGCATCCTCGGGCCTCTTGTCTCTGCGCACACGGACGAACCGAGGGAAGCGGAGGGAGATGCCCTTCTCATTGTCCACCTGCGGGAGGGGCGACACCGATTCTGCTCGCAGCTGGCCCCGTCCAGTCTCCCCGCCTTCCCCTTGGCTTCCCTGTCCCGATCCTCGCAGAGGGACTGTGCCCAGGGCTCGGTGAGCTGATGGACACCGGGAGCCAGGCATGCAGGTGCTCGAGCGATGCTGGCCACCACGGCAGCTGTGGTGATGCTCAGGGCTGGGGACACACGGCCTGGACTCCAGGACCCCCTCCCGCCTGCAGAGCCCGGACAGGTACGTGCGTGCCCTCTGACAGCGGACATGCTCAGGTCCTCATGCTGTGTCTTGAGGCACTTAGGGAGTGCAGACAGCAGGCCTGCCCCTTCTCAGCACAGCATGGCTGCCCACGGGCACTGCCCAGATGCCAGCTCCTCTCATGTACACAGTGGCCCTGACACCAACTTGAGAGTCCGAGAATCCCCCATCTGCTAGGAGGGTTCAAAGGCTTTCGGAGGAACCCCAGTGGGCACATTCTCCCACGCAGGTCCACCCAGGCCCTTCCAGGGCTGGCCATGGCTGCTCTCCCTTCTGCAACCCTGCTCAGCCAGTGCCAGGTCTGTCACTCACCAGGGTGCGGGCAGCAGGGTAGATGGGGGACAGGGAGAGGTCCGCGCACTTCACCTCCCACACGGTGACCGGATCCAGCCAGTGGTCGGGGGCCGCAGCACCGCCTGCCCGCACGTAGGGCCGTGGGCCGGGCAGCACTAGGGCCTGCAGGGAGCAGTGGGAAAGGAGATGGTCCCAGATCTCGAGATCAAGGTTAGGGGGCGGCTGGGAATGAGGGGACAGAGGAGACAGGCTTCCCTCCAGGATGGGGAGAAGCGGCTGGGAATGGGGGGTGGAGGAGACAGGCTTCCCTCCGGGATGGGGAGACGCGGGTTGGGAAAAGGGGAGAAATGAAGACAGAGATTTCTGGGAGTGAGACACTAAACACGCGGAAGGGTTAGAAACCTGGGGCAAGGGTGGCTGGGGCCCAGAGAAGGAGGAACACAGAAAGGGACAGAGGCCCGACCGCTGTCCAATGATGGCGAGACGTCCACACACCACAGTGGGGAGACCCCGCGGTCAGCAGCTGCCAGAACTACCCCTTGAGCCTGGGCACGCAGGATCCCAACACCAGCTCTGCTGCCCACTGCCCTCCCACCGTCTGCTGAGTCCCACGCAGCAGGAGCCTTGAGTCCAGGGCCGCGGGGCCAGGCGGGGTCGTGGGGCCGTGTGGGGGTAAGGAGCCGGGTGGGGCCGTGGGGCCGGGTAGGGGTGCGGGGCCGGGTGGGGGCGCAGCTCACCTGCAGGTGCTGGTACTGCTCTTCCAGCTCCTCGTCGCTGAAGCCCGTGCCCAGCTGCAGGGAGGACATGACGGTCAGACGCTGGGCTGGCAGCCCTGCTGGGCACTTCCTCTCTGTTCTGCCCCCTATGGACCTGGCCTAGCCCTTCCAGTCAAGGGTACCCACAGGACTGGGGGGTTTGGGAGGCAGGCGCTCCATTAACCACTGTCTCCCGCAATGTGGGGAACCCTGGCCTCCTGCGGCTCAGGTCCCGGCCTGGACGTCACTCCCCTGGGACCTATAACACTGTCCTCGTCTCCTACCTTAACCCTGCAGACGGGGGACCCCCAGCCACCGGACAGTCAAGGGGAGGACCTGGCGCTGACACGCAGGCTGGCAGAGCCTCGGCTGGTTGGCCTCTGCAGGGCAGGGCTGAGTGGTGCCGAGGACCTTAACGGCCTTTCCGCCCCTTGCTCTATTCACAGTTCTTCAGACTCTACTGGAGGAGGGCAACGCCACCCACCCTGGAGGGCCTGGGTTCAAAGCCCAGTTCCTCTCGATCTGTTTCCTTCTAACTCATACTCTGGGGGGCAACAAGTGATGGCTCAAGCGGCTGGCCCCCTCCACACGGGAGACGACGGAGGCCCAGGCCAGGCTGCTGCAGTATGTGGGGAATGAAGCAATGAATAAAAACTGTCTGCTGTCCAGCGAATGCAGAGTCCAGTACTGCCAGACGGTGGCAGGCTGGGGCCCGAGGACACCCAGGGCTCACACGGCCACGTCTGTCACCGAACACACGGTCTCACAGGTGCTCGGTACTGACGCACGTGGAAGGACAAAGCCACTGACGACTGGACCCCAGCTACGGAAAACGGGTTCAGGAACCCAGAACACTTCCACCTGAAAGCTTTCACATCATGTCACCTACGATGATGCAGCAGGTGGGCCTCTGGCTGAGTGGTGAGGAAGCCACCTGCGCATACCCCAGAGCCTGGGCGTGGGGCCTGGTCCTGTTCCCAAGCCCAGCGCCCTGCTAACACACACCCTTGGGGCTCTGGGCTCCCAGCTTAGGCGTGGCCCAGCCCTGGCTGCTGCAAGCATTTGGGGACTGGCCTGGGAGGCCCACACTCCTGGACCCTGTGTCTTGTTCTCCATCATTCAGTTATGTGAAGCCAGGAGCTCCTCCTGGTCTCCCGTGTGGGTAGCAGGGACGCTGGTGCTTGAGGCAACACCAGCTGCTTCCCAGGCTGCCCATGAGCAGAGCCGGGCCTGGATCCAACCACTCCCCCATGGCTGCCGGCATCCCACCACGGGCTCAACCACATGCCCTCTCCCTGGTCTCCAGCATGCAAGGTGGCGGGAACCCTCGCAGACACCCCCAATGAGGCCAGAGGGCCATGAGACGGACACTCGTGGGGAGACAGGAGGGGCCTGTCCGAGTGCTAGGGAGGGATGCCTGCTCCAGGCTTCCTGTTCCAAGATGAAGGAACAAACCCTGCTCGAGAGCCAGCAGCAGCAGCTGAACGCAGTCCCTGGACGTCACCCTCACGCCGTCCCCAGGGCAGCCAGCTTTCCGTGCGGTCAGAGCTGCTGCCGTTCGAGCCAAGTCCAAGGCCTCCCTTCTCAGGGAGCACGTGACGCTCCCTGGACTGTCAGCAGCAAGACCCCCAGGGTCTACTTCCCTCCCACAGCCAGGCCCCCGCCTCAGGACCTTGCAGATGGCATGCAGCTCCTCGGTGTCCTCGTCGTAGGAGGCCAGCAGGAAGCCCCCGTAGCGGCCGGCGCGCTTCCCCCGGCCCAGGTAGGCGCCAATCACCACGAGGTCCAGGGTATCGCCCACGCCGTCCAGGTAGTCCTTCTTCAGCTGTGGGAGGGCAGAACAAGAGATGGCAGGGTGGTGAGGGGAGCGCAGGGCGCAGCCTTCACCGCTGGAGGCCAGGGGCATCTGGGGCCAGAGCTTCTAGAAGGACCTGAGGATGCCTCCGAGAAGAGGCTGCAGGAGGAAGGGGTGTCCGGGCTCTGAGACGGGGCTGGGACCTAGTTCCGTCCCGTGGCTCCTGCTGGCCCTCAGCCTGGAGACGAGGCCGGCTCCCCCGCACGCCTTCACAGGGAGAGCACGTGTGAGGCAGCTTGCCTTCAGGGAATGAGGGTGCGTACTTCCTGAGGCAGGTCATGGTCACAGCTTCACAGCTGCTCGGGTCGGAGCCAGAGAGCTGCACACACAGGCAGACCCATCCTCGTGGCCGTCTCTCCTCAGACAACAGCCCCCCTTCTTGTCATCCGCTCAGTCCCGCTGTGCCCACCTGGAGCCAGCAGGAGCTGGGCAGGGATGGTCAGACCACGTGACTCCTGCTTCCCAGAACCTGTGCAGTTCTACCTTCCGGGGTGGTCCCAGGGCCACTGGCCCCTCTGACTTGCTTGTTCCCCACATCCTGGGCTCAGCTGCCCTCCCCACACGGGGCTGACCCTCTCCCTGGCCCAAGCCCATGCCTGCCATGTTCCTCACCACACCGGGTCCTGCCCAGCTCCACCGGGTCAGCACTCCCCAGCCTGCTGTCGCATGGACGCTCAGGGGGAGTGCAGCCCTCGTGTGACTCCCACACTGGTTCTCAGGATGTGTGGCCGGGGCAGCACCCTCCTTCTACTTCTGCTCAACTCACACGGACTTATGGGAAAGCAGAATGGAGGCTGGAGTTCCGCAGGGCTGCAGAACTCGGCCTGGGCAGTGCCCGACTCAAGGTCAACTGCCCACTCGGGCGAGGTGCTGTGGAGCAAGGCTGGGCTGGTACCTTGAGCCAGTTGTGCGATCTCTTGGCAATTTCGTAGGTGGCATCCACCTCCAGGGTCTTCACCATGAGCCCCTCACAGGAGTCTGCAGGAGACATGAGCAGGGTCCCTGGGAACTGGGCACCCAGGGCCAGGGGCCAGTGCTGGTCACCAGGGACCATGGGCCCTAGGGAGGGGCTCACGTGTCCTCACCCTTCACAGACTGCTCCAAGAACTCGGCGATCTGCTCCAGGTCCTTGCTGTCCAGGGAGGTGGCGAAGAGGAACTCGCCCTCGGTCTCCACAAAGTTCTCACGGAGCAGCTGCCGGCGGCGGGACAGGGGCTCGCGCACCAGGGACTGAGGGGAGAGGGCAGGTTCGGACACTGCGCGATAAGGACAGTCCCCGGCTGGGATGGGGCTCACGAGCACCCTGGGAGGGAGGCACCGGCTGCCAGCAGCACTGTGGGAATTCTCAGCACTAGGCTGGTGGGTGGGCGGAAACAGGGGCCGGACACCGTGTAGGGCTGAGGAGCTCAGGGGTGCTGGGTGGGCGGAGCCCTTCCCGGGCCTCTTGCTATGCCTACCACCAGCCAGCCAAACCCAGGAGGGGAGCCAGCGACGGCAGCTCACAGACAAGTCTGGGGAGAGCATGCCTGTTAACCAGGCACCATGAACCCGTTGGCAGGTGGTCATCCCTCGATACCCACGGGGTCGGCCCAGAACCCCTCAGATCCTGAAAGCCACAGAGCATGGCACCACTCTGTGAGAGGCCGTGGAGCCTCCTGCGACCAAGCACGGGTCACTGGGATGCGCTCACACTGTCACAGGTGCTCAGCGACACTGACAAGCCAGTCTGTGCGTGCTCAGTAGACGCCTCTGGCGGACTGTTCTGTCTGCCACTGGCTGGGTGGCAGAGCTAGCATGCTCCTGATCCTCTGGGCTGTCACAGGATGCAGCAAAGGCAGGCACAGGTGGGCGAGGCCCAAGGCCAGCTCTGGGGTGTTGGAGGCTACGCCTCCACTGGCAATGCTGCTCCCACGTCAGAGCCCCGGCTGCTCCGCTCCTGACGTGGCTCCCTGCTAATGCACCCCAAGTGGCAGCAGGCGGCCCACATGCTTGGTTCTGTGGGAGACCTGGGTGGAGTTCCAAGCTCCTGGCTCCGGTCCGGCCAAGCCACTTGGGGAATGAACCAATGGAGAAAACATCTCTTTCTGCTTCTCCCTTTGTCTCCACCTTCCACGTAAATAAAATCCTGCCTTTCAAGAAACAAACAGGTGAGGCTGTGCTCCAACAGCACCCCTGCAGACATCAGGGCGGGACCAAGCTGGCCAGCGCTGGCCCTACGCTGGACCAGTTCTGCCACGGGAAAGCTCTCCCTGCTCCACACAGGAGACCCCACGGGCGCGGGGGGAGTAATCCACTTGGTGACCTCGGCTGCACCTGCCCTGCAAGTCCTGCCAGCCCTGTGCAAAACGCCCCACACAGACTCAAGCCTGGACAAGGCTCGAACCTCTGGCTGTGCCAGCAGGAAGAGGAAGCAGCTCTTCCCTTGACTGCCTCTCCATCCCAGGAGGGTGGGCTCACCCTGGGGCAGGGGGAGCCACAGCTGTCAGACCTCTGCCTCACGCCCTGTACACTACTACAAACGTGTGGGATTCTTGCCAACGTCCATCCCGTCAAGTGAGAAATCCAGTCACACACCTACACTGAACACCTCAGCTTTGCGGGGGGAAGGAGGGCGTTCATGTGGGATGGCGTGGGGCTTAAGACACCTTGGGAGGTTCATTGGAGGACCACAGTTTGAGCGTGGCCTCTCGGTGACACAAGAGCCAAATGGCTGGCTCCCAGGACTCACCTGTCCATTGAGGTAGATGAGGTCGAAGGCGTACAAACACACCTGCACCTGGATCTCCGATGGGTCCACATCCTGGGCAGCATGGACATCAGGAGGAGGAAGGTGAGTGACCAGGGGTGCCCCCTGCACCCAGCTAACAGGCTGCAGGCTGGCGAGGGCAGCCAGGCTGTGGCCGGAGTCCTGGAATGACTCCTCCAAGGCCCAGAGCACAGCCTCGCTTGCACCAGCACTTGCTCTCCCAGCCTCCCTTGCAGAGGGTGGGGGCATAACACACTCTGGCCTGTCAGCAGTGAGGGGAAGTGGGCTGCAAGCAGGGGGTTCTGGGGGCAAGATGGCAGGTGAATGGCCTGTCCTGCTCCCAGCCCTGGCTGCAGGGATGAGGTGGGGGTGGGGGCAGGAACTACCGGAGAAGGTGGAGACCAACATCCAGACCGACTGACTATCCTAGGGAGTGGCAGGATGGGCTGGACCAGGAGAGGCGGGAATGGGGGCTGTACTAGGTGAGGGTGGGAGTGAGGGGGCTGTGCCAGGTGACAGAGGGAGTGAGGGCCGTGCCAGGTGAGGGTGGGAGTGAGGGCCGTGCCAGGTGAGGGTGGGAGTGAGGGCCGTGCCAGGTGAGGGTGGGAGTGGGGGCCGTGCCAGGTGAGGGTGGGGCAGACGCTACCTTGCGCTTGCGGGTGGTGAGCACCTGGAATGGCCGGATCTGCTTCTTCTCGCGGTCCCAGGCCACAGCCTCCGTGTCCAGGATGAAGGACGTGACTGACGGGAGTTTAATCTGGACGGGAGGGACCAGGGTTTGTGAGAGGTGGAGGAGGAGGTCAGAAGGCACCCACAGGTCCACAGTCCGCTGCTCCTCCGCCAGGTCCCACGTCCGGGGTGCACCGGGGAGGCCGGCCTCCCTCCCTCCCTCCCTCCCTCTCTCTCGCACACACACGCGTGTGCGGGACCTGAAGTCCAACAAGGACTCCCTGCTGGAAACTCCCCGCCCCCCAGGCAGTTCCCAGGGACCCTGGGATTCACTCTCAAGTCCACCTGGGGTGTTCACAACCTCGCTATTCCAGCCTGAGCCACGTCATGCTATGGGTCTCCCAGCGCAGGCACTGACCCATTCACCGTCTCACGGCAGCCACAGCCCACATGTGACCATGGCCTGGCCCTTCCCCAGAGTCCTGAGCTTCCGTTTCTCCACCAGGCTTCACCCCTCCAGATGTTCCCCGCTCCCCCAATGCCTGCAACGTTCTTTCCTCCTGCGGGAGGCCCTCTCCCGACTCCAGAGCAGGTGGCCTCATGGTCCCGGACGCTGCACACACTCCCCAGACACCAGGGGAGCCATGTCCTTCTGTCCGGGCCCACAGGACACCAGGGCTTCCCTGCAGAGCCAGCAGGACGGGGGCTGGCGCCGGTAAAAGCCTGCCTGCCTGCAGTGAGAGTGTGGCAAGGGCAGAGACCCTGACAAGGCCGAGTTACACCCTGGCTTTGGGAACAGGATCTGGCGCAGAGCAGAGCCCAAGAAACATGAACCAAGAGGGTGAGCAAAACCGGCTGGAAACAGGCACAAGGCTGTGACACCTCCATGGGGCTCTGGGGCTCACAGAGGAACTCTGTCGGCAGACAGCAGATGGGGTGGGGGGCGCCAGGGGATGGGGCTTACTCGCCCCGGGACTGGAGGAAGAGAATGCGGGGGCTTTCTGAGTGGGTTGGGGCACTGCCTTGGGCAGCCTGGCCCTGCCATGGTCCACCTGCACACCTGGAACCATCACTGCTCAGACACACAGGCCTGGCGCAGGTGTGTGGTGTGCCTGCTGCCTTCACTGCACCTGCCTGTCCCGACGTGATGGGGCAGGCCAGGAGAAGGGCACATGAGTGGCTTCTGAGCCAGGACCGAGGTGCCAGGGGCAGGGAAAGCCCCTGGGGCCTGTTAGCCCAGCGCTGCTGAGGTTCCAGGCTCATACGTCTGTGCCAGGCTGACCGGAGCAGCGGCACAGCTATCCAGCCCCGGCTTCTTGGTGCCAGGAACCCCACGCTGCAGTATGTCACACACACATCAACTCCAAAACGGAGCCAACGGCGTCGGGAGGCGACAGGTGCCTGGAGGCAGACCTATGCGGAGGGCCTCACCCACAGGGGTGTGCCCACGTGTTCTCCAGAGGGCTGGCTATCAGAGCCCGACCACTGGGCCCTGCTGCCACTCCCTCCTGCCACACGTACCACACCTGGGCTACCTGAGACCTCCCAAACCCAGCCCCTTGTGAGCCCGCGTGCCTCAGGCACCTTGCTGTGGCAGCAAGGAACTGCCCAGCACAGAGGTGTCCTCACGGGAGGCGATAGGCGCCGCGACCCCTCTCCCTCCATCTTGTCTGGAAATGGCACAGCTAGCTGGGGACAAGTGCTAGTGACAAAAACCAAGCAGCCAAGGCCAGTGGAAGCCAGAGGCTGGGATGACCGGCTAGGGAGGCGGCAGCGCTCAGGGCAGGTCCGTGCAGGCTGCCCCAGGCCAAAGGAGCCACCCACTCCCAGCTCCTGCTGCCTGAGCTCTGGGCCTAGGCGGCCTCAGCTCTGCGTGGCCCCAGAAGGGACTAAGTGGGCCTTCATGTAATCCCATCTCCAAGCTTCCCAGGAGACTGGAGACCAGGCACACGCTAAGACCCACCCTGTCTGCAGATCCCATTTAGAGCACCAACCCCTTTCCGACAAAGGCAGCCCTTGGACCTCCACGGCAGGCACGTCACCCTGTGGGATGGCGGCCCACACCCGCATGACTGCCTATTCCCTGTTACCTAAATCCTGCTGCGAGTCATACAGGTTACAGGTTGCCAGCCTCTGCTCAGGACTCTGGTCTCCACGGCAGGCAGGAACCTGGATGGGAAACTGCCCACTCTGTAGCCCCACCTCGCCAGGGCGACAGCGTGGCAGACCCACCTTGGGGATACGGCTGATGATGTCGGGGTACTTCCCAGTGTTGTCCTCCTGATTCCTGCTGAAGATCTTCACCTCCCCTCCTTCCAGGGCATGGATCTGCAGCGAGGAGGGCAGGGGTCAGGCCCAAGCCCACCCCATCCCGGCCCCTCTTCTCTGCCCGTGAGCAGGCTCTTCAGCACGATGTGGCCTGCAGCCCCGGTGAGTCACCTTGGGGGCACCTGCACCTGCTGCCTTTCCCTTTGCATCCTCGAACCCTTCAACCCTACCAGTCAGCCCGTGTGCCTGCTGTGTGTAGCTGCTGTTCTGCGCTGTACCACTCTGGTCCCCACGGCTGGTGGTCAGCCACAGTCCGAGTGCCCCAAGCATGCTCTCACAGCAGGGCAGCAATGAGGCCAACACGCCTGAGCCACCAGAGGTTAGGGGCATGGATGATTCTCCCAGGCAGGGAGGCGAGGGTTATTCTCATGCCCACTGCATGGAGGTGGACACGATGGCCCAGACGGGTCGAGCGGGCAGCAGCCCTGTCCTGCTCTTGGTGCCTTGCTCATGGCAGGGCCATCCTGCCCCTACCTGTGCCCTCTGCCCGTCGTATTTGTACTCGCAGGTGAAAGCTGCCTCCTCAAAGCGTTTCAGGACCTCGCTGATGTCGTGGGTGGGATGGGCCAGCATGGGCTTCAGGGGAGTGCCTTTGCGAGACAGAGGGAGGGTGTGGGGGGACAGGCCATGAGACCAGAGGGCACGAGACAGGGACCGGGCTGCTCCTGCTCAGGCCCCTGCAGTCCTGAGGGGGGACGTGCTCACACACACTGCGGGCCAACTCGAGGGTGCACTCAGGCGAGCCACAGGGTGCTCCATTCTCGTCAGCACAGCACACCCCCACCTGGCTCTGGATATCGATGAGACAGTGCCGTGTACGCTGGCCGCTGGCCCATCCCAGCAGCTCCGCCCACCCATCAGTCAGCGGGAATGCTTGGGGAGAAAGGACGAGGCCTTTTGTGCCAGGGAGGAGCCCAGGGGCCGGTACCTGGGCTCAGCCTGCAGTGCTCCGGGAGCTTCTCCAGGCCGTGCTCCAACAGCACTGGCACGATCCGATCAAAGTCCGGCACCTCGCTGGGGGCGAGAACAGGACGGAGTCACCTTAGTAGAACTCGCACGGCTTGGGAAAGGCCTCTGCAGTCACCCTGTCCCCGTGCCTTCCCTCATGGTCACCCCACGTAACTGCCTCCCTCTGCCTGGGCACCACGAGGCCAGGCTTCCTCTGCAGACTCAGGCCGAGGCCCGCAGCTGGAGGCCCCAGGCAGAGCTGCACAGCTGCTGGGCTGTGGTCTCCGACCGCCACTGACCGAGGGCCGTGGGGTGGCGTTCTCTGTCACTCGTGTGGTCCTCTCAGGCCTCCTGCAGACCTTCCCGACAGCAGCCCCACCTGGAACTTGGAACCCCAGCGTCCCCGCCGCCTCCCTCCCCACCGTGTCTCCAGCTCCAGCTGATGCGTCCTCCCCGGGGCTCACCAGAACGTCTGCTTCAGGATCATGCCCTGCTCCTCCAGCCACGCCTTCCGGGCCTCAGCCGACTTGCCCTTCCCAGCATCCACCACCGCTGGGGGGAATCCTGGGAAAAGAGCCACCAGGGATTTGGGGGTGTGCCAACCCCTCGGCCACCCAGGCTGCAGTCACGGGTTCGCTGCTGGGCAAGGCACCTGAGCATGGTGGCTCAGCTGCCCCAGGGTAGAAGCTGTGGGGGGAAGCCGGGGATGTGGCCTTGGAAAGGGCACGGGGAGCCCTGTGGGACTACAGGAGGGGCTCACCTTGCCCGGGGGGCGTGAGGCTCACAGCCTGGGTGAGGGCGGTCAGCACCGACTGCTCTGCCAGCCCGAGGCGCAGCCGCCCCCTCAAGGACCTGGGGAAGAGAACAGCCAAGGGGGGCTTGCTGGTGCCTTCCCAAACCATCTCCACCCATCTCCCAGACCTCGACCCACTGCGAACTCCGTGCTCAGACCAACAGGCCCCAGAGCCGGAAAGGGACCCGAGATCACAAATGGGGCAAAGGCCGCATGGTGACTGTGACCTTGGGCATGAGGAAGTCCTCACGGGGGGCCGCACAACTTCCCAGCTGCTTGGAGAAGGCAAGGTGGGGCCCAGCGGGGGGTGGAGGAGGGGACACTGAATGCAGCCCACCCTGCTGAGAGCGATGGGAGCACCTGCTGGAAGCCGGTGGCCTCGGGCCAGCTCCCTGCTGTCTGTGGGGCGAGGACAGGGTCTCACCCCAGGCTACATGGGGGAGCAGACACAGGCACGCTCGTGACAAGACTGGTCACGGCGGCACACACGAGGCCTCATGCTGCATGCTGCGTCTCTCTGGCCAAGGCAAGCATTGCTCATCACACACAGCACACTTTGCCTCCGCTGCAGGGCCATCTCCAGGCAGCACTGCTGAGGGGGAGGGGCCCGGGACGGGGCCTGGCAGCTCAGGCTCCTCACGCACGCAGCCAGGACGCCAGCAGGCCTCCAGGTACTCTCAACTCCCTAGCTGTGGGGCCCTCTCCCAAAGCTCGCAGACCCCAGTCACCTGGCGATGAATCGGGCTTCCGAGTAGCGGCAGGCGACAAACAGGCCTCGGATGATGTCCATCTTCTTGTTGGTGGACTGGAGGAGGCAGTGGAGGGCGGAGGGGCGGAGGTGAGCCGCAGGGCCCAGCCCTGCCCCGCTCGCCGTTGAACACCTGCCCCTGCCCTCCCACCTGTCTCTCCCACTGGCCTCCCTCCCTTTTTACCCACAGCAGGAGGGGACAGACACACGGCCTCAGGTCTCTGAGGCATGGCTACCGGGGTGACCGCCCTGCCCACTCACAGCATTGCCAGTGAGCTGGGCGATCTCCTTGAATTTGGCGAAGACCCCGGCAGCGGTGAGGGGGGGTGGGGGCACCATGAATCGCTGAGTGACGCGGCTGTTCTCTGCCACCAGCCCCACGTCGCCCACCTCGGCCGCTTCAGCCTTCACGACATCCAGCTGCCGACCTGGGAGGGGAGGCAGGGGCGGCTGCAGCTGGGCCCCCCTTCACTGCTTCGGGTCTCTGTTCCCTTCCTGCTGTCCCTCCCGACATGCGGCCTGGTGACTCTCACCTGCGGTCGGCCCTTCTAGGCTCCCAGATGCCCTCCTGATGAAGGCGGGCACCCCAGGCCCTGGGCAGCCAACCCCCACTGCCGACGCGTGTCCCCAAGCCTGGAGCTGCCCATTCATCCACCCACTCCCTGCTCCAGGCCCTGCCAGAGGGAGCCCTTCAGAAACTTTGCTTCCTTGCTGGGCCCTAGCCTCACTCCCTGCCCTGACACTTCTGTCTCCTAGCCTTGGTCCCTGGTCCATACGCCTGCGGCCCTGTCCCAATCCCGGCCTGGCCTCTCACCCTGACCCACTACCATGGAACTCTCCCCAGTCTGCCCAGCAGGTCGCCCTCCATAACCTGTCAGTCACCTCTCCGCACCTCCCCACGCTGCCCTTCGCACCTGTGGCCTGGGCCACGGCCTTGAGGAGGACGCCATCACCCACACCGAGCTCCAGGCCCTGCTGGGGCGGCCCCAGGCGGTTGAGGCTGAGGTAGAGGATGGGGAGCAGGTCTGGCGGTGACAGGGCCACGACGGAGCGCAGCAGGTTGCTCAGCGTCTCCACCATGCGAAGCCTGCGGGAGGTCGGGGCCGTGAGCTCCTGGCTCTTCAAGGGCGGGCTGAGATCAGGGCTGGGGCAGCAGCCGAGTATAAATGCACCGAGTGCTTGAAACCGCTTAGCAGAGGCCTCGGCCACCCCGGCGCTTACTCTGGGGACGGTCAGCATGAGTGTCCCAACAGCTGCTGCCACGGCCTTCCTCCCCCAGTAGCAGAGCCGGGCCCCCAGACCCCCAAGCACAGGCAGGCGGGGAAGCAGCAGAGCTGGGCTCCCCACCCTGAACCTGGGCTGGCCCTCCTGGCCCTAAGTGGCCACGAACCCGAGGGCTGTGGCAGCAGATGGGCACTGCAGAGGGAGTGGGCAGAGCTGGGGAGCCCCACCCCATAGCCCTTGCACCCCACAGCCCTCGTTCATTACCGAGCAGAGACTTCCTCGATCTTCTCAAACGTCCGGGCCACGGCCAGGTAAGGGACCCTGGGAAGGCAAAGAAACTTAAGACTGTGTGCGGAGCTCGGACGCTGCCACCCACGACTGGTTCCCCGAAGCAAGGCCTCCCACTGGGGCAGGGCCGGACTGACAGCCCGCGGAGGGGAGGTCTCACTTCTGCCCAGGTTTCCAGCAGGCGTCCTCCACGGGGTGGTAGTTGTTCTTGGCAGGGTTGTAGCTTGATGGGTCCAGGAGTCTGTGGAGGCAAAAGGGTCAGAGACGTCACAGGAACTGGCCATACACCTCCTCGTCCAGGCAGTATTACGATGAGCTAACGAGGGGTCACAGCCTGGGCAGTCACACAGCCCTGTACAGGGAGGGCAGCTGTCCACGGGTGGGCCCAGGGAGGGCAGCTGTCCACGGGCGGGCCCAGGAGAGGGCAGCTGTCCACGGGCGGGCCCAGGAGAGGGCAGCTGTCCACGCGCGGGCCCAGGAGAGGCGCTCAGAGCTCAGTGTGGGACAGTCGCCTGTGCTGGCTTTCCCAGGACACAGTGAATTCTGAGATAAGGATCTAGGCCAGACAGGGGCAGGGACACAGCTGGGGGTGCCACGAGAGGGTCCTGGCCCCTCTGGAAGTCAGGGCAGAGACCCCGCTCCTGGGCTGTTGCCCTCTGGCCTGCAGCTCAGCTGGCTTTGCATCAGGGACCAGCCGTGGCCCACCAAGTCTAACTACCCGACCGTGGCCCTCCCCTGGGAGCCGTGGCCAGGCCTGCCCAGCACAGGGGGCCTGAGCAGACGCCGGCGTGGGGAAGCAGGGAAGGGCCAGGGCCACCTGTCACCCACCACCACGCACCCGCTGGCCTCCTGCTTCACTGCAGTGCCTGACTCCTCTCGCTTCACTGCAGCGCCCGACTCCTCTTGCTTCACTTCTGTTTTGACTGCCGGTTTCCGGGGCGCTGGGAAGAGAGGCAGGAAACGGTGGAGCTTTTCTCCCTAGAGCGCCCATGTACTCTCATCCCATTCCCCACCCAGCACCGTCCCAGGGCTCAGGAACGGGTGGCAGATGGCAGCCAGACTTCCTGTGGGCAGGCAGGTGCAGGGTGGGCACCCTGTGCGAGGAACTCACCGAAGAAGCTGCTGAGCGTGCGGGGGGCGCGGGCTGGCGGCCTGGCCTGGTCCTCCTGCAGCTCCTCCTTCACGGCCACCGTGGCCTTGGTGCCGCTGTCCGCCGGGGCCTCTCCTGGAGCAAAACGCAGAGTGAGGCCAGCTGTGCCTGCCCCGAGCCTGTGGCTCTCACCCAAGGCCGCTGGCCCCACGGAGGAATCTCTGTGCGTCCTGCCCGCTCCGTGTTCCCCTTGGAGAGCTGTCCCCCATCAGGGCTCAGGAACGCAGGCCAGCCTTGGCCTCTACCGCAGGCCACGTGGACGCAGCGAAGAGCTCAGCGCGACCGCAAGGGAATCAGAGCCCAAAGCCCAGCACCTCTGTGATAGCCCCTGAGGCAGGCCCACGGCCTATGACGGCACCTGCCCGTCCCTCAGCCCGTGGCCTGTCCCTCAGCCCGTGGCCTGTCCCGCAGCCCGTGGCCTGACCCGCAGCCCGTGGCCTGTCCCACAGCCCGGCGGCCTGAGCTGACAGGATTTTTCCAGGCTGTCAGTTGATGTGTCTTCTGAAACCTCTACTCTGTCGGGCAGCGACCTTCCCGCCTACCCCGTGTGCAGCAGGACAGCGCTGGCCAACAGCAGTGAGACACGCTGCTCCCGGCTGAGCGCCGAGCCCGCAGGCTGGAGGAGCCCGGCTGCACTCCCAGGCCTCTGAAGGCCCTGAGCCCTGAACCACGGCTGGGAGCAGGGCAGACTCACCGCAGGGCTCTGGGGGTGTCATGGGCTGCTCCCCCTCCTCTGTGTCCTCTGTCACTTCAGTCTTGATGGGTCTTTCTCTTGGGATCTCTGGTTCTGGTGACAGAGAGTCAGATGGCCAAAAACAAACAAACAAACAAAAAAAAACAAAAACAAAAACAAGAAACAAAATCACTTTGCTCCCCAGCAAGGGCACTTCAGCTTTAGACCCCTGCACCCCCTGTGCCTCCTGCGCCTCCACACGCTTCCACGCGCCCACCAAGCTCAGTGGGCATCTGGGTGTGCGAGCCCCCACACCCAGCATTCAACATAAACAGGCTCGTGACGGTCACGCCTGACCCTAACATGCAGACTTGACCCTCATGGTCATTCCTGCAACAACGCAGTATGTGGTCCCGGCTTCTGCGTGTTGACGCCGTGGGCTGCTGTGACCCACCCGGAAATGACTGGGATGTGTGCGTGTCCCAGGCATGTGCAAGGCCGTCTTCCCGAGGGCCCATTTCCCTGGGGGCTCTGCTCTTAGTGGAGGCCGTGAATGCCGAGGCATGGCTGTGTGCCTCTCAGTGAAGGGGGTGTCAGCCTCGAGTGAAGCTGGGGCACCCCCGGAGGACTCAACTTCAGTGCCCACCTATGCTCTGGATATTCAACACAAACAGTGAGTCCGTTTTGGTAACAGCTGTCTTGGGAAACGCACCATCTGACAACGCACATGACAGTTCAATACACACAAAAACGCAAGTTTAACACTTGCTATTAAAATCTGCTGGATAACAAACATCCTGAGCACATTCCAACCCGCACTGGGGTCATAGTGTGGTGTGGCCCTTCCTTTCAACACCTGCTGGTGGCACAGGTGGTGACTGCTTCGGTCTGAGAGGCCCAGGGGTCTCACTGGCCATGCCCTGAAGGGAACCACAGGGAGCTGCAAGGTGACATTTTTAAAGGAGACGCAGTGACCCCTGCTGGACACTGTGCGAACTGTGAGCTGGAGGTTTCTGGGGTTCAGAAGGATGCATTGGCAGAGCGTGGGTTTTCACGGGTGCTGTGACAAAAACCAAGAACTGTGCAGAAAGCAGCGTGGGGCAGGCGAGGACGGTGGCCCTTTCCTGGAGTCCATGGTTAGCAACGTGTGGCGGCCAGGGGACACTGGCTTGTGTTAAGGTTGCGAGGTGTTCATGAACTGGTCAGGCAGCAGCCTGAACAGCTTCATGAAAACATGTGACGCCAGGAGGGCTGTGAGCTGGCCATGTCTGGAGAAGCGTCAGTCAGAGCCAGGGTGGCCAGGCGGACGCCTTCCCAGTGCTGGCTGCAGAGGCCGGGGGCGCCCCCGGGGTCTGAAGCAGGGGCCAAGCCCCAGCCACCCGGTCCCCCCAGTGCACAGGTGCTGCGGCCCAGGAGTCTCACCTGCCGCCTCCTTCCTCTTCTTGGCGCAGCACTCCTCGTCTGCATCCTGACTTTCCAGGACATCTTCGATCTTCCGTTTCGGGAGCTGCTTCCGAGCTGGCAAAGCAAAGGCTCAGCATCATGGCCTGCGCAGTTGGTCTGCTCTGGCCACCGGGCGCTCAATCCACCGCCGGGACCCCTCTTCTGCCACAGCACTGCCCCAGTGTGGGCCAGTCCTGCAGGCCCTGCCGCTTCCCAGCTGCGTGAGCATGGGCAGGCAACCGTCTGTCTCACTCTCCCACGTCTGTCATGGAAGATTCCCACATGTAAACTGCCACAACACGTGACTGGGTCTCCCTGGCAGCCTGCTCTCTCCCTGCGTCCCTCACAGACCTAGAACCTCAGCCATCTAGAAGTGGTGGTGGCAGGGAGCCATCGCACCTCACCGGATGACAGGCGTGACCTGGCACAAACACCTGAGGTGATTCTGAGGGGTTCCCAGGGCAAACCCACAGAACCAGGGCCCAGCAGCGTGCTGACAGCCTGTGCTCCCGCGGCCTTTTCGACATGACTCGCACTCCTTCGTGGGAAGTCAGTCTGACGCACTGACCACGTTTCCACTCCCGTGTGAGGTGCCCATCAGAGAGCCCCGGCCTGTGTTCAGGCTGGCAGGTTTACAACGGGACGGGGTATCTAAGCTCTCCCTCAAACACAGGTAAGTGCTCCCCATCAGCTCTGCCCAGCACGATCCAACACGGGAAGGCCATGCCCCGGTCACAGCTGCCCGCGGCCAGTGCTCAGCAGGCCTGGGCCTCTCGCCGCGTCCTCCCTCTGCCTTCGTGACCAAGACGGCTGCCCACAGCCTTCCCCACTGCCCATGATCCGACACCGCCAGCCACCCGGAGCCCTCCCCAGCACACACTGCGCCCTGGCCAGGGCTTTCAACCTGCCTCCTTCCCTGCTGACCGGAGCCACGCACATTCCATGTCCATCTCTGCAAGGCATCGTGGCTAACACCCACTGGGTGTTCCACCCACTTCGGGCTGCTGTGCTGTACCCCACTGGGCATTTCACACATGAAGCCGTAATCCCCGCCCCTTCCCTCCGTGTGTCAGGGCCGCGGGTGCCGTAACTCTTGTAACAGGGATGGCCACAGGGGCTCAGGCCATCAGTGGACAGAGCTCTGAACCGCAGTGTTTTGATCAGCGGCCGTGTGGGACAGACCCTTACCTGTAATGCGCTTCGGGATGCCCGACGCGGGGAGGCTCGAGGGTGAGGTGTCGCAGGGGGAGGGGGTGTTCTCAGGAGATGTGGTAGAACTGGGTGGGGAGCCCTGGGGGGACTCTGGAGCAGGCTTCTGGAAGCGGAGAGAAGCGTGCTGAGGCGGATGGGGAGCCGGAGCTTCATAGCTCTCCGTACCCAAGGCCCTTCTCTCCAGGGCCGCCCCTCCGCTGTCTGGGAAGTTTCAGGATCGTTTTCTAACACACCAGAATCTTCTGACTTCTACTAGGTGAGGCTCCCTTGCAGCTCCGAGTGGTGGGGCACACGGAGAAAGGGCACTTCCCCCGGGCGCAGTGACATCTGCCTGATGGGGAGCGTGGAGGTCACTGCCTCCCAGCCACGGGCACTGAGGCAGCCAGCACCAAACCTGAACATGTATAACTGTTAGCAAAACAACGCTCCGTGGTGCTTCAGCGCTGGCTGCTCATGTCTCTTGGTCCCAAGGCCTGGTCCTCCCCGCAGGACACTAAGGGACAGTCGCAGGCCTGGCCCTTCCGAGACACAGGAGGGCTGGGCTCTCTGAGCCTCTCTCCCACACGGGCAGCCAGCTGTAGGTCAGGCAGAGCAAATGGTGGGGTACAGCAGCGGGGGGCCTGTGTGCTGTCCTGACAGAGACCCCAGAAGTAGCTGGTGCCACCCCCACACAGCGCTCCCCTCCAGCCCTGGGCGCGGCTGCTCTGATGCAGGCCGACGGGGACCGACCTGGCCTCGGGGCGGCGTGAGGGCTTCGTCCTCCTCCTCTCCTTCGCTGCTCAGCACCTGGGCGACCTTCCGTCCAGGCCTCTTCACCGGAGAGTCGCTCTCGGCCACCACGCCTCTGCGCTCCTTCCGCGCTGCCCTGGGAGGTGCAGAACGCGGGCACTGGGACGGCTGGAGCGGGTGCTGCCCCAGCCATGCCCCTTTGCCCCCTCCATTCGTCTCAGCAGTCACAGGGCACTCTCCAGGCGTCTCCAAGGTCACCCACCCGTCCACAGACCCCCACCTGAGGCCGCAGCGGAGTGGCCTTTCACATCCATCTGGCAACCTTGCATTGGTCGGTAAGACCTGACGCAGCAAGGCGCATGGTGCCTGCCCCGGGATGTGTTCTGATCCATAGGACGGAAGTCCATGGCAGACGCAGGGCACTCTGACCACTAGCCACACTTGCTGTGACAGATGAGGGCCGCTCCAGGACAAGCCAGGCAACAGAACTGTATGCGTGCATACCCACGGCAGTGTCACCAAGGGGACCAACTGGAGACGGGGTGCTGAAGTGACTCCGAGTCTCACCACTCACAGGGCATTACAGAAGCCAAGCACCATTCCCACACTGCCCCGTGTGTTGAGCCCACCACTGCTTCCATGCAGTCTTCGTGTGCGCTCAGGGCCTGCCTACCTCTCCCACGCTGTGCCGGGGTGCCCCCAGAGCCCACCTGTCACCCCCACACCGTCCCCGTGTGCAGAGCCGGCACCCACGCAGCTGCCTGGCACTCAGGAGGCGGCGCACACAGCAGCGAGTTCCCGTGCAGGCTGTGCCCAGGAAGGTGAGCCAGCAGTGCGGAGGCCCCGCTCTGCCCAGCTGGCTAGTCTGGGGTGGTGAGGCAAGGTCAAACCGGGCAGCCAGGACGTGGCCAGCTTCTCCGCCTCACGGAGGAATGTGGCTTACAGTGAAGGTGAGACCCCCAGGGAGGGGCCTGCCCCTGGACTTCCCAGAGCCCAAGGCACCCTGAATTAGGAGTGCATCTGTCCCCCTGGCACCCCGACGTACTTGTCAGGCGGTGGTCCCTGTCTGCCCCCGCCGGATGTCTCCTTCTGCGGCTTCTTCGTCTGCCCCTCCTTCGAGGGGGAGAAAAATGACCTGCAGGTGGGGGGGGGCAGAGGAAGGTCACTACCCCCACGCGGCCCCGGCTCCCCACTTCTCCGCCAGTGCCCAGGCAACCCTGCAGACTGAAGTGGAAGCCAGGCTCTGCTTAATTTGTACAGGTCCTGTATCCCATACCGTAAGGCCCAGAACCAAATCTGCCTCTGCCTCCAACTAGGTCCAGGGTGACGCGCCCGAGGCAGGAGCCTCAAGTACGGGGTCCTTCCCTCCCTCCCTCACTCACTCCCCAGATGCCCAGGACAGCTGGGGACAGGTCAGGAGTGTGTGTGTGTGTGTGTGTGTGTGGTCAGGGCTGTGTGTGTGTGTGTGTGTGTGTGTGTGTGTGTGTGGTCAGGGCCGTGTGTGTGTGTGTGTGTGAGTGTGTGTGTGTGGTCAGGGCTGTGTGTGTGTGTGGTCAGGGCTGTGTGTGTGTGTGTGTGTGTGTGGTCAGGGCCGTGTGTGTGTGTGTGTGGTCAGGGGTGTGTGTGTGTGTGGTCAGGGTCGTGTGTGTGTGTGTGTGTGTGTGTGTGGTCAGGGCCGTGTGTGTGTGTGTGTGAGTGTGTGTGTGTGTGGTCAGGGCTGTGTGTGTGTGTGTGGTCAGGGCTATGTGTGTGTGTGTGTGTAGGGTCAGGGCTGTGTGTGTGTGTGTGTGTGTGTGTGTGTGTAGGGTCAGGGCTGTGTGTGTGTGGTCAGGGCTGTGTGTGTGTGTGTGTGTAGGGTCAGGGCTGTGTGTGTGTGGTCAGGGCTGTGTGTGTGTGTGTGTGTGTGTAGGGTCAGGGCTGTGTGTGTGTGGTCAGGGCTGTGTGTGTGTGTGTGTGTGTGTGTGTGGTCAGGGCCGTGTGTGTGTGTGTAGGGTCAGGGCTGTGTGTGTGTGGTCAGGGCTGTGTGTGTGTGTGTGTGTGTGTGTGTGTGTGCGCGGTCACTGCAGAGCTCTCACATGATGCTTCGCTGCATGGTGGCGTCACTTCCTGTCCTTTTCTGTTCTTGGCCTGGTTGGTGCTCCTGAAACACAAAGCCACGCCCCTGCTCACAACGGGGTCGGCCCTAATCAAAACCCCTACAACTCTTTCAGAAAGAAAAATAAGTAAACAAATAAATAAATAAAACCAGAAACTTTACCTTTCCCAGCAGGAGAACACTGCTGCTGTGACCCCGAATGGTCCACCGCCGCGGACCTCAGGGAAGCCAGGCTACCTCCGTGACTCCCGAGGGCCCACGGTCATTTCAAGGTAACAGTGCCAGCCAAGGACTGGGGTACGTGTCCTCTGCAAAGGTGCCCTACAGGGGTGAGGGGACATTTCAACCAATAACCCGCAGGCCAGAACAGCCTCCACGGAGCTTCCAGTGTCACGAGGGGGAGCAGCAGCTCGCCTGTGTGCATGTGTTCATCAGCCTGGCCTGTGTGTGCGAACCAACTCCAGGAGGAGCAGCAAGTGCCAAGCCCGGGCCTTCCAAGGCTCATTCAGAAGGTTTAAGGTGTGTGGGTGGTGAGGACGGAGCCCACACGAAACTCTCACCTTGGCTAACGGGGATGTGGAACCCGCACGGCCACTCTGCAAGAGCCAGGCAGCTGCTCAGCACACGGTCAAGCAGCCCCGCGCCTCCGTGTTCACAGACCCTCTGAGGGGCTCTGTGGGCCAACCACGCTGCAGCAAGACCATCAGACCTTCCAGGATGGGGGGGACATGGCTCCTGCCAGCCGGCCTGAGGCTCACTTACTAAGCGACAGGGACAGGCTACAGGCTACCGTGTGGCCGGCTGGGGAGGCCGTGCGCAGAGGGCCGGCTGGGGAAGGCCGTGCGCAGAGGGCCGGCTGGGGAAGGCTGTGTGCAGAGGGCCGGCTGGGGGAGGCTGTGTGCAGAGGGCCGGCTGGGGGAGGCTGTGTGCAGAGGGCCGGCTGAGGAAGGCCAGGCTGTGTGCAGAGGGCCGGCTGGGAAGGCCGTGTGCAGAGGGCCGGCTGGGGAGGCCGTGTGCAGAGGGCCGGCTGGGGAGGCCGTGTGCAGAGGGCCACTGGCGGTGACTCCTGGGCTGCCAGCACTGACCAAGCTGTGACTGGTAATGTGTGATGGCGTTCACCCCTGGGTAACATTCTCCCAGATGTGGTTCTTCCAACACCCCACACCTCCAGACGCTGGCACGCCCCCGAACCCGCTGCTCTCACCCCGCAGGCTCCTGGGGACCAAGTCATGTTGGTCCTGCCTGCAAACGATAACCCCCGGCAGCCCTTCACCCAGCCCACGGCTACGGCACAGTCCGGCTGCCACTGTCTGCCCCAGTGCCATGCTAGGGTGCACCCCCAAACCCTCACCAGGCCAGGGACACTCCAGACGCCCCGCCCCACCTTGAGCTCCCTAACTCTCCCTAACTTCCTGGACCAGCAAGGCAGACAGCATCTCTCCTTAGCCAACCTGAAGTCAGTCTGATGATGTCAGCCTCTGGCAGTGCCAGAAGAACTTCCCGCCCCGGCAGAGACGCCCTGACCGGCCAGCGGGCGGGAAGCCGCCACCCGGATGCCCGCATTCCACAGCGGGTCTCTGCCCTTCCCACTCAGCCTCCAGCCGAAGCAGGGGTCGGCTCAGGGAGCCCCTGCCACCCACGTGGGCAGGCCTGGAGCCAGGTGCCTAGATGCTCTGGCTCATTCCTGGCTGTCTTCCAAGTAAACCCTGAAAAACTAATCCTTTGATCACAACGCGATCCGCACATTTGAGACCTGGGGGCTGAGATGTTTCCATGTTCTTGCTTGAGTTTAATTGGTTTAGATCTAAGGAGCTTGCACCGCTAGCGGCTACTCAGCAATGCGAGGGTAACATGTACCTTCCGGTTCAGCCTATTTCGTCCAGTGACTCAACCACAGGACCGCCACCGGCACTGAGGCCTGAACGCGTGGGCCAAGGCACGCTTCTGACCCCCGGACCCTAGGACAAAGTGAAATCACGGAGGCCTTCCGCACATGCCACCTGCCCGGACCTTCCCCTCCCCCGTCTCCACAAGCCACCTGACAAGCAAAGGGCAGATGCCAACGCGCCCACACGGCGCCGGAGGCCAAGCAGCGACGTCCTCAACTCTGCGTGCTCTGTGAACTCAGCTGTGGCTCAGATGCGAGAGCCCCTCTCCAAACGCCCCCCTTCCGTGGGGCCCAGCTTCTCGGCAGAGGAAGCAAAGTTTCCCGCCAGCCACTGGCTCTCTGGGAGGCCCCGCCCCATCCGTGGCCCCGCCCCCAGACGGCTCTGGTCCCACCCTTATCCGTGGCCCCGCCCGTCAGCTCTGACTCCGCCCCCAGCCCTCTCTGGTCTCGCTCCCTCCCGTGGCCCCAGCCCCGCCCCGTCGGCTCTGGTACCGCTCCCTCCCGGGGCCCCGCCCCCAGCCCTCTCTGGCCCCGCCCCGTCAGCTCTGACTCCGCCCCCAGCCCGCTCTGGTCCCGCTCCCGTGGCCCGCCCCATCGGTCCTGGCCCCGCCCCCAGCCCGCTCTGGTCCCGCACCCGCGGCCCCGCCCCTCGGCTCTAGCCCCGCCCCGCCCCGCCGGCCCTGGCCCCGCCCCCGGCCCCGGCCCGCGTCCCCCGCCATCGTCCCCTCGGCCCTCCCGCCCGACTTCCCTCCCTCCGGCGCCTGACCACCCCGGGCCCGCGCGCTCCTCTCCCCGCGGCGCTCCCGGTCGCCTCGGCGTCTTCCCGAGCGCTCCTCGGCGGGACTCGCGGCGGGACCTGAGCAAACCGTGGGGCTCCCCGCGCCCGGCGTCCTCGCCGCCCCCAGCGCCCTCGCCGCCCCCGGCCTCCCGGTCCCACTTGCCTCGCGCTCGCCCCGCGCGCCGACAGCCGGGCGCCAACTCAGACCGGCTCCCCGCAGCCCCGGCGTCCGCAATTCGCGCCACCAAGTTCGCGCGCAGACTTGGACGGGAGGGGTGGAGCCTAGCCTGGGGGCGTGGCCCCGCCGTGCGTCGTCGTCGCCGCCGCCCGGAGCACGCTGGGAGTTGTAGTTTATAAACAAGAAGCCGGCTGCAAAGGGGCAAAGCAGTAGGAGGGGAAGGCGAGCCCTCCCGCAGAGCATGCTGGGAAGCGCCCCCGCCGGCCTCCACTGGCCCCTGGCCTCACCTTGGAGCCGCGGGAATCGCTGAGGCGCCAGAGACGCCTGGGAGGAGGAGGAAGGTCCAGGGGCAGCCTCCGCGCGAGGCACGGCGGGAAGAGAGGCACGAAGTCGCGCGGGGTATCCCGGGAGTAAGGGCCGGCCGGGCTTTGGCGCAGGGCATTGTGGGAAGTGGACGCCTTGTAAGGGATGCACCTTCTGGGGGAGCCGAGGGGGACCCAGCAGGCATAAAGCGCATCTCTGGGAAGCCGGAGCTGCAGAGGACTGTGGCCCGCTGGGGTTCCTCTGGGTGAGGGGCGACAGGTGCATATGGGGGCTCACAAGGAGCGGGTTGGTTTCAGGAGCGCTACCTGGAGAGGGAGGAGATGTTAGCTGGAAGTTCAGACACCACAAGACGGGGTCCCCATTCCTGAATCCGACGAGTTCCTCAGGTTTCCAATTGGAATATTTCAGCGACCCAAGTTACCTCAAGTGGCCTGTTTACTGTCCACCCTAGCTCTTTCTGGGGGTCCTAATGTTTAGGACGATGGGGCATCATGGGTTAAGATCTACCTTTGGGGTTGCGGGGACAGGAGTTGATTGGAAACCTCCCTGCAGGTGGGCGAGGGTCTGACACCAGCTCCTCTGCCCCTCTCCCGCGGTGCCCTTTCCCAGGGCCAGCACACCAAGCTGTGGCTCATCAAGGTGCTCAGGTACAACCACGTGAGGCTCGTGTGCAAGGACACGCGTGCCGAGCCAGCCCTCCTTGTAGGGGATGAGGAGTTTGGGGGCGATCGCCCCAGGCCCCTGCCCTGCTAACCCGGTGAGTGTGGCCTAAGCTTCCCCCAGGCCTACACGTGGAGCGTGAACCCCAACATGGCTACAAAGTCAAGGGGAGTACACGTGGAACATGACTGGAAGATCTAGGGAAATAGACGTGTCATACAGCCAATTACAGCGCCTCTGGTGGGTGTGGCGTCTGCCAGAAGGCTCCTTCCTGCCCTCCCCTTCCTTTCCTCCCTAAAGTCCTCACCCTGTACACACTGGGATTCCATGTGTGTGCTGGTTCTAATCCTGGCAGCCCCATTTCCCATCCATCTTCCTTCTTGTGGCCTGGGAAAGCAGTCGAGGACAGCCCAAAGCCTTGGGACCCTGCGCCTGCATGGGAGACCCCAGAAGAGCTCCTGGCTCCTGGCTTTGGATTGGTGCAGCTCCAGCCATTGCGGTCACTTGGGGAGTGAATCATTGGACAGATCTTCCTCGCTGTCTCTCCTCCTCTCTGTCTATATCTGACTTTGCCATTAAAATAAATATTTATAAATAAAAAAATTTATTTGAAAAGCAGAGTTAGACAATGATTTTCCATCGGCTGGTTCAGTCTCTGCGTGGTTCAGAGCTGGGTCAGGTTGGAGCCTGGAGCCAGGAGCTTTTTCTGGGTCTCCCATGTGGGTGCAGGGGCCCAAAGGCTTCGCCCTTCCTCTGCTGCTCTCCCAGGTGTGTTAGCAGAGTCACTGTCTACCATTGAGTAACCAAGCCCGGTCCCTCCCCTGGGATCCCCTCTCTAGGGGATCCTGGGCCAGGAACTGAATGTGGTGGTTGTCGTGGGATTCAGGCGAAATCTAGGCTGCATTTGGGCCCAAATACTCTGGAGAAGAAACAAGTTCTAGAAACCCGAGAAACAAGCATGTGAAAGGCTCGTTTGTTGACAGAAGCACGGGAACATTCATAACACGTTCACCCGGAGCTGAGGCGCCACAAAAGGACACTGGGCGCCCTCGGCCCGGCTGCCCCGACCCTCCTGTGAGCCGCTGTCCTCATCCAGGCTTTCTGGCCTGTGCTGTGAGCTGAGCCAAGGGGCTTCCTGCAGCGTCCTTGCTCCGCGCTGTCCCGTGTGGTAGTCACAGGCCTGGTGGGCTCTGGGCTGTCCACCAGGGACTGATCAATCGGTATTAACCCTGAATGAGACGGAATCTGAGCAGCCCCACGCGGTCAGTGGCTTCTGGCCGGGTCGGCACTTCTCCCTGAGCAGGTGTATCCTGGTGTCTGTTTTGACCCTGTTCCCTCTGCGTGCCGCACTCTCGGGCTTGCAGGTGCTGGGTCGTCCCCCACCCCTCACTCCCGCCCAGGCTGTTTTGCATCTTGTGTGTCGGTGAGCCCCAGTTGGCAGTGTTTTGTTTTCCCCCCCGACTGGGGTACCGGCTGGGCTGTTTTTAGACCCTTTCTCAACACCTGGTGTTGCTAGTACATCTTGAGGACTGTGCTGCTTGCTCCCAGCCAGCATCCCCCAGTTGCTGGCTTAGAATTCCTAGGTGGGGCCCGGCGCGGTGGCGCAAGTGGTTAAAGGTCCTCGCCTTGCACGCCCCGGATCCCATATGGGCACCGGTTCTAATCCCGGCAGCCCCGCTTCCCTTCCAGCTTTCTGCCTGTGGCCTGGGAAAGCAGTCGAGGACGGCCCAAAGCCCAAAGCCTTGGGACCCTGCACCCGTGTGGGAGACCCGGAAGAGGCTCCTGGCTTCGGATCGGCATAGTATCGGCCCGTTGTGCTCACTTGGGGAGTGAATCATCGGACGGAAGATCTTCCTCTCTGTCTCTCCTCTCTGTATATCCGCCTTTCCAATGAAAAAATAATAAAAATAAATCTTTACAAAGAAGAGCAGAGTCTTAAAGAAAAAAAGCTGGAAGATCTCTCATCCTGCTCATTGTTGTCCTCTGTGAACTTAGATGTGGGCGGAGCACGGGAAGCACTGGATTTCAAGAATGTAGGTGTGTCGC